GGTGAGGGGGACTTTACATGTGACTGAGTTTTGAATGGGAGGACTGATGTTTTTTCCGATCGCAATGTCTAGTATGCGGTGCCTGCGCAGCTGGTGGCTGGTTCGATACTGTATATGATTCAGGTGAGGACGGGGCGGAAGTGGAAGAAAGCCTTTGGTCACCGGTCCTGGCTGGGCTGACACTTGCACAGGCGGCTAAAGATATGTCGGAGGATTTCGATCTGATTGAGTCGACTTTTGAGACGCTGAACATCGCGCTCCAAGATATCGGCGACCTCCGACACCGACAGTTCGACAAGTCCAACTTCCTGCGCCGATTGACCGATATCCTCATCGCCATGGTGGACTTTTGCTCCTTCAGCGGAAGGGTTTTCAGCGAGTACAGTCGGAAGAGTGGGTCCTACACACACTGCTGGCTGCCTGTGCCTGAAGGCTGATTTGCGACAGGAATGTACATACGGGCGCTTCTGAAAGGACGGAACAAGGAAATCATGGCGAAATGCGACCATGTGCAAAAAGTCATTCTGCTGTTCCGCGCCACTTTGCCGATCCAGATCCTCAATGTGGTGGAGGGCATGGGCGAAAAGATCGAAAACCTCCCCACCAGCTTCATTCAAGCGCTGCAGGACATGAAGATCAAATCGTCCGATCTGCAGCCGCTGTGGGGCAAGGCGAGTGCGCTGGAAAAGATCAAGGAAACCCTGAAGAACAGCAAGGATCTCGATCCGGACACCGAAGTTCGCGTCGAGACGCAGATGAAATTGGTGCGGAAGCATCTCGTGCCGGGGACTTTCTCGTGGTCTGAGACAGACCCGGCCTACAAGTCGTGGGCGACCGGCCACAAGAACCCTTTCATCTTTGTCTCGGGAGAAGCAGGCACCGGCAAGACCTTCTTCGCCTACCACTGCTATCTGTCGATCCAGGAGCAGAGCAAGCGGTACCGTATCGCCAATGACACGAATATTCCCGACCAGCGGCGAACGATGCTGGCGGCCTACTTCCCCTTTGAACCGGGTAGACAGGAGTCGCAGTCGTTCCGGAATGTTCTTGCGTACATCCTGGTGCAGATTGCCGACCACGACATCAAGCTGTGCGAGTCGATCGCAAAGGACCTGATCGCTTCGAAGATCTTTAAGGGTGGACAGAATGACAAACAGGAAGAGAAGCTCAAGTTTCTGTGGAACAACCTTCTCGTGAAGAAATTCGAGAAAACTCCCGACACCGCAAGAGACGTGTTCATTTTGCTGGACGGCGTGGAGCTCATGGAGGAATCCGACCGCAGACGCATGCTCGAGTTGTTTCAAACCTTGAACTCGGACAAGTGTGGCATCCGGATCCTCATGACCGGAACCACGGATGACTCGCTCTACGACACGGTGTTTGGATTCACCAAATGTCCTAAGATCGACCTCATTACCAAGACCAAGGCCGGGGGCGACTTTGAGCGGATCATCGAGGCTCGTATCAATGGGTCCGAGGTCTTGAAGTCATTCAAGGATTCCACTCGTAGTGCTATTGAGCGGAAACTGCTGCAGAACCCGAGCCGTAAGTACCTTCATGGGGTATGGGCTATGTGATATTAACTGACGCCGCTCAGGAGTCATGTCCTCTGTGGATCTTACCTTGACCATGATGGAACAATCCGAGGGAGACGAAACATCTGCCTTGGCTAAGATCGACAATGTCAATAGTCAAGAAGGCTTGTACACCGCGATGATTGAGATCGTCCGCGCCAAACGGAGTGAGATGGACCGCCGAATCGTTGAAACGATATTCGCCCTGTGCACATATGCCAAGCAACCGTTGACTGTATATGATCTGCAAGAGATTATTGATCAGGAGCCTAGCTTTGGAAGTTTCAATGTAGCTGGCGAGATTGAGGGAACACTGTCTAGGTATGTATCTGGTTGAAGACAAGGAGCTACGCTGACTGTTAGGGGGCGCTTAGTCTATTGTATACAATCAACTATCAGCCGGCAGATGCGCAGACGAGGCAGGTGGCGAAGGAGGGGCAGCCGGAAGGCTCAATCACTGAGGCAGCCCGACTGGAGAAGAAGATAAGCGAAAGCAAGCAACAGCAGGTTCTCTTCCGCCAACCCGCCTTCCGCGACTATCTGGAACAGTCCGTGAACAACATGATCCCTGACCCGATCGAGTCAAGGGTATTTTTCTTTCTGAAGCTGGGGGGTATTCTCTGCGATCGAGATCCGCAAGGAGCGAACCTTCGCAAGGCCCTCCAAGAGTATGCCGCCCAATGGTTCTTGCAGCACCTCAAAGACATCAGTGTGAAGCATACTACCCCTAAACAAGGCTTGCAGATCGTCGAAGCACTGGCACGTATTCTGACCAATGACAACGATGTCTGTCGAGTCTTCGAAGAGCTCCGTCAGAAGCAGGATGACGACAATGCGGATGTGGATTTCGACCTCTACGATATGTCCACCGATTTCGACAAGTCAGGTGGCTATAACCTGAAGGTTCTGATGGCATGGGCCCGGAAGATGAGCTTTCATGACGAGGAGGGATTGTCGCCGCGTGCCAAGGCCTGGGTCGAAAAGATCATCATGCAGCCGGGAAGCGTTCTCGAACAGCTGGCCCAAGGGCACATCGAGAGCTGGACGGAAAAGGTGACCTACAATGAAGCCAAAATCCCTTACAAGTTTATCTGTCGGGCTTTGTGGCCGGTATGTATCTCTCTCCACCGTGCTTAGCAGTCAACACTAATCTTTCTGCACTGCAGACTGGAAACTTCCCAGATGGGGACAACAATACTCGCTGGTACTTTCCTTATGTCTTGGCGCCCAGGGCCAGGCATATTCTGGAATATGGCAAGGCTGAGATGTTTACTACCCCAGTCAAGACCGCACGCTGTCGGATTGCCGCGGGATTGGTGTTGCATTCTATAGCAGATAACGAGGAGAAAGACCTTGCGGCCGAGTTCTACCAGACAAACCTGGATGACAAGACCACGCCCGGCCCGGAGCGGTTTTATTCTTATCTAGGGCTTGCGGAGTACCACCGTTCGAAGCAAGACCAGGCCGAGAGTATGGATGAGGAGGAGATACGGGAAGGCTGGAAGCGTGTGGTGAAGTACGCCGACCTTGCCCTAACCGCCCGTACTGAGGAGAAGGGCGCACTGGGCTCGGAGTTGAGCGACGAGCGATGTACCAATGCTTTTCTCCTCAAGGCCCATGCCTTGCAGCAACTGGGCGAAGATGAACAGGCAATTGAGACCTGCGAGGAAGCTTTGCGGGAGGGTCTCGAGTACACTCAGCAGCTCTTGGAACTTCTCACGAGCATCGTCAACATCCATGGCCAGAAGGGTGAATGGAGCAAGGTGATTGATGCCGTCCGCCGCCAACAGCCGAAGATCCGATCGGAGTGGCTGTGGTTCCGATCGACCGATTTCACCAACAAGAAGGACCTTTTCCGTCGAGCCGCTGTTGAAACAAGACGAGTTGATTATCTTCTCCAGACCTTCCAGGACTCTGTGGACTACTGGCAGAAATTGGATCCGGCGCGGGCACAAGCCACCCAATTCGAGCTTGCCTTCATATATCGACGAGACGCGCGTGCGACCAAGATGGCAGAGCACATACTGGACAACATGCTTGCCAATCTCACGGAATCGCAGATCGCGATCCTGCTGATGAGCTCCATCTTCCCCGAGATGGTTGACATCCAACACGAGAACTTTACCGTGACACGATCGACCACTGTGCGCGAGGAGTCGATCACGAAGCTGGAGCGACTGATCAGTACGTACGAGCGGACTCCAATTCTGGAGTCGATCCAGTTGGCCGAGGCCTTTCTGGTGCTAGGCAAGATGCATCGGGAGGTTGGGAATCTGGGGAAAGCCAGACTCCATGCCGACCGCGCATTCAATATCTGCATTGCAGATCTGGAGGACTCGATTGGGTCGAACGATGTCTATGCATTTCGCTTGCTGGCGAAAGTCCTCATGTTCTTGGACTTAAATATGGATGCGCAGGTCGCTTTGTCGCTTCAGATGTCTGTGGTGGACCGGAGCTACGATGACTATGCTAATGCCAATTTCAACTCGACTGGGCAACCGGCTGAGACAGAGGTGGTTCAAGGTGACGGTGAGCCAAGCGCAGAGACGGCGAATGGGGCAGAAGGCCAGCTTCCGGCTGGCTCAAGTGAGACAGGGAAGGAAGCAAACGAGCCATCTACGGACTCTGCAGAGACCAGTGCCGTTTCTGAAACCCAAGGATCGGATGGCAATGAGTCCTCGGCAACATCACTTCCGTCCGAGCAAGCCGAAGCCGCTGACACTGATGCGAAGGTATCCAGCTTGACTGTGGCGCCAATCACGCAGAAAAATGGAGAAGCGCCCGCCGTAAACGGCCAGTCTACGTCCGAGGTACCAGGAGTCAACGGCCATGCGACCGACCAGCCAGAGTCCACTCCAGCAGCCTCACCCACAGATGGCTCTTCCACGAAACCCGCACAACCCGATATCCCCGACATTTCCTTATCTCAAGACACGATCGATGTCACCAATGGGATCACCTGCAACGGACCCTGCATGGACCCGCCATTCGAGATGAAGACTTTCGGGCCGAAGGGTCCGAAGATGTATTTCTGTCTCGACTGTGCGACCGTGGATTTCTGCGAGGACTGCTACCGGAAACAGATCGCGTTCTATGATGAGACCGGCGAGGGCTTTTGGTTCAAGTGCTGCTGGGCACGGCACCGGTATCTGCCGCAGCCGATCGATGACTGGATGGGGGTGAAAGATGGGGTGATTCGCATTGGGAGGAAGGAGAAGTTGTGGAAGGATTGGATGATGTCGGTGAGGGACCGGTGGAAGAGGAAGATCAATGAAGTTTGATCGGAGTCTATTTTGGGACAAGTTCACGATAATGCCTAATGTTGATACCTCATTGAATATTGAACGAGTGTTGGAAAAACCAGCAACTGGCTTTTTGGATCTTGAGTATGGCTTTTACGGGTCTTTCTAACTAATATCTACGCCTTCAGACAACGGCATGGGAAACCGTTCGCTTGAGTGCACTCTGCACGATATGATCGATCATTTCATCGAACGAGACACCATTATGCTCAGCGATGAGCGGCAATTGCGACCAGCTAGGGAGCAACCCAGCCAGCGGATTGATCTGTGAGCGTTAGCAACCTCGCCACTTAAACACGAGCCTTCGAAGAGACAGACCTCCATGACATGAGCCACTCCAGCTCCATCCATGCGGACATCAACTCTGCCCCCATCGCGGCAGCGCAGCGCTCTCCACGCCTTTAACGCCGTCTCACAAGCCAGGTCTGCCTCCTTGTCCTCGCGAGTGACCTTGACCTCATCCGCCTCCCCGTTCCAATCATCCGACGACTTGGACTTCTCCGTGGTGAACTCGACCGAGCCCTTGTCCCCCTTCGCTCCCGACCAGACAATCTCATCCACCCCAACGACCCACGCATCGACCCCCGTCCCCAGAATCCCGACCGTAAACTCCCTTCCGGGGAGAAACGACTCGACCAAAATCCCCAAAGAAGAGGGACTCGCCGCCCGCAACGCATTTACCACGCGCACCAGCTCTTTGTCCGAGGCCACCCGATTCCCCAGGGCAATCCCCTTGGACGATCCCTCAGCCAAGGGTTTGACGAACAGCGGCCACCCCCCGGGCCCGAGCAGCGTCTCGACATGCCGCGAGTGGCGCATCTGTCCCAGGATCTCCTCGCCGCTCAACTCCTTTTTCTGGGGACTGTCGTCGAAATGAACGACCGCAAACGGCGCCGTCGCGACCCCGAAATGCTCCAGCACCATCTTCGTGCGCCCCTTGTCCAGACACAGCGCCATGGTCGCGGCGTCGGAGAAGGTGCGCGGGATGCGGTGCGCCTCCAGCACGGCGGCGACCTGCGCTTCGCGCGCGGGGCCGTACACGCCCTCGGTGATGTCGAAGGCTAGGTCCCATTTCGGGGTTTCGGGAGTAGTGAGGTGGGCGAGGAGGGCGTGGATGCTGGGGATCGGGTGGACGGTGTGGCCCTGGGATTGCAGGGCGGTTGTGACGGCGGGCGCGGCGGCGCCGACTTCGAGGTGCGAGAGGGAGGCGGCGGGGTGGTGGTGGAGGGCGTAGACGGCGGGGTCTTCGTAGATGAGGGCGATTGTTAGGGGGTGTTTGGTCATTTTGGGCTGTTCTTTTGGGTTGGTTGGGTTGGAGGAGGAGGGGGTTAGGGATGATTTGCAATTTCCTTGGAGGAACTTAGCAGGTGCAGCTGGCCTTTATTGCTTTATTGATAAGCTCCTTTTATAAGTGAAGCGTGGCGACAGAGTTGCGGTGTGAAGCGGTCAAGGACCTGCATTGCGATGGTCAGGTCAGTTGGTTCCTGGTGTTTTCTGCATATGCTGTGCTTTGCTGGCCATGCGAGATTGGGAGGCGGCTGGCTTCCGTGGATGCTGATCTATGGATCCAGACGTATCGGTTTGGCGCATGCTGCAAGTTATCAACTCGGAAGCCGGAAAATTACAAGGATCCATAGGCTCTCGATTTTCGTCAGGCAGGATTGGTGCATCAGGCTCCTGGAAAGCTGGTCTAGCTGTGTGCATGCAACAAATCACGACGACTTTGACAGCAGTCTTTCGACGACTCTTGATAGTTGGAATGCTATCAGATGAATGAAGCTCATTTCATGATTAGAAATCGCGCTTCTGCTGCTTTTTATCAGATTGAATGCTTTTGCAGTCTACATGAGAGTGGTCGCATCATACCTGGACGCAGGAAAGGTTGAAGCCATCGCTTTGAAGGGCTGGACTTTTCCTTGAAGCAGGCGATTACATGACTCCAGCAAACCTCACAGCCCGTCAAACATTGAACGAACATGTACGACAGCTTGAATCAGCTAGACTTGGGCAACACACGCTGACTGGTGGAAACTGCAAACCCAGCGTCATGCTCAGCATGGCACGATTTCATTTCCCCTCATCTTCAATTCTGCAGGACCGGTTAATTAGCGGAGGCTAATGCAGTGTGACGGAGAGGCATCAATTCAGGGCTTCGGCTAATTCTTGGCTTAGCCTCGCCAACTTCCCCTCATACCATGCAGTATACGGCTATAAATGCGCAGATCCACCTCCGACTTCCTCCTCGTCCCCATACCCCGAATTCCAAACCATGCCTGCGATTCTCGCCGTGTCTCTGCTGTCGGTTGCGGCCGCAGCTGCACCGTCGCTTCACCCACGACTGCAGGATGGATTGGCCCAGACGCCACCGATGGGGTAGGTCCACACCTTCATCAGACATGACTTGCGCTGAAGCATCCAGATGGAACACATACAACCACTATTCCTGCTCCCCAAATGAGACTATCGTCCGGTCCAATGCCAAAGCGTTGGTGGACTTGGGCCTCGACTCGCTGGGCTACCGCTATGTCACCACCGATTGCGGGTGGTCGGTGGCCGACCGGTTGACCGATGGATCCCTTACTTGGAATCCAGAGCTGTTTCCACAGGGCTTCCCGGCGCTGGGAGAGTATATTCACGATCTGGGGCTGTTGTTCGGCGTCTACGGAGACGCAGGGATTTTGCTATGCGGCAGCCCGCCGAACAACACGGGCAACTTAGGTATATTCCTGCGCCCAATGTTGCAATGGGTGGTATTCTAATCGCTGCTCGCTACAGGTCACGAAGAACAGGATGCTCAGACATTTGCCTCGTGGAAGGTAGATTCTCTGAAATGTAATCCCCCCCCCTAGACACAAACCTCCTTGCCAGAACCCCAGAGACTCACATTCACTCCAGACGACAACTGCTACTCCGACGCAGCGACCAACTTCCCCAACGTCAACTACGCGCCCAGCACCTCCCCCTCCTCGCGCTACGCCGCCATGTCCCAGGCCCTGGCCCAGCTGAACCGCACCGTGCTGTTTCAAGTCTGCGACTGGGGCGTGGACTTCCCCGCGCTCTGGGCCCCCTCGCTGGGCCACACCTGGCGCATCGGCAACGACATCATCCCGGCGTGGCGCACCATCTACCGCATCCTCAACCAGGCCGTGCCGCAGACCGACGTCGCCGGACCGGGCCAGTGGCCCGACCTCGACATGCTGGAGGTCGGCAACGGGGTGTTCTCGCTGCCCGAAGAGCAGACCCACTTCTCGCTGTGGGCGATCCTGAAGAGTCCGCTGGTCATCGGGGCTGCTCTGCGGGACGCAGCCACGGCGATTAGTGAGAGCTCGTTGGCGGTCCTCAAGCAGGAGGATGTGATTGCGTTGAACCAGGATGCGCTGGGCACAAGCGCGAGCCTGCGGCGTCGGTGGTCGGAGGAAGAGTACGAGGTGTGGAGTGGGCCGTTGTCCGGGGGCAGGACCGTCGCGGCGCTGGTGAACTGGCGCAACGAGTCGCGCGAGTTGACCCTGGATCTGCCGGACATTGGGCTGCAGTATGCCGGCAGTGTGAAGAATATCTGGGAGGGGAGTGTGGCGGAGGGGGTGCGGACATCGTACACGGCGACGGTGGCGGGCCATGGGACGATGCTGCTGGAATTGGGGGATACCATCGCTGAGGGGGTTTATCCTAGGGATTTGTTTGGGAAAACATTAGGGTAAGTGTGCGTGGTCCCACTCTGCTGGACGATGAGCTGACCGTGGGATGCAATGCAGGACCACCACGACGTTCTCGCCCATCTACGCCCTCACGACCAGCAAGAACTACACTTTGACAATCACCCTCTCCAAACCGCTCTCATCCCCGACTGCGATTCTGGTCTCTACCGGCTCCAACACAACCACCCGCCTCACCATCCCAGCCTCCACAACGAGCCTCACAACACCCCTCTCCCTCTCCGCCTCCTCCAACGCAACCCTAACCCTCCACCACCCCTCCACCCCCACCCTTCCCATCACCTCAATCACCCTGACCCCACCGCAAGGAACCTACGCCTCCAGCACAACCTTCACCCTCTCCGGCACGGCAACCCTCACCACCTGCGGCGCAGGGTACTGCCTCCCAGTCGGCAGCAAACTAGGCTACCTGTCCCCGTCCGGCTCCGCCAGCACAACCATCCACGCCTCCGCAGCGGGCACCAAGTACGTAGAAGTGGACTACATCAACAACGACATCGCCTTCGATTCGTCGTGGGACGAGGGCCGCAACGCCCGCAACCTGACGATTTCCGTGAATGGCGGGGCGCCGGTGCGGCTGGAGGTGCCGCTGAGTGGTCGACACAGCGAGCTGTTTGGGCCTGGTCTGGGGTGGTGGGATAGTGCGACGCTCGGGGTGAGCGTGGATGGGTGGAAGGTGGGCGGGAATGAGGTCGTGGTTGGGAATGTGGGCGGGGGCGAGGGGGTGCAGAGTTATGGGGCGGATTTGGTCGGGGTGAGGGTTTTGGATTAGCTTGCTGCGGCTGGTATACCTGTGTGTGTTGTTGATATTATGAATTAGCTCGAGGGGAGACCGAAGTGTGGGGTGCAACATAGTGAAATATGTTTGTTAAAAGAGTTATATGATATAAGAGTTGCACTCTCTACGTACGATACAGTTGTTGTCTAGAAGCCTAGCTTGGTCTTAGAACAAACAAGCTTTTTGTACCTGTGAATAAGATCACAAATGGGCAATTTTACAGGCATTCAGGAAAAGTAGTCGAATAACTCATCAATTGATGTAAATGAAATAAACAGAGGGATGGGAGCTAGAGACATTTACCTCTCAGAACAACAACAGTCTGTTACGGCTCCTGCACAACGCTTCCACCCCCCCCACCCTCCTTCCTCGACTCGGCCACAAGACCCCGCAACATCCCCAAAAGATGCACCTTGGGCGCCACGCGCTCGACAACGCAGCTCCACCGCGGCGCCTCCCCCTCATAGCGAATCTGATACCAGGCCCCGGACGTTGCTTCGTCTCGCCCCTCGGGCATGACCACCGCATCGATCACCGCGTCCCTCCGCGGGTGGAACTGCGGATCGAGCCGGAAGACCACCCGCGCCAGCCCGTCGGCGATCCTGTCGGCGTGCTGGTCCGCCGCAAGGCCGGCCGGGATCCAGGCCCGGAACGCCCAGACGTGGTCGGCGTGGTCGCGGAACGCCTGCGTGCGGACGACGGTGTGGCCACCCTGGCCGGTGGGGTCCTCGAGAGCGAGCAGGCCGCCTTCGACGATGGAGTACGCTATTGCGCTGTGGGAGAGCTGAGGTTGGGGGCGGGGCCGGTTGGGGCGGGGTGGGGGGGGCATGGACATTGTGTCGGTGGGGGTGGGGATAACAACAGCAATGGGTTAGGGGATTGGGTTATTGGAGGTGGGACCTACGGTCAGGCTTGGGGGAGAAGATGCACGGGAGGTGAGGGTGGTTGATGGGCGAGGGGTTGGTTTTGAGGGTTTTATATACGCTATCTTTGCACGGGAATGGTTGGTGCGAGAAAGGGACAATGAGGAATGACCGGGGTGCTTCTTTCATGGGTCAGAAGGTATGGAGTCCTCCGGCGGGATGAAAGAGCGTTTATATCCATTCGGGAAGCAGTATCTGGTTTTGATTCTGGTTGCACGCCTGGATAGAAGGTTGCGAAGGCATTGAGCAGCAAGCTTTGACAGTCCTTTGTTAGTGCTCTGTTCTTGGATCATCTGCATAAAGATTGATGTTTCCGGGCAGAATCAGGCGAGCTCCTTCTAAGTGGAGGCAAGAAGAGATCAAGTCAACTTCATATAATCGAGGATGCATCGGTAGCATGTTTCTAGGCGCAGGGCGTGCTGAGTAGCAACACCGACAGATTTGACTCTTAATTGGGAGAGGAAAGTGAGGGTCTCACTTAAAATAAACATGATACAAATCTTACTACGGTGCTGACAGTATCCGCTGATTGACAGAAACTCGTCCTCGTTAAGCGCATTACCGATGAAGCTATTTCCTTCGGTCTAGGGTATCATCCTATCCAGCCCTAGCGGGCATGATGTGTCTTCTCATCCCCAACTGCTTCCCTATCCGGCTGAAGATAGGTTGCTGTGATCAGGTGCAATATTTGCCTAGTTAATTTAGTAGTAGCCTATTTGCCTATTCTGCAGCTGTGACATTCACAATTGATGGCATGCACAACCATGCGCTACAACCAACAGTCTCACAGGACAGAACAAATAGATTGGGCATATATCAAATTGTGTATTCTCCTACATAATAGAACATACGAAGACGGAAAGAGGGATCATCTACCACTAGAAAGACGGCGCATCCCACGCCCTTAACTCCACCAAACAAGCCACCATATCCGGCCGATTGCAATCCGCGGCATACGCCACCGGACCGCGACCATCAAGCGACGTCAGCTGCAGCAAGACCGGACGCATCGCGACCATCACGCGCACATACATGGGGGACGCGTAGCGCAGCGCCTGGAAGAACATCTGATCATCAACCAGCTCCTCCAAGACCAGACCCGACTCCAACTCCGTCCTCACCATCCGCTCCACGAGCCCGAGCTCGAGGTCCAGCGTGCGAGCCCGATAATCCAGCAGTCGCGGCATGGCGCACTTGGCCCCGGCGTCCAGCAGCAGCCTGAGCACCGCAACATCCTCCGCCGTCGCCTTATTGGCCCAGCAATCCAGTGCCATCTCCAGCCGACTGGACGTGACATTGGGATCGGCGCCATGCTTCAGCAGCACCTCCACCACCTCAGGATGCTTGTACAGCACCGCCAGATGCACCAGCGGCTGCGCCTGGAGATCGTAGCTGTCCGCGCTGATGTGGAACCTCGTGAGCGCTTTCGTCACGAGCCCTACATTGCCGGCCCGCACGGCCTCGACGAGAGGCTGGGGCGGCAGCGCCCGCGCCGTGCGGTACGTGCGCGTCCGCGGATGGCCTTTCGCGTCCGGGGCCAGGTACGTGAGCTCGTGGTAGTGCACCGCTTCGGCGAGGCAGCACTCGCGCATCTCGGCGATGAGGTTGGCTAGTGCTCGTCGGAGGCCTTTGCAGGTTAGCGAGAGCGCGAACGCGGTCTTAGGGGTCATGTACTCGCCGCAGCTGAGGATTAGCTCCGAGGGCAGCGCGTGGATCCCCGTCGTAATGGCCATGGCGGTTGCGCTCGGAGAGCTCGACTTGCTGGTTTTCTCGAGGAGTTGCGTCCGGGCGTATCTGTTTGGCTTTTTGCGGGGCAGGTAGAGTTACTGTTCTGTGGGCCTTTTCTTGAGTATAGGCAGTGATGATGAACCCTGGTTCACCCTGTGCGAGGTTCCTTGGGCATGCATGCTTGGTACGTGTTCCTTTATATACGGGTGAGAAGGTGTTTCTTTGGAGAGAGTAAATCAGGAGTTGATGGAGGGTTTCGGGAGGAACTCCGGGTAATAAAATTGGGGATGGATCGAATTGTTCTGCTTTGACATGAGAGGGGGAGCAGGAGTTGTGGCAAGATGCTTGCAATGATAGCTTCTAAGGACTGCTGTGTGGCGGTTGCTTGGAGGTTCATGGCAATGCTGATGAGCTTGCCCAGAGAGGGTTCCCGAGGGGAACACTGTTGTTGCGCGTAGACTCAAGTGACCATAACAATGAGCATAAAAGCAGCATAGAACGAGTATAAGAAGCTCCTAGTCATGACCCTCGCAGTGTTCAGATAAAGTATTACTAACCCCCAATTTATTATTCCTCGAGAACGTTGTCCACAAAGCATTATATACGTCTACTCGTGATGCTTTCATCCTCTGGTGAAAGGAAACGACAAAGAGTTAGACAGAGACTCGAGAGAAAGACAATGAATTCTTCAGAAGCTTATCCTTAAAGTATGCTAATAATGTAGACCATTGACCTACCTTCACAACCATGAGTACCCATGACCACCCTCCCCAAAACTCTTGCCAGACCAAAGCCAAGCCGCATTTACCGACGAAACCAACCGTCTCGGCAGTTTGATGCCCACGCCCTCAGGGTTTTGGATTCGGCCGATCAGGCGCAGGTGCCCGCTTGCTGTGGATCGAAGGATCTTCCCAAGCATTCGGTGACTTGAACGCGGTGCCCTCCAACTTCCAAGCTACCAGCCCACTGCATCAGCCTCAATGGAATCAAAGATGACAACACAATACATAAACCATCCCAAGTCTTCGGTAACTAGTCTTGCCCTAAAGGTACCGAACTCGCGATAGACGGACCCACCGGACCGGTCGAGACCCATGTGGCCGGGTCCACTGTGGCTGGACGGGCTTCTGGAAAATTGGCAGTTTTACGCGAATATGCTCATCTTTGTGCACATGTGTCTTGCAGGCAAAGACTGTTTGAAGGGTTGAGGACTCTTCAGAATACAATAGTGAGGGTAATTTCACTTCCAATTGTCTCCGTGGGCAGATTCAGACATAATGAACTTGAAAGGTGGGAAGGCGAGCACGGTGAAGGATCTTACTCGGTAATAGGGATGAAATATGTGCTGATCTTAGACATGGCGAATTCACAACGAATATACATGAATCGAGTCTGTTTATATGCAGTGGCTAAGGAGACAACATCGCTTCAGTAAGATCCCACTCAACGGGTTAGTAACATGTCCAACGACTGACTATACCTGCCCCGAAAGGAGACGATCTCTCACGACCCCAACCCCCCTCATTCCCACAAAGTAGACCACCGCGCCCATCAGGGTCTGCACTGCAACATCCATAGGCGATCCCGTCATCCTCCTCTGCCGCAAGACAACCTCCAGCAAGCCTGCTCGTCCTATCACGCCCACCACGAAGAGCGATACCTCCACAAGCGCATCCAAGATCAGCGGCGAGTACGCCACCCCTGGCGCAAGGAGGTACCGCACCACCATGGTGGCATACGATTTCTGCATGGAGAGCGTCTGCTCACTCGCCACGAAGGCATCCATGAAACTCGGCGTCGAATGCCAGCGACACCAGTCCAGAATGGGAAACCTGCCGGATACTGCACGATGCCCTTTATCCCTCGGAGTGGGCGAGGAGCTCACGATCTTCTGCAGCAATGCCGGGTCCGAGACCGCGATGTTCTGCGAAACAGTATCGGCCTCTTGGCCTGTTGCGCGCATCTCCGTCGATAGTCCCTCCCAGGCGGTGGGGTAGTTGACGATGCGCGTGTAGAAAGGAGGATCGAGGACTTCGACGGTCACGGTCCGGACGGATGTGCTTTCGGAAGTGCATGACGCGGATCTCATGTGGATGGTCTCGTCGGAGAAAGCGCGGCAGGGGATGTAGGTTAGTTCCACCGGGTCGGGAGAGGAGGAGACACAGTGGGCGAGATAGGCGCGGAAGAAAGGTTCGATTTGCCTAGCAAGGGGTATCGTCAGTATAACCCTCAAACAGGGAACATGCACGGGGAGAGGCCTACCGTTCAGCCCGGGTCGGATGGCGCCCGATACTCCCACTGCGCACCGGGGTCTTATCCATCATCTTCATCAGGCCCTTCCAGCGGATGCGCAACGCCTCGAGCACGATATACGGCGTCGTCAGCACGCCCGGCAGCGTCCACCGCAGCGCAATCCGCGCCAGGTCCGTGAACCCCATCTGCGCGGGATCGAGCGGCGCGCCACAGCAGGTGATCCGCGTGACCATCTTGACTTTCCCCTCCGGGCTCAACGTGTTGGTGTTCAGCAGCGTGGCATTGGGTTTCCACGCGGCGCCGTGCGCCAGATCCATGAACCGGTTCGCGATGGCGCCGTCGACCTTCTCGAACGGCGAGGCGAAGATGAATTTCTGCCAGGTGCCCTTGTAGTAGGTGGATCTGGGATGGGAGGATGTGGTGCGGATGGTGGAGGCGCTGTCGAGGAAGTGAGGGTTGTCGGTCTCGGTCCCCTTCTCCGTAGCAGGGGTGGGGTTCCCGCCGCGCTCGACCCGGAAGAAGTAATTGCGCTTCTCGTCGTAGGAGTTGTTGATCTCCATGATCATCGCGTCGAGTTCGCGGTCGGCGTTGTAGAGATACCACCACGTCACGACACTGCGCGACCACCAGAAGAACCGCGGGACGGTGAGGAGGTACGCTTGGGGCCATTGGGAGGGGTCCTCGTTCTGCTGCTGTTAGCTTATACCCTGAACTTCTTGAGAACAGGAGCAGTACCTCTTTCAGCAAGTATCGATCCAATTTCGCCCGCATATCGAGATCCTGATCTCCGCGGTGGAGGTACCGCTCCCCGTCGACACTGAGCCAGCACGTCGCCTGCGCCAGGAAGGACCTCCACGATGGACCCGCATGCGTCGAGTCGCGGAGTGTCAACCGCTTGTCGTCGATCGCGAGCAGGTTGCCATAGCGCGCGCGCATCCCGACGGGAATGCCGATCATCAGGAATCTGTTGGCGAATTGGTCCTTGACGGGGTTGAAGCGCACATGATTGAGCTGCACGGGAAATAACAGGGGCTTTCCGAGGATTGATCGCGGTTCATCGGAGAGGGGGACCACCTGACGTGATACCAAGAAGAGGCGCAAAAACATGAAGATTAGAACAAGGCATGGCGTCAACAGAAGCAGGGCACCCAGTGCTGTTAGGGCTGTCAGGAGGAAGGCCGCACTTCGGTGCCTCAGGCCGGCGTACAGGGCTAGAGTGACGAGGTCTTCGTACAGCATCGTGCGTTGACCGACACCCTTTCAATAGAGGATAACAAAGAATCGAGAATGGGATGAAGTAGGATTTTAGTTGCAGGGAGCAGCTTTATACATTGGAATCGATGCCTACAGCTGAGCCGTATCGGCAATGCCGTAGCCAAGAGGCTTGTTTTCTCCCCTAGCACTGTCGAAAAAGATTTCCCAACCCAGTACACGAATACAACAGTACAAGCAAATTACCTTAATCTATCAAACTTGTAAATACCATGACCGAGACAACCAAACACGCTGCTTATACAGGACCAACAGATCGGTCTAACCGCAAAAGGACGCCTGGCATGACGCTAAAAGAAATGTGGCTGAAATCTCGCCAGCCGAAGCGCGTTCAGCCAGCCAGCCCCAAACCCACAGAATGACACCTGCTCGGGTCGCTCCGGAAGAACAAAAATGATCCAGACAAAAAAGAAAAAAAAAAAAAAAAACTCTAGCTTCACCGTTCGTAGATCCAGTCCGCAGAGATATTCCAGTGTGTGGACCGCCAGAGGTGGAGAGAGTTCCAAGGGTAGAGGAACCAATTCTTGCCCGTCAACTTGTCGATGAAGAACTGCGATCGCCGTCAGTCATGTCCGTCATTCGGTGAAAGTGGGGATACAGTCATCACGCACACTAGAACAGGAGCTGTCATGTACTGTACGATCGATCGCCGCATGAAGCTCGTCGGTATACTCCTTCTCACTGCCGACCTTGACCTCGACCAGAGCAGCCTGGTTCAGCAGCACCGGTCTGATCAAAGCGATGATCATGTCCACGTAACTATCAACTTGGTCAGCTAGCCAGCCCGAACACAGGAGGCTGCATACGAGCCCAACCGACCTTTCAATCTGGAATGTCGTCGACGTGTGGACCCCACCCGAGTTCGGGCCCAGCACGTAGAAGAAGTTCGGGAATCCACTCATGGCAATCGACTTGAAGGCGGCCTTGGATCCATACTGTTGCCAGTGTTCTTCGCGCGTTCGGCCATGCCGGCCCCGAAGCTGCGTCTCGTAGTGCGTCAGGGCGAATCCCGTTGCCAAAAGCTGGAGCCACGAGTCAGTCTGCCCGCTCACGCTAACGAGGGACCAGTGGTCTGGTGAGAGGCTTACGATCAGGTCGGCTGAAATTTCCTCCCCGGAATGTGTCACGATCGAGCGTGGCTTGACCTCAGCGATGGGGTCGTTCGTTAGGCGAATATTGTTTCCATGTAGAGCCGCAGAATAGCTCCGGTCGAACAGCCGTCTCTGCATGAACAGAACAAATGGTTAGGTCACTTTCAATTCAGCAAAGCCACAGCGCGCGCGCCCCGCCCTTACCTTACAGCCGAACTCGTATTGCGGTATTAGCAAATCCCAGTATTTTTCTGCGCGAACCCGCCTGTTAGTCCCCTGTCGCTTGCAATTACCCCCAAATGGCGGAGATCCATACCCGGTGCAGCTTTGTGTACATACTCCCGACTCGCCTTCTCGGCGCTTGCTCGATTCACACGGCCCTCTTTGCTGCGCTGGAACTGCGAGAATCCGGTTTCCATGTACACAAACATCGCCCACCGGAGCAAACACAGCAGAAACGGGAGATAGCGGAAGACCGCTCGCCATGCTTCAGTGATGCCGTAGTTCGTGCTCGGAACAATGTGGTGCGGTGTCTGCGCCACAGTCTTAGCGGATGGGGTTTTTTCTCAACCCTACAAAGAAAAAGTCAAAAGCGGAGCAGAGAGCAAACTCACCCTCATGAATTGGATAACGTAGCTTGCCTGCTCACAAATCGCAGGCACTAGTTGGATAGCCGATGCTGCGGCCGTGGTCAGCATACCTCTCGCAATGGAAGGGCTTTTCCCGCTCCAGCCCTACCTCCATTGCCTATGACCGCCACCTTCTTGCCACGCAGGTCCACGTCCTCGCGCCACCTTGCGGTGTGAATGATCTGTCCCTCAAATCGCTCAATGCCCGGGGCCGTGAATGGGAGCGGATTGACGAGCGCCCCGACCGCCGAGATGAGGATCCGACACTCCTGCGTGAACTGCTGCCCGGTCGAGCGGTCCCGGAAGGTGACCACCCAGGTGCGGGTGGTGTCCTGCCAGGCGGCACCGACCCATTCGGTGTTGCCGGTGAAATGCGGCGTGACGTCGTAGCGGTCTGCGACGCTGGTGAGGTAGTCCAGGATCTCGGCCTGCGAGGGGAACCATTCGCTAAAGTCGGGGCTCGGGGCGAAGGAGAAGGTGTAGCAGAACCCTGGCACGTCCACGGCACAGCCCGGATCTGCATTTCTCAGTAGGGTGTTCAGATATATCGGGGAAGGGGCAACGAACATCGGTTCACCCACCACGTTCCTCCTACGCCAGGATGTCGATCGTAGATACAGTAGTTGTCCAGGTTGTAGGTGCGTTTTAGTTGACAGGCGGTGACCAGGCCTGAGATTCCCGCCCCGATGATGATGACAGTGGTAGGGGGCTTGGATGGTAAAGACATGATATCCAGCTGTCTGGGGCTTCAGGGCTAACCGATGCTAGGTGGTCGGGAGATTGAGGGCAAATATTCTTTGTCCGTGCCTTTACTCCTCGACTCTATATATACCCCGGGTTGAGAGCTTGAAACGGGTCAAACTCTGAAGCCCCGAGCAACTATCCAGCTCTGCAGTATAGATCAGGCAGTTCGGCTATCTCCTAGCTGCCTGCGAGATGTTCTGGAACACTCCTCAGCAAAACGAAAAATACGTGTTCGTAATCTACTCCGACAAGTATGTGACGGACCTGCATGAAGCCGACACGTCAGTCGACCCCCACTTTCTCAGCTGTCGCTTAAACGCCCGATAGCGCGAACCCTTCCATAAGTGTCCGGCAGCTTGGTACCCTCTCACTGTTTTGCTCTGGACGAACTAATGGTTTGCAAGTGTATGTTTGGCTCCGGTCATACAAAAGCTTCCCGATTCTATGGTTTGGACAGAATCATGAGACTCAGTCCACCATTGACAACGCGCAGGAAAGAATGTCAAAGAAGAAAAAAAAAAAGAAAGCCACAAATGGCTCAGCCAGCCACACAAACTGCAGGAGGCCGACGCTTCAAAGTGTTAGGCAACATCCGACACTGCCTGAATCCCAAGTGGGCTGGGCTGAACCCCGCGTGCCCTAATTCCCAAGCCACTCAACACGAAAAATCAAAAGCAGGATGGACTGTACTGTACAGCATTGTGCACTGCAGAGAGGATTTCCGACCGGCAACAACGGCCACATTGGACAATACAACATGTTCATCAAACGTCTCAATCCCTTGGACTTCACATTGTTGGCATCTGCAGGTAGCAGTCCAGTATCCGAGACATTATTTTCGATGCCTTTGGGCAAACAAAGCATAAAGAACGGTGGGGCCGGAGATCGCCGTGTAGATGGGTGACTGGGGGATCTGGATGAGGATTCAGAATTCTTCTGCCGTCCCCGGGAGAAACAAGGTAGGTTTGTATCCTATAACCAAATATGAGGCTTGGTACCGTGGCTTTCGACCGCCGCGAGTATTTCACGCTCAGCAATGCTTGAATCGGCCCACCTAGAAGGACGGACTGCATTATGACAGGATGTCCGTATGGCAATGTCGGCAAGCTTATGTTTATTCATCTACATACATTGGTCTGACATGTTTTTATCGTCTTGAACAAAATAGAGCTGATCATAAGGATATAGGTATATTTAAGGAGGGTAAGAGGAGAAGAGTGGTTGTGCGGAGATATGCTTAGAAAGAAGACAAATCAGATGGAGCTCATTATTGCATTACCTTATCCTTATTGAAACGGTGAGCCTGAGTTTATGAGTAAGATACCAAACTGATCAAGTCCACAAAGTGCAATTTAATAGGTGAGTTGTATCGAGTCAACCGAAGAACAAAATATTGTCATCGGACAAAGACCACAATTGAAAAGATTCTTTCATGGGAATAGAGGGGATATCTCCGTCATCTGCTTTTACCGAACTCAGAGCTTATCTGATACTTACTGTATTCACTTACAGGTCACCTTTTCATCTGGTTTTCGGTAATGTGGAAGATTCACTTCCATGCCCTAAACTCATTCGACCTTCTGCGATGGTCGTCTTTGATACCATAGGAGATTTCCGGCTCCCATCAAGAACCAATCTCCATGAAAGAACAAACACATCAAGAAGCCAATGATATAAATAGATTGGATGGTTCTTGCGTCTTCAGTCTAGGATAGTACCAGAGCCCATCCAACTTGCATGTATCAAACACGACCACTATGTCTAAAACCCCAGCTGGACATCGAATGCCCACCGAGTTGCTTCTCGAAGTCGCCAAGTGGATGGACGATCGAACGCTGAGCCGGCTTTCCTGCACCTGCAAAGGCTTTAGGGATGAATTCAGGGACCAGCTACGTGAAAGAGCCATAGCGTATGCCATGCCCACGCTCGACCCGCAATCTTGGGTGGATATGATTGTCCCCGCCATCCGGAAATTGCACAACCCGGGCGACGATATCACGGCCATCGTCTGCTCCTTCTTCTCCGACATCATCAGTGACCAGCTCTCGGAGGACTTGGAGGATGAGCTCGAGGCCTTCATGCCGCGCCAGCCCCTCTACGATGCCATCTGCCACAGCCAATACGACACCGTCGAGCGGCTGCTGCGCGTCGGCGGCGTGGACGTCGCCAATGGCCGGAACTACTATAACGAGCCGATGCTGCACATCGCCGTGGAGCTCGGGCACGTAGAGGCCGTCCGCTTGCTCCTGGAGCACGGGGCAGACCCCAACGTCGAAGATGATGAGCAGGTCCGTCGTGCCCTGGACATAAAACCGCCGCGGCAGCCACGCGCGGCGATCTACCGCCTGCTCCTCGACTCGGGCGCCATTCCCAACTCCCTGCTCTGTTTTGGGATACATGTCTTGGACCTCAAGGGCGGGGCGTGCCTCCTGCTCGACGCGTTCGAGAGCGCAGGCGGCACCGGCCTCGACGAGCCCGGATGGTGGGAGATTTTCTCCAGCGCTATAACCGGCAAGTACCGGAACTTCCTGGAGGAAATCTTGGATCTTCGACCCGACCTCGTGCAGCTCTCAAGCGAGGACCCCGTCGAGCAAAAGGTCACGCTGTTCGATGAAGCGGTCAAGATCGCCCGGTTTCAGATCGCCGCGCTTCTCGTGCGAAAGGGGGCCCCCCTGCAGGACGCACCCCCGGATTATTATTTCTGCGACGACAAGATGAGACGCATCCATGTTCCGTATAGGGAGGTGTGGAAGGCGTTGTTTACCCGGGCTCCGGAGGAGCTGCTGGACGCTCTGCTCGAGCGGCCGGAGCTGCGCGATTACGAATTCAAGGACGCCATTCGTGAGAGAGCGAGTGTGATGCGTAAGTTATTAGGTTGAATGGGTTTGGCCCGCCTGCTGACACCACGCGGATGTCGACGGGGATTTAGGTGTTGAATGTGAAATGTATAAAGCTATTTTGATGTCCGAGTGTTGAAAATTCCAAAAAAAAGTGTCGATGTGCTAACGATACCAAAAGATACATAACCGTGTTCAGTTGCGACGGACTGCCGTGGAGTCTGGGTCCGAGACAGATTACAGGAACAATTGAACCAACTTTCCACAAAACCTGTCACCCTTTGATGTGGCTTGTTGACACCGCAGTTCATCCTAACTCTATAGGTCCACCAGCCTCCCAGTTCCCAAATCATGCTAGCCATCTTTACCCTGCAATGTTATCATTTTCGAAAGAGTATCCTACGAATAAAGCAAGCTGCAGTCGACCGTCCCAGGACTGCTGCAAGTGATGTCTCATCATCATTCATCGAACTTAGTGGGTAGCCTCGACTTCCACTGGATTTTGGCCCGAGTAAGAAGCTTCTCATCGGACATCATATCCCAGCCCAGGAGAGCCAACCCTTTGCCAACCGCTATGGCTTCTTCATGTGCTTCATCCGTACCAGCGCACGCGGTGAAAGAAGGATGGTGGGGAAAGCACCCGTCAGGAGCTGGAATGGCAAACATCGAATGCAGTGTAGGAGCAACATAGCTCACGTTTCCTGTGCCGTGTCAGTCTCTTCCTTCATACTATCCATTTGAAAACCTACCAACATCAGACGACCCGGTCAGGACCTTCTCGTACTTTTCGATGATCGATCTCCCACACGCTGCCATATGCTTCGTGTATCGTTGGCATAAGACATCATTGAGTACGATATCGGTATACAGGCCTTCCCTGTTGCCATAAATCCGTTAGCAACACATAGAAGGATTTGGGTCAATCCAACCTACTCCACAATCTTCACAGTACAACCGGTGACGACAGCAGCCCCTTCAATACACAAGCGGACTCGCGCGATCAGCTTATTGAGCTGGTCCAGAGTGGGGCTGCGAATTTGCCAGTAGGACTTGGTGTACGCAGGAATCACATTTGCGACCTTGGGGACATCTAAGAAGGCGCCATGAATCCGCTCATCGGGGAGGATCTGCTGCCTTAGAGTCGAGATCCCGTTGTAGGCCATGATCAAGGCATCCAACGCGTTGACGCCCTCCCATGGATTGCCTCCAGCATGGGCATTTTTCCCAAAGTATTCAACGAAGAGCTCCTTGCGCGCATTCATGAGTATACCCGCCACGCCGTCGCTCGGCGGTCCCACGATATCCTTCGGGCCAGGATGTCCAGGGGTAAGTCAGCCCTAATCGTGAACCCACGACACAAAAAGTGTGTAAATGAGGGGAATGAAAGTCCTTACGCCATTAATGAGACATCGACTCCCTTGTAGGCGCCTGCATCGATCAATCTCGCCTTCCCTCCCCCGTTCTCCTCAGCAGGCGTGCCGAGGAGCTGGATGCGGCCGCCAATTCCATATTGTCTTTGCAGATGGCTCAACGCCAGAAAGGCCGCGATGCTGCTCGTCGCGATGAGGTTGTGTCCACACGCGTGCCCGATCCCCGGGAGCGCATCGTATTCCGCGTTGAGGTTGACCAGGCGACCCTCGGTGCCGCTGATACATTCGAAGGAGGTATCTACCCCGTACGCATGCCGCGTCACTGTGAAGCCTTGCTTCTCGAGAAAATTGCAGATCTCATCGTGGGCTTGGTGTTCTTCGTAGGCAAGCTCGGGGTTTGACCATATCTGAAAGCAGGTTTGGTTAGTGATTGCCAGCGCCTAGATGAGGACTGTTGAACTCCGCAGACTGAGCTGACCAGGTGATTGAGCTGACGCAGTTGCGATGCAACTTTCTCGAGAGCACTGTCGATTGCTGTGCGCACTTCCTCGGGCGGGACTGCAGTCAGCGGGGCCGCAGTCATATTGGGCGAGTTGCTTGATTGAAATGAAGAAGTATGAAGGCCTGGCATTGGAACTTTAGGAAAGTGTGCGATGAATGGATATTTAACTGTGAAGCCCTGGCAAGGAGTGTTGCTTTATCTCCTTCTACAATTCCTCGCAGACGGTATAGACACATCAGCAGCCGGGAAGAACGGCACTATCGTAATTCAGTATAAGTAGTTCGGCTCTTAGAAGTCAAGGAGGTGATGCATAGTGCGGCGCATAAACGCAAGTTGCTGCATAAGAGATGCTACCAGCATGCAGGGCTTATCTGTCCAAACAAGAGGATAGGACCAGGTACACCAGGCACAGCCACCAGATAACAACCGACACGCGGGCACCAATCAGTCCCAGAACATTTTGCCGAGCATCGGTGGCTTGGCTTCATCTTCGCTAGTCACCGTTTATGGGTTTGCCGAGGTGCTGTTATACATCTCTATACCTGGTCTCTGATTAGATCGATAATCGATGAGAACTTTCCGCGGGAAATTCATGTCGCCTCCCTGATAAGACCTGGAAAAGGGGCCTGAACTATCATGTTTGCCTATCAACTAACGCCATCTTGTTGGCGGCTTGCATAGTCGTTGACAGAGCGGCCATTGAATACTTCTGGAGCATGGGAAATGATAAGCGTGTACTTATATAGTGCAAACATGTAGGATCCCTCTCAAGAAACCATACTTCTGATACTCACATAGGTTGGAAAACGTGCCTTTCACTTCCTGTGCTATGGAGAAGTCTCCAGAATCCCCATTTGATGAGAAGCTGCCATGCGCTATCACGGAGACTGCGCAGGAAACTAGTGTCGGCGAGCTTGCCGAAGTTCTTGCGCCATCACCTGAAGCGGAGCGCCGGCTTCTATGGAAATTGGATTTCTTGTAGGTGCTCAAAAACGCAGCCGAATCGAAGCCACTCGCTCACCAGACTGCTAGCTTGATTCCGACGATGGGAATATGCTACATGCTTCAGTACATGGACAAACTGGCTCTGAGTCAAGCAACACTCTTGAACCTACGACAAGATCTGGTCAGTATCCTTGAACTTTCGCCTGCCACAAAACGACGTGGTTAACTAGTATGGCCGGTGCAGGGTCTTCGTGGCTCGCAGTATACATGGTGCTCGGCCATTTTTTACTTCGGATATCTGGCCTGGAGCTGGCCGACGTCTTACCTGATTGTCCGTCTGCCTCTGGGCAAGTATCTGGCAATCTCCGTGTAGGTCTCCATGCATGCCTGCAAGTCCCGTTTGAAACATGGCTAATCTTAGTGCCACAGATTTCTATGGGGAGGTATTCTGATGTGCCACGCAGCCTGCCAGAGCTTTCAAGGCTTGATCACAGCTCGATTCTTCCTGGGGGTGGGCGAGGCGGCGGTGGCTCCGGGGTTTGGCCTGATAGTCGGGATGTTTTATAAACGGGATGAACAGCCCGCGCGCCAGGCGGCCTGGTTCGTCGGTAATTGTGTTGCGAACTTGATCGGAGGTGTGACTGCCTGGGGAATCGGCAATGCCGCGTCCAGCATTCAGAGCTGGCGTCTGCTGTTCCTGGTCCTGGGTGGCATTACTTCGGGCTATGCCATCTTTCTTCTTCTGGTTCTGCCCGACTCCCCCTCCACGGCGTTCTTTCTCAGCTCAAATGAACGCAGGACTGCCACGCAACGAATGCTGAGCAATGAAACAGTGGATGTGGAAGAAGCCCCAGGGGGCGCAAAGTTCCATTGGAACCAGGTTTGGGAATCGGTGCAGGACCCCCAGGCGTGGTGTTTGGTTCTGTACACATTCTGTGTCAATCTTGCCAACGGCGGTCTTACCAGCGTAAGGTCATCTCATTAATTCCAGCTGGCGTCAAGTGCTCACTGTCAGATATAGTTCTCCGCCATCATTGTAGCAGGCTTCGGCTATTCCAGCTTCAAGTCTCTCCTACTCCAAATGCCAGTGGGTGCCGCGCAGCTTGTGTTCCTCATCATCACCGCAGCCATTGCCACGTTCATTCCATCCTCTCGGATTCTATCCATGATCTTGAACGTTGTGGTCGCCATTGTCGGCGTGGCGCTCATCTATACCTTGAATGACAGCCACAAGGTCGTCAAGCTAGTCGGACTGTCCTTCGTCGGAGCCTTCGCCGTCAACATCCCTCTTGCGCTGAGCATCATCAGCTCCAACGTGGTCGGACGCACGAAGCGAAGTACCGTCAGCAGTGCCGTGTTCGCTGCCTATTGTGTTGGCAATATCGTCGGTCCGCAGTTCTTCCTGGCGTCAGAAGAGCCGGTCTACGCGGTACGTTATGGAGAGCGGAGTACATTCTTGAGAACATGTTCCTCATTGGCTGACTCCCTACGAAAACAGACCGGCATTCGCGCCTCTCTTTGTGGTCTGGCTTTAGGTGTTCTCTTTCTTGGGCTTTTATCCGCGTACTATGTCTGGGAGAACAGACGACGAGATGCTATGTACGGCCATGTCGATAACCTGCATCCCCTTCCGTCTAGTACGGCTCAGGCACCAACCAGCCATACAGACAGACAGAATACGAGTTTTCGCTATGTTCGATGAAATGAACCCCATGTCAACCGTGCTTTGTGGGATGCACTGTGCTGCTGGTGGCGTGTTTGGAAAATCGAACAGTGTTTTTCTGAGATTAGCTTGAATAGTGCTCACTATTTGAACTCGTTCTACTCGCAGCAAAAACTAGAGTGTATGGTGCTAATAATTAACTGTATGCATATACCGTTACGCAAGAGAACTAGGTTTTGAACAAAATGCCTGCTCTGTTGCCTTGAAATGAATTAAGTTCCATTCCTACGTCGGTCCCAGAAGTCTCCCTTTTCTGCGGATACTACTCAAAGCAGCAATTGAATTCCGGTTCAAGGTGCCGAAAGTAGATGCTGCAAGGTGCACCCCGTGCGACCTTCAAACTTTGAGCCTCTTGTTTGACGGTTAAAATACTTGTTTTACACAACCAGCTACGTGCAGACAATCCCTGCCGATACGATGAGTGTCTGCTCGCGAATTAGGCAGCTGAGCGCCATAGCAGCAATTAACTTGAGTACTGGTAAGTTAGTATCTGGTGCGCTTGCCTTCAGCAGGAAAGAAGCCCTCTGGAGTGGGTTGAGTCAGAGCTGTTGCCAGTGGTGCATATGATGAGAGCGTTGTTGCACCGCTCGGCCAAAAGAATGTCAAGACAGTAACCTAGCTGATCGCTCGCTCCAAAGAATCCTCCCCAACGATATAGGTCTGTTTGTCAGGTCGATGAGCTGGACGATGCGTCTGTTGTAGTATACAAGGATTTTTAAGCCTCATAACCTGATGGCAGTGTAACTCTATCTCTGCATTTCGCGCCACGCGGGCGAGCTAGCTAGGTCTAACTATAGGTCACTGACTACAATAAGGCAGCAGAATTCTGTCATGAATACAGGCCCAGAGGTCATACCAAAAGTGGGACACCCCACCAATCTACTCAACCAGGGAATGGTATGATCATGTCCGCCCATGTCCCGACATATGCATCCGGCGGCTGATAGGCCAGTGTGCGGAACATTGCCACAAGCAGATATACCCTCGCCGCGAGATATAGCCGTACTAGACTTCTCGTGGTAAATGGCGTGAGCCGGAACGTTGACCACAAAACTTTCGTCCGGAAAAGTTCCCAAGCCGGAGAATCACATCTGAACTAGTAGTATATATAGTAGAATGGGCGCGGCAGAGCAATCGCCAGTGGAGCACAGGTGCAGTAGACCGCCGCAGATCTCCACAAAAACTAGTCGGTAGGCGAAGGAAAAGGAAACCCCCACGCGATGAGATGGATTCCGCCGAATAGAGAACCTCCAAGAAACAACCCAAGGAAGGCGGGCGTGGTTAGAAAGCTAGAGATACATACTATCTTGAAGACAGGCATGTTTACTAGTAGCTCCAAGACAGGCGATACTAGGGAATCAATATGTTGCCGGAATGTTCGACTCTACTGGCTCAGATCCGTCATTGGCGCTAACTCTCCGTAACTAAGAGCCTCGAAAACTTGCTCGCCTGCGCCTCGAACCTCGAGAATCGTGATAGGAACCTGGACCCCTTTGGGTTTGTTCCAGCTGAGCGCGTATGTCACCACGGCACAACAGGCAAAAGCAACCACACCGATTTCCAAAGGGGTCACTGCCAGACGCGTTGCACCCCGCAAAGCGGTCTGGATAACCATCCAAAGGATCTGCCAAACCGTGATCAATCGTAACAGCCAGTCGGCTTTCGACCGGTCCTGTAGCTCCTTTTCGGTGATATCGGGCAACTGAAAGAGGACGTTCTCTCGACAAAGCTGCAAGATGTCACTGCTATTGAGAAAAAAGCAATGACCCAGCCGTGCGGTGGAATGCCGGGCCGGAGGGGGTACAGCCGTGATGCTGGAATTACTGTCCAATGATAATCTTGAGGCCCGCATGATCGCTCGTCGTGGGAAGAGTGCTTAATTCGTGGAGTCTCGGCGCAGGCTCACTTGGACGTGTGAGACGCATCCCTAGTGGTCTTCGTCCAGTTGATACTGAGTTCACCCTCATCACAAAGCCTCCCATATTAGCAAACAAGGAATGAGCGATCGTCCACTCTACCCCATCCTGCTGCGCGCGTGCTTGCAACCTGTGGAGGTTACGCTTTGCTTCCCAAAGATCATACCCATATTTTGCGAGGAGCACCTCGGGCGCTATAATCGTAATCACGAACCACATGAGTTGATGTGTGTACTGGTGATCCAGTACTGGATCTTGCCATTGAAGCCGGGCTTGAAATTCTCTCGCGGCCTGGGAATGTCCGGGTGCTGAACCGTCCAGGTGCAGAGGATAGTGAGGGTACCGCGCGTATTCGGGGCGAAAACATAATTCACTGTCTCCGCGGGAAGGGTGCAGTTTGTATCGAACTTGGTAAGCGCATGAGCGTAGCTGCCAAAGAGACTGGGAATAAGAAAAAGCATTGTGTCTGTCGTGGACGCGAGACTTCACGAGGGGTACAGGATGCAAAACTTGGATAAGGATTGATGAACCTAGCCTGGGGATGGGAAAGGGAAATCTCCCCTGGATATCTAATAGCCAGGGCTACGCCAAGGACTACCAAAGACCTGCACAAGGCTGCTAAATGACTCAATCAGTCCCAGCATCATCGGGAAAGCGCATATATGAGGAAAGTATGTACGGCTGGCTGCTCGTGTTGTCTCAAACGAGAGTGCTAACATAGTAGACACCCGGAAGAGCTTTTCCAGTAGGGTAGACTCCTAACGATAGATCAATAGCTGTTGCGCGAGGTCCGCAGTTTGGCAGTCGATCATCTATAGCCTGAGTCTAATTATCCTGTCGACTGGTCAATCCTGGCACATATATCATCGTTCGCCCTTCTGACAGGACCGAATCAAACTCCGAGAGCCAGCGATTGGTTGGGGAAGAGTGAATTTGGAGCCTCAGCCCCAAGGAAGAATATGTGTCAAACTCTAAATACTCCGGCCATCGTGGAATCCAAATGAATGCACGTTGAAGAACACTCTGGAATAACCTTGTCCCCTCACCCCACCCAACATAATTGTTATAAGCAAGGACCTCTCCATGTATGAGATGCCGGATGCTATATGTCTATCAGCCTCTGGAACTACCACGCACGAAAGTAATAATCCTGAGATCGTCCCAGCTATGTTGAGCCAGGACAAGGCATGTCTATTTTGAGTTTGTACGATTTACTCGTGGAGGTCAAGTTGATACATTATTTATTGTGGTCTGAAATTATAGGCGTTCAAATGTGCGAGACGATGGTGAGTCTTCAGATACATCCTGTATCCGTATCTTAGGAATAGAAAAAAAAAAAAAAAGAATAAGTCGGTACGTTGTGTGTATGTTGAGGGTAACAAAACGCGCAGTATAATGCGGGCTAAGGTGTCGAATAAACAATTAATCCAAAACAGGAAACTTTCTTTGCCTGTATCTCTTCATCTGAGCTATCACTGCACACTTTGGTGGGTTCCTATGTCTCACTTTCGCACACAGATCCGCTGGCAATATTTTTGTATTGGCTTATTTGCGCGCCCAGGGGTTCTGAAGATAGCGAAAATTAGCTATCGAAGCAACCATAATCAAATCAGTGCTATGTCGATGACGCCTGTAAGGGAGGAAACGGTAATATTGAAAATAAAATCGAGACTAAGTTGAACTAGCAACAGGGATCCTCTTACAGCCACCGTGACAGTCTGTCTTATCGCCTGAAGAAATACTTTTGGGAATTCAGATTTAGGTGGGAAGAATCTATTATATCTTGGCATGGGAATATTCACCAGACAGACAATCCGACCCGTGCCCGGCCATGAAAGCATGCCACTCATCCCAATTGTTCATCCTTTACCGTTGCTATGAGCAAATTAATGCCAGCGCTGAAAGAAGGGCGTATGTAGACATAAAACAACGGCTTTGTCACGAAACCATTGCCTTTGTGCGGTTATACGCCAAAGAAGCACTCGCTGCCCGACAAAGGCGACAGCTCCCTTTTTCGTTGCATTTGAACGAACCCTATCCCTATAAAAGGGGCGTGTCCAGCGCTCAACATCGAGCCCCATCTCGAGCATCCCAATCATCTCACCTTACATCTCTTCCCCAGATAAACATCTGCCGCCCCTTGACCTGAAGTATCTGGCTCTAACTCTCACAGGCCCATCGCCCCAGGACCCAAAATGTTCCGCCCTGACTTCTACTCTTCGCGCCAAGAAGCCGCCGTCCGACAGTTCGCGCATACCCTCTCCTCGACCGCCACGGGCCGTTTCTTTGTCCACATGTGCCACGAGCTCGACGCCGGGAAGTCCCTGGACTGGGAGAAAGCCGCGGGGGAGCTCGGGGCGACGTTCCGGGGGATGCGGGCGCGGGCCGTGAGGCCCCTCGTGCCGCGGTACGCCGGGCTGGTCTACGACGGCTACGACGGAGCGGTCCGGCTCTTCACCGAGCCGGCCACAGACGACGAGGACCCGGTCCCCTTCACGCGCGACGGACGAGTCGAGTTCCGCGTTCAGGATCAGAGCGATCGCGCGACCATTCTGGAGTGGGCGGTGAGCTTGCCGGCGTGTGTGAGTCCTGCTGCTGCTGCTGCTACTGGGGCGGAGTTAGAGACGAAGCTCGTGCTGGATACGGGAACAGCGCCGACAGTGAGACATTTCGGGAGTCGCTGGGTTACCTGGTTTCACTACGCTGAAAGGGTTCCTGTCACTGATGGGGAGGCTGAGGAGGAGCCCTGAGGCGAGGTCGTCGAGCTCTTAGGGGTTTGGGTTTGTCTGGTCTGCAACTTGGAAAGCGCCCGTGCTAATAGCAGGTAAGTTACCTAGCGACTAGGTAGTTAGGTACTACCAGGTAAACCATACGACCGGTCCTTCCAAGGAATGTCAACAAAGGTGCTTTAGAAGATGCTTCAATCGTTGTATAACCAGTCCCTTAAAGACCTTAAAGAGTTGCGTAAATACACCCTTAAGCAGCTGTGTTGTGTCGTGGGAAGACAGTCCAAATGTTTCTACAGCTCAGCATAATAGACCTATAACCTCAGTCTAGATCGAAATGGGTAGAAAAGCTTACAGGTCGGACACCCGACGGGAGTTTTTATAGTTCGTGTACGGGGTACAGATCATTTTTCTCTTCACTAAATATTCTTTGATCGAGGGAATAAGTGAGATTTGTAAAATTCATATCATCATTGAAATTGAATCACACCCAGCCGTAGCTGATGGGGGCTGGCGGCTGGAGCCCCAAAACTAGAGCACGCTCCGGTTCTCCTTCAACTTCCAGAACTGAAGCCCCTCAACGCGGAGAAACTCAAACTCACCCTCCACCAAGGTCTCAGGGGTCCAACGCAGCTCGTCGGGCTCCAGCCAATCGTCCATGAGGTCCAGAAGGTCGTTCAGCAGGGTCAGGATATCAACTGGGCTTTCGGTTAGGTAACCTGCCGGTAGGATGACTCGCACAAGGACATGGTCCGGGGACGGTGCTTTGGACTCAATGCCCCAGATATAGTCTCTAGTCATGCCATTCACGGCATCCTGGAGCGCAGAGTGAATCTCCGGCCCCCAGCATGTGGTCTTCTTGGGGACCCACAGGTCGACGAAGAAGTGATCCTGAAGGAGGTCCCTCCAGGCCTTGGGCGCATCGGTCATTGTTGTGCTATGATTGTCAGGAGACATTGCTTTACTTGGGCAGTTGTGGTACTAGTAGATATGTTGATGGGGTTTTGTGATGGGGGTAATGGTTCACTTGAAGGGGATGGATGGTAGCTTGAGGGTTTAATATACCTGCGAGATGAGCGGCAATTGACGCCCAAGCAAGTGGCATGTTGTGAAAGTCTCCAGAGAGATGCTTTGTTGCGGGGTAAGTTAAAAGCAACCAAGAACAAGAGGACCGGAGGGTTATGAAATGTTTCCCTTCCCCGCCAGTCAATGGTTTCTCCTCAGTCGGAGAGTTCCATCTCGCGCCTATCGATGTTGGATGGCTTCACAGATGCCGGGTTCTTTCTACTCGTGGGGCAGAGAGGTCGTGGAGCCTTTTAAGTAAACCGTCGATTAGAAAGGGTAGCCGCTGGGCCACGTGTGTCGTAGGTCTGCTCCATCGCGGAGATCTCCATCAGGTTAAAGCCACACACCACGTTCTGATCACCCATCGAAATTGACATTATAATGCGATAGGGGATTTGGGGATTGAGTATAGGTACCTTATATGATGATACCGCTGGTTCTCCCATAGCACTGCAGGGGCGCATCCCGGTATTTGAGGCCTGATCCGTGGGGCATCAAACGCGGGCCGCGTTTCTCCGAGCGCTGAGTCCTCACGTGACCCTCGTTACTCGCGGGCGGGAATCTCTTATCGTTCGTTGCTTGTTCAATCCCGTCGCCGGTCGCCGCAACAATCAACCTCAACCTCCATCCTTCAGAATCCTTCATCATGGCAGACGCTACGACGGAGACCACGCCCCCCAGCGTGGCAGAGACCACGCCAACAGAGCCCACTCCCCAACCAGACGCCGTCGTCAAGAAGCGCATCATCCGCAAGAAGCGACGCCCCGCGCGCGTCCAGGTCGAAGCCGACAAGGCCAAGGAGATTCAGGCCCAGTTCCAGCCCCAATCCGGCACAACCTACAACATCTACTACAACAAATGGGCCGGCGGCGATCGGGAGGACTCTTCGCAACAGGCGGCCAAGACACGGTGCAACCTTGCCCGCGACTCCGGCTACACCAAGGCCGACGCGCAGCCCGGCGCACACATTTGTCTCCACTTTGTGAGTTTCCATAATTCTCGTTTCATCGGCGAAGAGACAGGTGCTAATCTTGTTGCGTTTGTTGTTTGTAGGCCCGAGGCCTTTGCCACCGTGGTCAGGACTGCGAATACCTTCACCGCCGACCGACGATTCATGACATCACCCCCCCTCAGATGGACGTTTTCGGTCGCGAGAAGTTCAACGATTATCGGGATGACATGGGCGGTGTTGGTAGCTTCTTGCGGCAGAATCGGACGATCTATGTTGGTAAAATCCATGTCAGGTACGGCCTTCATCTCATTCCCCCGGTCGCCTTCGCGCGCAGATGACTAACGTGCTTCCAGTGACGACATCGAGTAAGCAACCCTCCATGCCCTTTACACACCGGAAAATCATCGGGAAATCACGAAATAATTTCGGCTTCGCTGCGATGGGCTGGGATACACTTCTAGGCGGAGGCTGACCAGATGTCCGACAGGGAGGTTGTTTCGCGTCACTTCGCCGAATGGGGCGAGATTGATCGGATCAGAGTCTTGACTAGTCGTGGTGTTGCATTTGTACGTGCTGATCCGCCTCGGACCCTGCGTCGAGCTAACAGTCCCAGGTAACCTACAAAACCGAAGCGATGGCACAATTTGCCAAGGAGGCTATGGCCCACCAGAGTCTCGACCACAACGAAATTCTGAACGTCCGCTGGGCCACGCAGGATCCCAATCCGCTGGCTCAGAAGCGGGAAGCCCGCCGCATCGAAGAGCAAGCCGCGGAGGCTATTCGGCGCGCCCTGCCGGCGGAATTCATCGCCCAGATCGAAGGCAAGGATGCCCATGCGAAGAGACAAAAAACCAGCTACGACCTCGAGGGCTACGATGAGCCGGACCAGGTGCGCTTTGCTGTGGGTTTGCGGGGAACTGGAGACGATCAGCACGAACAGCTTGCACTGCCGGAACCGCAGGACCAGCACCAGCCGGAGGAAATTCCGCCGGCGCAAGTCGCGCAGGGGGGCATCTTCTCCAGCAGTACTCTGGCCGCATTAGGGGCTGCTCGCGCGTCGGTTTCGGCCAAGCCTCAGCAGGTCGCCTCATTACAGTCGCTGGTCGCCTACGACAGTGATGACGAGTGAGGCAGATGGGATAGACGGGCCTCGAATGATGACGGTTGATGAGGACATGGTCCCTATGGCAGCATCCGAGCTCATTGCCGATCTGTCCGGTGTCCTTCAACCACCCCAGCATCAAGTCCGGCCAATTTCCCTGGGTATGGTGGCCATGGCTTCCCACCTTCACACGTTTCTAGATACGCCGCGGCACCTTCTGCCGGCGACCCCGGCCAATCGCAGGGCGCAGGCGCCCACTACAGACCAGGTGCCATAACTCTGGTCAGGCGAGCAACCTTGTCCGTCGGAGCGCAGTTGAAGCCGGGTAGGCAACAGGCACAACGGGATACGCATACCGGGGGTTGCAATGGGCGGCCAAGGCTCAAGTTCATCGCGGGACCGGCAGTCCAGTCTGTATCTGCTCTGTGCGCCGTGTAATATTATGGTAGATTAGCAAAGTAGCCATTACAACCACTAGCTTCCACTTGGTTCTATTCACAGCACCCAAGAGCTGTGAATTTCGATGTACCGTTTATATTGCTAGATAGCTTGAACCGACAGCATGTCAGCTTTCTGCGCGGTCTGCGCCTCGTGCACTGGATGTAGGCAGAGAACAGTTTAGTCATGCTCGAGAAGGAAACCAGGGCAGGACTCATGACATTTCTATTCGCATCCGACGGGTCGCAGCGACAGAATCAACACCTCGAGAGCATTTACCGACAGCTGGAAGCTTAGACAGCCGACGAGTATTGGCAGCTGTTAGCACTGGGGGAATGTTGATTCATCTCCCGTACTTGCATCTTCATTCCTGGCGATGCTACGTGCTCTACGCTAGGATCTGCGTTGAAGACACCATTGGAAGTTCTGCCACTATCGGAACTGAATCATAACTGAAGAGACGAAAGATATCTGGATACGAGCTCTTCGTAGTCAACTGGCTACGCCGAACTTTCCTCCTCAGTCCACGGATAATCGTCTGAAGAATGATAGTAAACACTAAGGTAGACCCCCGTCTTCTCCGTGTACGCAAACGAGATCCAAGACGTCAACCGCGCCGTCTTCTCCAAATCCCTGTCCGGGCTGCCTAATGTCAGTAATCGTCTTAAACAGCGTTCCTATGGGCCGAACTCACAAGTAATCCCGCACAGTCTCCTCGTAGCTCTCCCCATACTCCGCCAAGCCGATATCACTGAGATACTGCGCAACCCCGCGCACAATCTTCGCATCATTCTCCCCGTGAATGGGGAAATAGAATTTCGTCACCGGGATCTCCTCGCCGGCCTTCATCTCGTAGTTCCACACCATAGGCGTGGGCGTGGAGTCCTTGCCGTCATCGAACCCGCCCGTGAAGGCGCGGTGGCCCTCCTCCACCTTGGTCAGCTGCCACAGCTGGGACAGATACTTGAGCCCCTCCTTCACGGTGGACGTGTCTGCGCGGCCGCCCAGGATCCAGATCTCCTCGATCTTCGACCAGACGACCTCGTTGCTGGAGCTGTACAGCTTCAGCCGCGACTTGGCCGGGTCGACGCAGTCGAAGGACCAGAAGGCCACCTGGCTGTAGCCATTGGTTTCTTCGAGGTATTCGTTCACCTTGTCGAAGGAGGGGAAGTGCCCGATGCGATCGGCAATCGGCTGGATTGACTCTGCGAACAGCTTGCCAAACGATCGCCCACTGGCGTGGCACTTGAACCCGGGGAAGGTGTACCCCTTCACCGAGACGGCCTGGGGTCGGAGATCAAACCCGAATGCGCTCTGCGAGGTGAGGTTGCTTCCTTCCATCTTGTTCCGGGTGAGCGCATCCTTGTCCGTGGCGGAGAGGGTATGGTGCTCGAGGAAGTGGTGGAACAGCGAGGCGTCGAAGCCCGGGATCTGCACTTCCTCGAGCCGCTTGAGCAGATCCAGCACCGGTAGCTGGTTGTACAAGTCCTTCTCCGTCCCCGACTCCGCGGAGACGGGCTCGTATCCGATGCGGACGACCGGCTCCGCGCCGCCCTTTTGCTGGTAGTTGACGCTGAACTCGAGCGGGAGGCCGCTTCGCGTGATGGCGCTGCGGAAGGCGAACGGGTAAGGGCCTAGGTGAGGGATGAGGACCTGAGTGTAGAAGGTGAGGGCTTCGAACTGGCGAGAGGTGTTGTAGTTCGCTGAGATGAGGACTTTGTTGAGCAGCTGCCCGGTCTTCTCCCACCAGGCCTTCTGGTGGGCGTCCGGGAAGACGGTGTACTTGCTGAGGATTTCATATGGGGTGGGCGTAGAGGTTAGGGTTGTCTGTTTGCACAGGCTCGCGGGTTGGCTGGGGACCGTCATTGTGATGGTTCTGGCAGTACAGAGGAACAGTGACAGTAAGCTTGCTTGCTCCAAAGCTTACACCAAGCCGATTAATAACATTTATATCCGGTTCCCGCCAGATACGCTGCACAGGCTACGCACACCGACAGTTGCGAGGAGCATCCTCACTTGCGTTCGCCCTAGCGTTGCCAACAACACTCCTGTCGCTGCTGTACTCAGTCCGTGCATGTCACCCAGTCGACCTGTCTCACGCAAGGGGCGCTGCCAGACTGACCATTGCGTGAATACCGGTCTCATGTTGACCATAGCAATGCGTAATGGTGTAGAAAGTCAAAGGACAGGGGCTCTAAGTGATTTGATTTCAGCTCGTACGGGCAGGGTATATGCCTCTCTATCTAGACAGCTATGTGTTGTAACAGAGCTATTTGGCCATGTATGGAAAGAATGTCAATTGGACGCGATTGAAGAATCTAGTACAGCGATGCGAAAAGTTCGTTGTAACGAGCCCACAACTTCTGCAGGTCCTTTTCCCACGCAGTAGACGTCCGCTTGCGACACATAGCCTCGTCATCCCATTCTTCACTCCCTACTCCTAGCCGGGTAATAAAAAGATCATTTGGATCCCAGCGACGCTTGGTTGCAAGGAGCATATCATACTTCTCGCCCCAGAATGCGCCTGCATGGTCAGCCTCGTGCGGGAAGGGCACACCCAGATACCCAGCAATGGTGGTGTTCTCCAGTGAGTCGATCGCGGGCAGCTGAGTATGCTTCAGCTCTTCCTCGACTTGCTCGTAGGCCTCCCAATTCGGATCCAGCGGGAGACCCCGGCCCAGGGTGAGTATCATCGCGGCCGAGTCCCACGCTGGATGGAGGGAGTGGGGTGCATGGCTCTTTCGCTCCACGCTGGGCCCAGGCGCCATTCCGTCTAGACTTATCATATCACCGGGGTTGTACTTCAATCGGGAAAGCACGCGGGACAGACGGTCAGGGGCATTGAGCGAGCTTCGCGATACAAGGCGCGATCCCACCATCACGCCCACCCCGGCCATGCCCCCGGTGCTGCGACTGGCGTGGTACGAGGAAATTTGCGCAAAGTGCTCGTGGGAGCGCTGGACCTGGAGCCCAGCATTCTTCCACCTCTCGACGAGGCGATCGACAGGAGACATATTGCTTGTCTCGGTTTGATTGATGGAAAAGATCTCCGCTGAGATGAGAGACCCCGATTCAGCAAACGGAAAGGCATAGCTCTGACCTGCAATGCCTTGGTCTCCCAATTGCGGTATTGTGCCCATGATCTCCTGGACACCAGACCAGAATGCATCTCCTGGGCCTGTCTCAGCCACGGCAGTCAATCTGGTCACCTCCAGCGGCACATCAGGAAACACTCGGAACGTCACACTGGTGATGATGCCGAAGGTGCCTCCGCCTCCGCCGCGAACGGCTTGGAAGAGGTCTTGGTTCTGATACGCATTTGCAATCACGTACGCGCCCTGTTGGAGTCTTGTCAGCAAACCACCGAGGCCTTTCGAGAGGGAGGTAGACCAGAGGCTTACAGCTGCTGTGACCATTCCAACCTCCAGAACGTTATCAACGCCCAGTCCCTTGGACGGTGTGAGTATCCCGTAACCACCACTTGCCATCCAACCGCCAGCAATGCCAACAGTTCCGCAACTCCCACCAGCAACGGTATACCCATGTTCCGCGGCTGATGCGTACAGGTCCTCTGTCATGACGCCCGCCCCAACCGTCACTGCAGGGCCATAGTCCTCAGACTCATACCCCAGCGGCGAACTCACCCGGAAAAACGTGGTGAACCGAGTTCCCTTGAGCCCAGCTGTATGGACCATTAACGATCCCGGGGAAGTCGAGCGGCCAGCAAGATCATGACCGGTGTTTCTCACTGAGAGGCGAAGATTGTGGTCAGCAGCAAAGCGAACGACACCTCGCACCTGCTCCACAGTCTTCACGGAAGCCGCGTATACTGGCACCCTGCCCTGCTGGCACGTCGCATTTGTGATACCGTCAACGTGACAGCTTTCCTCTGCTGCTCGCCAATTCTCCCAATTGATCACTTGGAGCGACGCTGTTTGTCGGTACCGAAATCAGCGACTGCATTTCGCTTGAGCCCGCGGCACAATAGCTACTTACCTGGATTCAAAACGCGCCAAGTGCCATTGTGGAAGTTCTTCACGTACTCCTCGCACGCTTCTTTCGAGTATTGATCGCCAGAACATACATGGCCGGCCGGCCTCAGCGTCTGTAGATTCCCATCGATGCTGTGATTGAGGTGTTCCCAGTCACTGGCCGTGGGCCAGCATGCCTCGCCCGGTCGGCATCGACACAGTGACTGCGTTTGCGTGCCCCAGTAGCTCTTGAGACCGGCTGATACGGCCAGTATGAGAAGAGCAAAACGAATCATCTTGGTCTATGCAGGTTGCCTCTTGTCTAGACACGCAGCGTCCGAGAACTTGAGATGCTAGCGACCATCATTCGCCCAAATATCGTGCCCCGCGGAGCATCCTCTGTCCAGGTGGCGTACAACGGAAAGGCAGGAAGTTGTCAACAATTCAACCTTGCTTCGGATCTTGCATAAAGCATAGGAGCTTCACAGGCGACCTAGGCCGTGTCATCGATAAAGGGTGCAGCATTTTTCGGAGCAAGGAGCGCGCAGAGGAATGAAATGTTCATGCTGTGCTGGTGAAGGTCGGTGAACATGCACGGATGTGCAGATCCTTGCGGCAAGTATATGAGTCCTGCAGACGAAAAGGGTGCGGTAATTGTCGAAGCAAGGAGGGCGCAGAGGAATGACACGTCACACATCCACAGCATTCCATTGCTACAGCCGATGCTAGCAAGTATCAACTTATGCTGTGCCGATCAAAGTCGCTGCCCATGCATAGATGTGCACCCGCTGCCATGCCTAGAATAATGCAATGCTTGATACGGGCTACTGTATCCCAGGTCGAGTATTTCTAGCCACCTCGTACGTTAGCTGCGCTGTGTCCTCTCAGCTTGAAGTTTGTAAAGACCGAGATCAATAATGACCATCCAACAGAGCAAGATAATCACCATCTTCGGCGGGACAGGGAACCAGGGTGGTAGTGTCGCAAGATCCCTGCTGGCTCACAAGGACGACCGCTTCCATGTCAGGGTCATCACCAGAGACCCGTCGTCCGACAGAGCAAAGGCCATCGCCGCTGATGGCGCGTCGCTCGTCCAGGCGGATGGCTTCAATCGTGAGCAGATGGTCGCCGCCCTCGCGGGTAGCTGGGGTGTGTTCATCAACACGAACTCAGATGACGAAGTAAGTCTGTCACGCATTAGAAGCGGGCCATTTGCTTTCCATGCGCTAACGCGACAGGCCCTCAAATCGCTGGACGGACCCAGCGACTATGACCTCGGTGCCGCGGTGATTGACGCAGCAGAGGAAGCCGGAGTTCCGCACGTCGTGTACAGCTCCGGCCCTTCAATCACCAATGCCACCAAGGGCAGGATCCATCTAGAGGGATTTGAAAGTACAGCGCCTCCTCTTGCCTGTCACCTCTGATCGAACCACGAACTGCACTAACGTATCTCAGCCAAATACCACGTGGAGCAATACGCCCGAGCAAAGAGCTTCAAGACCTTCACTCCCGTCCTCTGTGCATCCTTCATGGAATGCTTCTTCTACGAACCCTTCTCCGACGCGTTCGGAGGGTTTCCATGGACTCCCAACCCGAAGACGGGAGACATCGTCTTCAGCACGCCCCCATACGGCGGCAGAGGCGATATGCCCTGGGTCAGCGTGGAGGATGATGTCGGCGACATCATCCACGGCATCTTCCTGAACCCCAGCGAATATGATAGGGTTCTCGTGCAGGTGACCAGCCAGCAAATTACCATGCCTGGTATTGCAGCTTCATACGCGAAAGGTATTCCCATCATCCACTTTCCATGCGTCCGAGTATCGTGCTAATGGTGAGGCCCAGCCACGGGAATTCCAGCCCGGTACGAGGAGATGCCGTCGTGGACGAGTATTCAGCCCAATGGGACCAGATGTCGGGACGAGACCCGGCTCATCTTCTGGATGATGAACGCGTGCGGTGGGCGCTGGTTTGCCGAACATGAGAGTGATAACACTGCTTCGATCAAATTGAAGAATGCGGCGCTGGAGGCGAGGGGTCAGCAGGGCGGACTAATCACATTTGAAGAGTGGTTTAAGAAGGCGCATGCATTGAGAACTGAGTCTGCATAGAGATAATGTTGATAGAACTGGCAAAACCGATATCTAGACTTCAATCCAACAGAAACATATACGGAGTTAGGGCACAGGATAGCAGAGCAGCGCTCGAATCAATACACGGCTAGAATGCCCTTGCTTGACGGGGCCTTTGCCACATCATCCGCTGCAGTGGGCAGATATATATCAAACGTACCCTTCACCCCCAGAAACCTTCCAACTCATTCGATTGAAGGCAAAATCAAGATCAACCCCCCCAACACCTAAGACTATCCATAACAACCACCATGGGCTCCTTAGCACCCGCCCCGTTCACACCTCCATCCACCTCCACCCCCTACACCCACCTATCCCAGTACCTCACCCATCCCAACCGCGACCACCACGCCTGGTGGACCACCAAAGCCCCTCTTCTCACCCGCTTCCTGCAAGACTGCGACTACACCGTCGACGCGCAATACCAATACCTCACGCTCTTCCACAACCAACTAATCCCATATCTAGGAATTTACACCGAGCCGTCCGTCGGCGACAAGGGAAATACTCTCCTGTCCGGAGCAGGGAAGCTCGAGATCGACCGCACATTTACCGCCACAGGGTCCTCTCTGCGGATTGCCTTTGAGCCGACGAGCTATCTGGCCGGGGAGGGGGACACGGGGCCTGATCCGCTGAACCTGCTTCCCCTCCCGAGTCTGCTGAGCGCTCTTCGCAAGCTTCCGGGCGTGGATGTGGGACTGGACCGATACCGGACACTGTCGAAAGCCCTGACGACCTCGGAGGCAGACCAGGCGACGCTTCTGCAGAGCCCTGAGCTTCAGGCGAAATTGCAGACCCTCCCCTCGCGCACGCAGAACATCCTCGCCCTCGACCTGGTCGATGGCTCCGTGCGCCCCGAGCTCTACTTCCAGCCGCAGCTGCGGGCGCTGGCGACCAACGCCGACGTTCACACCATGCTCCTCAACGCGCTGCAGGGCCTGAACGCCAACGGAGCCCTCAGCCCCGCGCTCAAGCTCACCGCGGCATACCTCACCGGGTCGCCGAGCACGACCCAGCCCCTCTTCATCTCCAGCGAGCTCAGCACCTCCCCAAACACCAACAGCGCCAAGCTATTCCTCATCGACAGCAACATCACCCTCGACACCGCCCAAGCCCTCTGGACATGGGGCCGACCAGACGCCACACCGCACCCCCTCCAGACCCTCTGGGAGAGCCTGGGCGTCGTCGAGGGTGTCCGCGGGCCCACCGAGTTTCCCATGATGCTGATCCTCAAGCTCTGCGAGGAGGCGCCCTTTGTGCGCCCGCAGGTCGCCTTGCCGGTGGTGGGGATGACGGAGCAAGGGGTCGGCGAGGCGGTGGTGCGCTTCTTCGCGGCGATGGGGTGGGAAACCCATGCGGCGGGGTATCTGGACTCCCTGCGTTCGTACTAGTGAGTTTACCTCTGGCCCGAGTTTCTAGTCTCCTTGTTTATGGGTTGCTGACGTTGGTGGGTGGCTGGTAGTCCCGGTATCGAGCTTGGGCAGGCGCTAGGGAAGCAGGCTTGGATTGCGTTGTCGGAGTTTGATGGGGAGGGGCCGGCGTTGACAGTCTTTAATTACTAGGGTCGGATTAGGTGGTTTGGTGTTGTTCTTGGTGTTGCTGGTGTTGATAATGATGGGGATAGTAGGGGGATGGCTTGATCCCCAATAAGTTAGGGCTTCATCAGTGGTAGTAGTCTTGTTCACATTCACAGTCATAATGCTCACAAATTCAATTCATGGATTTCTATCAACGCCCTCAAACAGAGATCACCCCTAAAGTCGTGTAGATCTACATTGAATCCGTGCGTTGTTTGTATACGCGTTGAACTGGATACCAGCCCAAAAGCGCGAGATATTAAGATCAAATTCATGGATTTCTTTTTATATACATACACGCTTGATTAGAGATCAACCCGAAATACTAGAGACCAAGAACCAAACAGATCGCAAAGCATTCGACAACGCTTAGACAGCCTTTCGCTCCCCATTGACAACAATTTTATTCCGACGGGTGAACACCGCCGACGATCGGAGGCCACTTGCAGCAGCGAACCCCTCCAGCGAGGCCAGGTATTCCGCGTTTCGCACCACCGCCTGACAGATCATGTCCGTCAGCGAGGCTGCCTGGACCGTGGGCACGGGGAGTGACGATAGCTCAGAAGGGGAGGAGGCTGGCGGCGTCCCCAGGCAGCCGCCAGTGCTGCGTAGGAAATCCATCACCGACAGGAGGGGATGCGAGGCGCCAACGACATCGATCTGCTCCTCCAGCGTTGCCATCCACTCCGACGACACGGGACAGGGCTTGAGCTTCCGGCCTAGCCCGAGCGACACTGCTTGCCAGAAGTCCCGCATGGAGAGGCCGTCTGTCATGGAGATGCGGGCCACGGTGAAGCTGGGCGACGACGGTGCTGGAGCCGCGTGAAGCGTTTCGTAGACGATCAGGTTGGCGACCCAGTCCACGGCCGAGACAAAGAGCCACGAATCCGGCTCGCTGGCGTTGTAGGTCCCGGTCGTCATCGCAGTAGCCACGACACGCCAGAGCATGTCGTCTACGTTGGCCACTCCGTCGTTCACGGATCCGATGATGAATCCCGGACGGACGATCTTGAGTCGATGGGAGGGGCGAGAGCGTGCGAACTCCGTCATCAACAGCTCGGACGCATACTTGGTGCGTGTGTAGCCGTCCGGGATGTCAGGCGGCGGTGTATGCCCGTCTGAATCTGTCGACTGGGCGTCGTCCCCGGACACCAGAGCAGAGACATAGGTGAAGCTGACCGATTTCGACGAAGGTCTCAGCGTCTGCAGCAGCTGCAGCGTACTCCCGACGTTGGCCGCCTCGAGGACTTCGTAGTCATACCCCCAGTGGACGACGGCCCCGTTGTGGATGATGGCGTCGACGGTTTCGCCACAGAGCACCCCCCAGTTTGCTTCCGACAGCCCCAGGCGCGACTGAGCCAGGTCTCCCGGCCATGCCTCGATGACGCGGCGATAGTCGTCCTGCCACCAGCGAGCCGTGCGCGCGGCTTGGATGATCCGTGCAAGCCCGCTTTGATGGCTGGATGCCCGGACCAGAACATAGACCGTGGCAACGCGATGGTCGCGCACCAGCTGCCGCAAGATGTGCGTTCCCAAGTATCCCGTCCCCCCGGTCAGGAAGACGGTCTTGCCGCGGGGGAGGTCCGTGGCCAAGTCGTCGGTGTCGGGTAAATCGCGCACCTCTTGTAGCGCTGCGGCTACCTTCATCCACCACGCCGGCGTGGATGGAGTCTCATTCGTGCTGTTGGTGCCGTCGGTGCTGTTGGTTCCATTGCTAACATCGCTGGTGTTAGTATCACTGAGCCCGTCTGTGCCATCTGTGCCATTGATGCCGTTGATGCCATTGATGCCACTTATGCCAGTGACCCTACTTATACCATTGATGCCATCTCTAGCACTTGGGCCGTTGACACCATTGAGGCCATTAATGCCATCCACGCCATTGGAGATCTTGTCCGGACCCTCCGTGATCATCTCCGCCACCTCACGGACGGTGAGACCACTCCGAAAGAGCGTCGCCATAGGAAGCCTCTGCTGATACTCTCGGTGTACGAATTGCGACAAGGCCATGAGATCGATGGAGTCCAGGTTGAGGCGCGACAGGTCGACATTGCAACCCGCGACTGACGCGGCCAGCTCGTCCCGATCCGTTTTCCTCGTTATAATTCCGGCGACATGCTGGCTTATCGCCCAAGCGACTGGCTCGTGATGCTCACGCAGCAGCTCCTCCGCGGCATGCTCATCGGTGCGCTCCAGCGATCCCAGCGCATGCAGATCGCGCGCCCCCAGCTCGGCACAATGACTCTCAATGAGGCGTCGATTCACCTTACCCGATACCATGAGCGGAAGGTCCAGCGCCTGGAGGTACAGTTCCGGCACCATGATGGCCGGCAGGGTGAGACGGAGCTCGTCGCGGGCGTGGCGCGCTCGGGCCTGAAACTCGGCGCTCTGCTGCTTGAAGAGGCCACTCTGGGACGATGCTCCTCCATTGATGACTCCTGACCCGGACCCGGGGAGCTCGGCCATTTGCACGATCGCGACGAGACAGGGGGTCGTCCCACTGCCCGACGGGCGGATGACCGCCGCCATGCCGTTGGCCTCCGGGCCAAACGCGCGGAGGAGGTGACGCTCGACGTCGGCCAGGTCCAGCCGCTGGCCGCGGAGCTTGGTGTGCTGGTTCTTGCGCCCCAGGAAGCTGCAGGTGCCGTCCAGGTTCAGACGCACCAGGTCGCCGGTGCGATAGATCCTCGCGCCCTGGGGGTGGAACTTCTCCGCCCACGCCGGGGGGTCGAGGAACGACTCCGCTGTCTTGGCCGCGTCGTTCAGGTATCCTCGGCCGACGATCGGGCCCTGCAGGACCAGCTCGCCCACGGTGTTGGCCGGCATCAGGGTGTTCACGTCGTCCGGGTGCACCGCCCACAGCAGGCAGCCCATGCCCGTCCCGATGATCCGGGGGTCCATCTTGCTGGCGGTGATGCGCTGCGCCGTCGCCCCCGTGCAGCATTCGGTGGGACCGTAGCCGCACAGGAGATGCACGCGCTCGCACCACTGGGCAATCTGGCCGGGGAGCATAGACTCGCCCACTGCGACGACCGTGCGCAGCGACGGCACGGCCTCCGGCGTGAGCAGCCGCAGCATCGAGGGAGTGATGCATAGCCAATTGGCCTGCAATCGCTGCACGGCCCCGCCCAGATCCCCTGCAATCTCCTCGTTGGAGGGGATGCAGACGCATCCGCCGCTGGCGAGGACGGTCAGGATCTCCACCGCGAAGGAGTCAAACGCATAGGAGGAGATCTGGAGGACGCGGGAGTGGGCCGTGATGCCCAGCTTGGGCTGCTGCGCGGCAATAGCCGAGCAGTACGCGCCATGCTCGATCAGCACGCCCTTGGGGGCTCCGGTGGACCCGGAGGTGAAGACGGCGTACAGCAGGTCGTGCGGCGCAGGGGACGAAAGCAGTCGGGCCGGATACCCATACCCGTTGGCCTGCGGGGGAGAGCGGAAGCTCTTGTCGCCCACGACGATCCAAGCCGCGTCGGTGATCGTCCCGGCCAGTTTCTGCTGGCTGGGCGAGGTCAATCCCACGGTGGCGCCGACGGCGCCGCAGATCTGCGCGTTGCGCTCCTGCGGATGAGTGGGATCCAGCAGCGCAAAGGCCGCCCCGACCATCGAGACGGCCAGCATGGCGATGGGCACCCATTTGGACCGCTCGAAGAAGATCGGAACGAACCGCGCGCCACTGCGCCGGATGAGAGGGTCAAGCTGCAGCGCGAGCCGGATGCTATAGTCCTCGACCTGCTGGTAGGTCAAGTCCCCGTCCCAGGCGGAGATGGCGCACGCGTGTGGACTTTGTCCAACCTGGGCTTGGATCAGGTCCGGAATCGAGGCTGAGGCTTGCACGGGGGCGCAGCCGTTCCACCTCGTGAGCATGGCGTTATCCTGCGCGGAGATCAGGTTCAGATGAGATAGCGGCGTATCCTGGTTGTGAACATTATCCAACTCCTGCAGGAGGTGTGCTAGCTGAAACAGCATGTGCTCCGCCTGGTCGCGGGGTAGCACCTCTTCGTCCACCAGCATCTCGAATTTCCAGACACCTTTGGTCGGCGTGCACAGCAGAATCATGGGATAGCCCGGGAAACTGTTCAGCGCGCCCAGATGCTCCTCGACGGGGCCGAAGATCGGCGACGGCGCGAGGGTGTCTTCCGCCTGCACGATGAGCAGATTCTGGAATTTACAGGCCGTTTCGGCCTCGGGGCCCATCTGGCGGATCTGCTGCAAGCCGGTCTGCTCGAATGGGGTAGTGGCGTGGATCTTGTCCTGGACGTGGGAAGCAGCCTGGTGGACGGTTTGCTCGCGCTGGAGGAGAAGACGCACTGGGTACGTCGCTATGGTTGGGCCTGCGATGCTCCCGATGTCGGCCAACGGAGCCCGGCGTCCGTCCACCACCGCACCGTAGACAACGTCCTCTGAACCGGTGTACAGACTGAGAAGAAGGGCCCAGGCCAACCGCACTTTGGCCGTAGGACTGGCCAGCGGCAACGACTTGGATACAGCGGCACGGGGGCTGTCATGATGGACTGCGCAGGTGGCGCGGGGAGTATGCTCGGGTGAGGGATGCTTGGGGAACAGTACACTGCTGAGATGCAGTGTTTCCTTTTGCCAGAACGTCCGTGCCGTGTCCATGTCCGTGGCGGTTTGGGTGAGATGGTGAATGAAGCGGACGAAGTCACTGCGCGGCAATTGCTGCCCCCGGTAGGCCTGTTCTGCCCGTTGAATGCACAAGTGTAACGTGGGACCGTCGTATATCGCGTGGTGTAGGGTAAGCGCCAGGAAGCTGCCAGTAGACGACTGAATGAGGGTCAAGCGGATCAGTGGTGAGCCCAGTCCCATTGGTCGACTCTGGTCATGATCGAGGAATTGTGATACGGAATCGGCGGACTGCCACGGGATAGCCAAGTCGGGTTTGCACAGAACTTGGTAAGTTTGGCCATTCGTTGCCTGCATGATGCGCGTCCGGAGGATAGTGGTGGTTTGCACAACAGTCGCCCATGCCTTCCTGACCTGGTTGACGTCGCAGTCGGGGGGCAAAGTAAAGAGAAACCGGTCAGTGTAGGCTTCTGATCCACTGGTTTCGGTAATTGCGACGAGCCCCTCTTGGAGCGCGGTGGTCGGATATATATCCTCAATGTAGGATTCAGTAATCTGGCACTGCTCAGCTGCGAGTGGAAGTAGTGCGGGGATGCTCTCATTATCCAAAAGGCTGTAAGGTCGAGGGGTCGATTGTTGAACCCGTCCAGCATCGTCCTGCTCGAGCTTATCAGCCACTGTGCGTAGGGTTGTATCTCCAGCCAGGAGGTACTCCACGCGGAGCTGCCAGTTCTCCCTTGCCAGCGTTCGAACGACCCGTATCGCCGTGACTGAGTCTCCTCCCATGTGCAGGAAATTGAGGTCGAGGTTGACTGAGGGGGCTGGGATCCCAAAGACTGCTCCGACTGCCTGAGTTAGCGAGTGCTCTTGCTCAGACCCCGTCAGAACAGATCGTGACTCCGAGTCCCGGCACAAGGTTGGCCGCGCACTGAGCCAGGTGGTCATGTCGACTGTTGTGAGGGTTTCGAGCAGACCACAGAGCCGTTTGCGGTCCACCTTGTCAGTTGCCGTGCGAGGAAAGGTCTTAAGCGGGACAATGAATGAAGGGATCATGTAGAGAGGCAGGTGCGGGCGGAGAGTGGACTGATAGCGACGAGCCAGCGCCGCGCAAGACGGAGGCAACGTCTCCAATTTAGGGCTACTCCGCCTATCGCTCCAGTCGACCTCGGCGCCAGCATTATTAGCGACAAATGCTACCAGCGTAGCTCCCTGCTCACTCTTCGAGGTGACAGCTGCGACGGCAATCTCGACGCCTTGCTCCAGCTGGCGGAAGCGCAGTTCAACGGCATCGGTGTCCACGCGCTGGCCCCTGATCTTCACATAGGTGTCCTTGCGGCTGAGATAGCGGAAGGTGCCGTCAGCGTTATAATGGCAGAGATCGCCCGTCTTGAAGAAGGGGCCTTGAATGGGAATCTCATCGAACTGCGACCGCCACTTCGGAGGGTCAATGAAAACCTGTGCGGTGCGGTCGGGGTCATTGAGGTAGCCCTCGGCGATCACTGCGCCCTCCATCACGACCTCCCCAACCGTGCCAATGGGTGCAAGGCAGTCACTGTCGTCGGGCGCCGTGATCCACGCAATACAACCGGCCGCGGTTCCGATGGTGCCTGGAATCCATGTCGCAGGCACAATCTCTCCTGCGCCGGACGGGCCCACTTCGGCCGGGCCCCAGAGGTTGAATATTCGGACATGAGTGCCCCATCGTCGGACGAGGTCCTGTCCAATGCTCTCGCCGCCGAGGACAAGGGTCCTCAGCGATGGGAAGTCCGCAGGTTCGAAGTTTCTAAGGGTTGAGGGGGTAAAGAACGCCCAAGTGACTCCATGACTTCGAAGGAAGTCGGGCATCGAGTTCAAACGTTGAGTCTCCGACGGGATGCAGAGACATGCGCCGCGAGTCAACGCCTGCCACGTCTCAATAATACTCATGTCGAAGGCGTATGAAGAGAACTGCAGAACCCGTGAGTCGGGCCTGACTTGCATGCGCTTACCGACATAATGGCCGGCGGTGCTGATGGCGCGGTGGCTAAGAACAATGCCCTTCGGGGTGCCCGTACTACCGGACGTGAAGACGATGAAGGCGACATCTTCCGGATTCGCCGGGGTAAATATGATCGAGGAGGAAGGAGGAGTCGAAGAGTAAGTGCAGGACTGTGGGATAATGACCCGATCACGACCCATCTGGTGCAGCCGTGTCGCTTGCGTTTCCGAAGCCATAATGACAGGAGGGCATGCCTGCTTGAGAATGGTTTCAATGGCCTCGTCGGGGTGGGTGCTGCATAGGCAGACCGCAACGGCGCGAATCTTGACTACCGCCAGCATGCTGACCGTCATCCAGTAGGACTTTTCAAAGAGCAACGGGACAATCGTCCCGGGTAACACCTTCTGCTGCTGCAACTCGGCCGCCAGCAGAGAGGAGAGTTCATCGAGTTGCTTATATGTGAGCTCCCCGTCCCACGCTGACACGGCGGCTCGTCCGCCATCTAGTTGCACCTGCGCCATGAACAGATCCTGAAAGCACCTGTCAATTGGGGGTGGTGGGCAGGAGTTCCATCTCAGCAGCTGACGCTTGTCGTTCAAGCTGAGGGTGAAAGCTTGCTGGAGTGTAGAATCCCGACCGATCTTACGCAGCTCCTGCGCAACGTGCACAAATTGCTGGACAATTCGCTGTGCATCACGGGAATTGCATCTCGACTCGTCGTAGACGGCTCGGCAGGCGCATCCTTTCCTCTGCTGCACCAGTCGCAGTTGGAGCACGTCGTTCGTAGCAGGTGGCGGGAGATCTTGACTCCTCCGCTTGCGTGGATGCTTCCACGGTAGGAGAAAGCTTGTCGATGGTCTGCTGGTATCTCTTGTAGTGCCTGATTCGGGATTGACGACTTCTATCGGGAGTATTCCTCGAGCGATAGCGTCAATAGTGACTCCAATCGAGGAGGACGGCGACAAGTCCACCTCTAATGAAACAGACTTTCCATCGCCTGGCTGTAGTTGACTGTCCAGTACGAGACTCACAGAGCCTTGGTACCTCGCCATCAAGACAGCCCATGCAAGCACATAGATCTCCGGAGCCAGGCTCCCCGCCAAGGCTAAAGCTTTCGTCTCCCCATAGATGGATGCCCGGACTTCATCACTTCCTGAGGAGGGTACGTACAACGGGCACGGTATCGACACCGCTAACCAACGATCTAATGACATCTCCCGAAAGCTGGGTATAACGGCAAGACGAACAATGGAGGATGCAGAGAAGACAGGAAGCAGGCCCAAGTCACACCAGCCAAGGAAAATGGCTCTGCCCGTAACTGGGCATCGCCGCGGCCATCCGGGGCCAGATATACGTGGAACTAGACCACCGAATCACGCACGAAGGTTGCACGAGACGGCAGTCGGAGATGAGTGAGTGACATGCGGGTCTTACTCAAGCGATGAAGATAGTGAGCAAAGGGCGAATTGCCATGTTTCCGACAGCCACGCCGCGGCGGTGGGCCGTCTGTGGAACTTCTAGCTAGCGAGATTATGCATATGGGTTGAAACACAATATCTATAGCGGGCTTAGACCTCAACTCATACGCATACCTAGATGATAGGCACCTAGCATGACAGGATTCCAGTCCCTTTGCCTACGCCGATCCAACAGCACCTTACTCTTTCTTCCCAGTCACCTCCTCCCACTGCGATGCAAGAGGACGATCTCGCCCTTCGTCTCTACTACCTTCCTGCGAGCGGTATTCTAACGCAAGGTCGGAGTGGAGATATTGCACGGCAGTGGGAAGGTGTCCAAGGCAAAAAGTCGGCTGGTTTCTCCTTGCGGCAAGGTATGTGGATCCACTCGCCAACGACACCCCTTGATGCCGTATCAAACCCACCATCGGTATAGAGCAACATCACGATTCCACGACATGTTGCGAGGCGTCCGAGAGCCATTTAGGTAGTTGCTGGATCACGGAAGGAGCCCGAATAATGCGATCATTGCCCGTGATCTGGCCGAGTCTCCTTGCGTATTCGACGGCTGTCAATGGGCTACTTAACCTCACCAGAGGACATGGGTGCACGGTTGCCAGCTACTAGCAGTACTAGGGTAGGATTCAACACAACCGCAATATAAAATGGGTAGTCTATGTGAAGACAGAGCAGCTCACTGCCGGGAGAGTACCGTCGACGCCTCGCGCTTCATCTCCGGAACACATGACGAGCAAAGAGCCTTTGCGGATGAACTCGTCCAGTCGGTGCTGCGATGTGGCTTTGTCAAAGTGATCAACCATGGGCTTTCTGACGAGCTCATCGACGAGCTATTCATGTGGGTGCGTGTGTCCCTCCGCCGTACGAGCACAATAGCGTCTCGCTAAGCGAGTTAGAATGAACGGTTCTTTCAATTGGAAGCAGAGCAGAAACTAGCCATTGCCAACCCGGCGGGTCCAACTCCGCAGCGTGGATGGAGCTGCGTGGGCGCTGAGAAGACATCGCGGCTGTTCAGCCGGGGGGCCAGCTCGATCGATCTCACAGATGCGCGGGTGAGTCTTCTGTTCGCCTTGTTCATGGACGGATCCTGATGATACGGTTTAGGAGCACTTTGACGCAGGGTCACCGCATGATAAGACCTTCGCGAATCGCTGGCCGGGCAACACCCTGCCAGGCTTCCAGTCCTTTATGGAGAACTTCTACATCAAGTCCCACGAGGCTGCGTTGACCATCATGCGCAGCATCGAGATGGGGCTCGACCTCCCCCAGGGCTCTCTAGTCGACAAATGCAGAGGTTCCTCCAGCGAGCTACGTCTCAACCACTACCCGACAATCGATATAGAAGAGCTAGCCCGCAACAAAGTCAGCCGCATCCATCCCCACGCAGACCTGGGCGTGATTACCTGCCTCTTTCAAGACGGCCAGGGCGGACTGGAGATGGAGGATCGCACGAGCCCTAACTCCTTCCTGCCCATTGTCGCGGGAAAACGGTCGGAGATGGTGGTTAACATCAGCGAGACCTTCCAACTGTGGACGAACAATGTGCTCCGCCCGGGCGTGCACCAGGTCACTATTCCCCCAACCATGAAGCATCTCAGCTCGGGGAAGATTGCCTCTCGTCGGTCCTGTGCCTTCTTCCTCAAGGCGGACCGGGATGCCTCCGTTGCGCCTCTGCCGCAGTTTGTCACCGAGGAAAGGCCGGCGGCGTATGGGGAGATGACAGCTTTGCAGTATCACCAGCAACGATTGGCAACGGCCTACTAGTTCTTATTACTCGCGATGAGCGTATTCATGGTCTATAGGATGCTCCAATGTACGGAGTAGGCTCGGGGTTTCACAGTCTAGTTCCTACAAGTGTTCTCGTTCTCAGTTCCAGATGCAGAAAAAGACTATCTATATCTCATACTCTCCAAGAGGCCATCCCACCGAGACGTCCCATGTAGATGGTGTATGGCTGAGATTAACCTCGACCCTGTGAGCTCGTGGCACCCAGTCCAGCCGTCGCCTTTGCAGTAACAACACTACACTCTCTCAGGCTCTGCATCACCCGCTTGCTTTCCAGAACCGCAGACCCAGCCTCCGTAGCACCGCCCTTCGTTGTGACCTGAGCCACGATCTCCTGTGGCGCGCGCTGGTGATGAATAAGTGTCGCTGCACCGCGAGCAGCCTGACCCGCAATCTCCAATGCAACCTGCAAGGGCAACGTAGCCGCATCGTCCTCGTTCTCAGTCTCGTTATCGCCTTCAGCCCCCAGCCCCTCAGCCAGCGCGGCGATGATCCCAGCAAAGAAGGCCACCGACGACGATCCCAGTGCCGACGCAGCATGCATCTGCCTCTCCGGTAACCATCGCACAATCCCCACCTGCTCGAACAAAGCGGTGACGAGACCGCGAGCCGCGGAATGTGTCGTCCACGCTTCAGTATCTGACAAGACGGTGACCGACTCACGCACAGCTGCCGCAACACTGCAGACGGCCCGCGTCACCAGCCAGCCCTGATCGCCACCATCCTGGCCATTCATCTGCCTCGCGATAGTCTCAGCAGAGACCCCGCCGACCAGACTCACCAAGACCCGAGGCCTGGACCCCGGTACGATCATCTGATCATTATCACGACCATGGGATCGGCACAGATCGCCTCGCACTCCTTGCAGGTCCGCCAGAAGCTCTGCCAGCGCGGTATGCTTGCAGCCGATTAGAACGATATCAGCGCGCAGCGCGATGGCGCGATTGCGGTCGCTTTTGCAGATCTCGACGCCAGGGAATCCATTTCCGGCCCCGGCCAGGAAGGGGCGGATGGCGTGCGACACTCGCTCCACTGCGGCGTCTGACCGGACCGTCACTTGAATGTGGTCGACAGGGGGGGGGGGGGTTGGTGGCGGTGTCATTGGTGGCGGTCGGGGCCTGCAGCGCAGCGGCAAGGAGGCCCTGCAGCACCGCTTGGCCGATCTTCCCTGCCCGGGTTTTTGGGTTCGGTCAGGGAGCTAGTCAAAAAGGTGGCTGGAATGATTGATGGGATTTTCACTTACCGCATCCGAGAATAGCCACGGTCAGTCCCTTGCTCGGGGAAGACATGGTGAGGTGGTCGTGGTGGGGGCGGGGGGTGGCGCGAGGGGGTTGTCTTCGACTGCTGCAGGTGAGGAGGGAGGGTGGTTAAATAGGGTACTCGCGCGGAATTCGTGCCCGACACTGAGATTTGAGGTGTTGGGCAGTTTTTGCGGGCTTCCTGCAAGCATCTGCGGGCATATGCAGTGTGTATGCAACACTCGTGAGGGGCGTGCAGCTGCAAGTGATGGAATATGACACGTCACAGCGCAAGCGACAGCCATTTCTGTAAGTAGGTGCTGCGCGGACCACCCACACTGCGTTCGATGTATAGATAGATGACATGCAAGCCAGCCCCGTGTTCCTTGCAGTGGGTATCTGGTCGATCTATGGTGTCTAGAAACCGCAGATCGGCGAGGTGGCTGTTCTTGAAGTGCTAGGGAGGGAGAATGAGCCAGCAACAATACATTGTCTATAGGTATATGCGACGATCATGTCTATGAGCTCTGATGTCCCAAGGAGGCTGCTGCTGGACAGAAATTACCAACACTGCAGTCTGCAGGTTACTGTATGATTCTAAAACTCTTCATGCTACCCAGTGAGGTTGTGCATGATTGTCAACGGAGCCAGAAGTGGCAAGTCCACCGCTTCAATAAAATACATCCAACGTGGTTGATTTACCTCGGTTGTCTAGTTATGACAACACTGTAGGGGTGGATATACTTGTTGTAATAACAAGATGAACTGCCTTAAAGATTTCCGGAGGTTAATAGCAATAGACGAGCCATCAAGGCGGTTAGACCAGGCACAGTAGTAAAGAACAACGTTCGTAAACAGCTAAAACAACTATATCTCAGCTATAGATCTGGAGGATATTACTTCTTGATCTTGTAATAATACTACATTAACTCCTTATTATCTTCCACACACCTAGGGATATATTTCATATGCACAAAAAGTTGTAACACTAATTATATGTATTCTGAGACTTGGGAACCAGCTCGTATATCATAAAGAAAAAGAGATCAATTATAGCTATAATCCTGATCATGGGAATATATCGATTTGAACGAGACAAGAAGAATACGTTATATACTCAATCGAGAAGAACAATTGGTGAGATTATACACGGCTTTTCAGATGGCAAAGTATTCAGTAATTGGAAAGTCTTAACACTACAGCTAACCCTTAGTCCAAGTGGGGCATAGCTAGGAGTTAAGTAATCAGTGTACGATGATTATGCACTGTGCTCACCGCAAGTGCCTTGTGTATATATATACATCGCATTCGGTAGCCGAGCTTCCATAGCTTCCTCATCAATCGAGCCCGTCTAAGTCACTAGTTCTAGTTCCCTATCTGACTCCATATACGAGCTTGGTCTTTGCTCAACATTAATAGTACTATCACGATAAACATGACTGTCTCCATCGAGCCCGACACCCCCCGGGCAGCTCCTAAACAAACCCCCAAACACCGCGACCCAGAAATCTACACCTCCCTTACCAGATCCCTCGACTTCACCAACGACGCCGAAGAGAAATGGTGGACACGCACCGCGCCTCTTCTTTCGAGAATCCTCTCCTCGGCCGACTACACTCTCCCGCAGCAATGCCAGTTCCTGACCCTCTACAACACGCTGATGATCCCCAACTTCGGGCCCCACCCGCACACATGGCACTCCTCGATCACTCACTCGGGGCTCCCCGTCGAGTTCAGCGTCAACTATCAGCCCGGCAAGCAGCCCACCGTGCGCATTGGCTTTGAGCCGGCCTCGTCCATCTCCGGCGGTGCACGGGATCCGTACAACATGGTTACCGTGTCGAATGTGCTGAATAAGATGGGCCGACTGGGCTTTGCGGGGTTCGATCCGTCGCTGTTCCACACCTTGATTGGCACGTTGACGCTATCGCGCAAGGAGAGTGATCACCTGGGGGGCGCGAAGCTGGAGGGGTCCAAATTCAAAACGCAGGCGGCGTTTGGGCTGGACCTGAAGGGGGATGCGGTCACGGTCAAGACCTACCTTTACCCCGCGCTGAAGTGCAAGGTGGGGGACACTGGGCTCAGTGAGCTGCTCGAAAAGGCCATTACTAAAGGTCAGAATGTGCCGGATTGTGGCCGGGTGGTTTCGCTCGTCAATGAGTACATGGAGGAGGGCCAGTGCTACAACCAGTACTCGTTTGTCGGGTTCGATTGTGTAGACTCGGCCAAGGCGCGGCTGAAGGTCTACGGAGCACTTCTGGACATCTCCTGGACCAAGGTGGAGGAGATCTGGACGCTTGGGGGTCGCCTGGTGGATAGCGAGACCAACAAGAAGGGCCTGGAGTATATGCGGGTGCTCTGGGAGTACCTGACCCCTGGCCAGGTAGGTTTCCAAGACTGTCTGCTTTCTAACACATACTAATATTCACGCAGGACCGACGCCCCGTGGGAATCTGGAACTATGAGCTTCTACCCAACAGCGACGAGCCAATGCCCAAGTTCTACGTGGACATGAACGGAGAGAACGACCTCCAGAATGCGCAGGGTATTGCCAAATTCATGCAGCACATTGGATTGACGGCGACGGGCGAAGGATTCATCAAGACGATCCAGGAATACTTGTATGAGGCCTTACTCACCTTGTCCTAAGTGTGTGGGGTTTATGCTAACCTGTCTCACTGCAGCCCCGGCGTCGACCTCGAGCAGACCACGGATATCATCCAATACGTCTCTTTTGCCTGGAGCAAAGGGGGGCCGTATTTCAGCGTCTATTACCATTCTTCCCACTAAGCGGATGAATTCATGGCCGTCCTGGCAAGCGCCACTTATCAGTTAGCATGCGTATCGCTCACCGTAGACTGCCCCTTGCACCTTGCTGATTTTGCCGAGATAGTCACTACTATAACAAGAATATCTAGTCGCAGCATTTTGCTTTTACAGAGTGACCGCTACTTCCATCTGTACTCCATGTAGCAGAGTCCGTTCCACCCGGGAGGGCTATCCGAGGAGGTAGCCCTAAGTATGCGTTCTTGGGCCTCCGACAGTCAACAGGCAGAGCCATCCTCCAGCCCGACCCTACATTTTGCGTACAGGTTTTACAGCTTGCATAGATGCATCCCATATACTCCGTGAGCAAGATACGTGCATTCTATTGTTCTAGGATGGTAAACCCTAAGCATACTGGCCCAGCGCCAGCTCCCCCCACAGCTCCTCTGGCAAATTGGTCGGTCGATACTTTTGGCCTTCGCGGACTGCCCTGGCAACGCTCTCAAACTCCCGCTCCGTATACGCCTGGCTGTCATGCCCGAAGATCCACGTTTCGAGCGGTAGCGAGGCCACATTCTCCTCGTCCGCCGCAAACGCGTCCCAGTCTTGGTTCCGCCAGCCCTCGTTCGAACGGTGGCTGATGAGCTGGACAGCCGAGGCCCGCGCGTAGCGGATGCGCTCCGCCACCCGGAGGGCAAGGGGCACTTGTTCCTGTCCGGCGAGAGAGAGCGTGGTCGCGAGCACGTTGGCGTCCTCGATTCCCTGGGATGCACCCTGCCCGGCGGCCGGGGAGAGCGGGTGCGCTGCGTCGCCGATGAGGATGAGGCGGCCACCCCTGGAGACCCAGTGCGAGAGCGGGTCGTGGTTCAAGAGCGGGTAGTTGATGAACTTCTGGGGAAGTGTGTGGCGGATGACAGACCAGAGGCGCGCGCCGATGGGCCAGTCTTTGATGAGGTTGAGCATTTCGTTAGGGTCGGCCGTCGAGGTCCAGACGTCGAGGAGGTTGCGCGTGTCCTGAAGCCGTGGTTAGCCAACATGTGTAGACACAAGTACGGGACGTATAGATACACAGATTCATACCTGGTGGATGCAGAACCACGAAAAAACCTTGCCCTTGTTACACGACTGCAGGGCGATCTGGGCACCAGAGAGGAAGAAGACGTCGAATCGGTCGGCTTGCTCCACCCCCTCAAACACCCAGCTGGCCTCTGGATCTGCCCTGAGTCGGTCGATATTGACCAGCGCCCGGAAGGCCGCATAGCCCGACGGCCGCGGCTCGACGGGCTGCCCACGCATAATCGCCTGGCGCATCTTGCTGTGCACCCCGTCGCTGCAGATCACACAGTCCGCGCGGACTCGCTCACTTGTGCCATCCCGCGCCGTGACGAGCACGCTGGCGCCCTGCTCGTCCTCAACAGGGTCCGAAACATCCACGCCGAGCGTCATCTCCACGCCGATTTTGCGCGCGTGCTCATACATCACCCGGATCAGCTCTGAGCGCGGCAGGAGGTAGTTGTGCTGCTTGCACACCTCCGAGAGATCCTGGCGGATGATCCGGCCGCCGGACGAGTTGTGGATCTGGATCTCCTTTGCGGTGACGACCCAGTCACGGAGGGCTTCGTGGATCGCCCCGTCGCCCCATCGTCCGATGATGCGTGTTGCGTTGCTCTGGAGGCCAATACAGTCGCCTACCCCACCAACGGTATCATGAGCACAGTCATCAGAAAGTAGACACGGGTGGGGAGTCCTACCGATAGGCTTGAGGATATCGCTCTTCTCGAAGGCTCGGACCTTGTGGCCCTTCTCGCGGCAATCGATCGCTGCCGAGAGCCCGACTATGCCGAGTCCGACGATGATGACTTGGACTTCTTCGCCGATGGAACCCATCCTGCTGTATCTAATGCTGCGATAGTGACTGGAAACGCGAACGGTGCGATAGACAGGTAGTAGGCCTCTATACACTCTCTCTTGGACTATCCGATTGCCTGGCTATGAATTGCGTCACTTATCGAAAGGCATTCCTGCAAGGGCTATCTTACCGGTGTGATTGTCAGTAAGGAGGCCATATCTCACTCGCTGTCTTGGTTCATGCGTAGCGTGTCCGGAACTGCGGTGAAGGGGAAGAGTGCCAAGCGACGCAAGGGTCTTCGCAGTTGGCCCCCCTGTTGTTTGCTTTTCAACAGACCTAGCGTCGTGCACTGCCTCCCTCATGTTGGACGAAAAAGATGCGTGGTGCGCAAGACAATGTAGCTCTACCTGAAGCCAGGCCCTTACTGGCAGGCACAGCGTCATGCCTCATCCACTGCTCAAGGGGCTCCCACCCGAGTATAGGTAACTCTATGAACCTCGGTGATTACGATTGATAGCGGCCTTGAATAGGGACTTCACTGATAACAGCTCACCCCCCCTTCTCTGCACCTCCGTTCACGCAGCAGTGCCTTCATACTCCTTTTCCTACAGCTCCTCTTCCACCAAAAGCACAATGACCCAAGGCGCCCGAAAGTATACCGACCAGCTGCGCAACACGCGCGTGCTGGTCATCGGCGGCACGTCCGGGATCGGCTTCGCCGTCGCAGAAGCAGCGGTTGAGCACGACGCCATCGTCACCATCGCGGGTTCCAAGCAGGGCAAGCTCGACCAGGCCCTCGCCCGACTGCGAGAATCGAACCCGCACTCCGCCGCAGACCGGATCCAGGGGATGCAATGCGACCTGGGCGATCCGGAGACGGTCGAAGCCAACGTGCAGCGACTGCTGGCGCTGGCCGCCGGCGACGGCAAGATCAACCATATCGTGATCACGGCGGCGGACATGACGCAGCCGCCAGCGCTGGAGGGGCTGACGGTGGCCGACGTCCAGCGGCCGGGGGTGATCCGGCTGGTGGCGCCGCTGATGGTGGCCAAGCACCTCCCGGCGTACATGGAGCAGGACGCGGGGAACTCGCTGACGCTGACCAGCGGCGCCCACTGCCTCAAGCCGGATCCCGGATGGACGGTCATCTCGGGATACTGCGGCGCGGTGGAGGCGATGGCGCGCGGGCTGGCGGTGGACTTGAAGCCGTTGCGCGTCAACGTCGTGGCCCCCGGGGCGGTGCTCACCGAGGCGGTCCGTGATATCCTGGGCGGCGCCACGGATCTCGCGGTCAAGATGGCCAAGGAGAAGTCCACGGTCGCCCAGGTCGGGACCCCGGAGAGCGTGGCCCAGGCGTATCTGTATCTGATGAAGGATCGGTATAACTCGGGGTCGACGCTGGCTACGAATGGGGGGATGCTACTGCTTTGAGCTGAGGGTGGACTTTCACAATAGTGGCTGCATTATGGCCTTCTTGCGAGGTAGAGTGAGATTCGACTGGATGCATTGTACCTCGAAGGTGTTAGTCTGATCGAGGTAGCTACCGCTATTCGCTGCTGTTGACTACGAATTTATGGTTAAAACCTCTTGTTCCTTCTGATCCCGCGCCCGACAACCTGGGCTCTCAATTCTCGCATCGCAACGTTCAAATCAAATACAATGGCCGATGTTAATGTACCTCGAGCTTTCAGTAATGACCTGCTATGTCTAAGCTAGTCCCCTTCACCGGTGTGCGGTAGTTTCCAACGCGTCGGAGATAGAACCAGAGCCACGTAAGACAGTCTATTGAGGGGTGATCCAACACAGGTGGGATTGAAACGGATGAACCCGTGGCAATCCATTGCCAGCACTCTATCAGTCTGACCACTCTCTAAATCTCCTTTGAATGGATCGCTACGGTAAGTGTAGTGCACACACATGTCAGTCTGTGCTAGCGCATAACCCATTGACACCGACTACCCTTCAAAGCCGGCTGGCGGTTGGTCGGATGAGGATTGACACTCGGCGTCAAGGACGCAAGGGGCTCCAATGAACCTAAACAATGGTATTCTGTCGTCTGCCAGGGCTAGATCGGCTTGCAGCTGTCCTCACCAATAATGTGGCAGTGAGGGGTGTTCCCCTCCCTGTGCAGCACCATGCCTAATAGCAGACAACCCTACAAAGTCGGTGAAACGGTGTCTCAATCCTGCCAGGAGTAGTCTATGTATCCTTTGGAGGTGGCAAGCACCAGCACGAGGCAAGGGGGCAAAAACTGGCACTATCGGCAGAAGTTTTGGCTTCACTGTCGTTCGGTGGTCTTTTGCTTCACTGTGGTTCCAACTTTGCTATCTATATTATCTATATAGTGAGATACTCACGGTGCACGTTGCCACCACGAGCATCCTCAACCCCAAGCCTATTAATTCTCTTAACCACAGCTCTCGCCATGGGTCAAATGCAACAAGATGCGGACGAGTACTTCCGCGTGTGGAATCCCGAGCAAGCCGATCCCAATCACCAGGAGAAGCCTGAAGAGCTGGAGGTTTGTACAGACTACGTCCCCATCTACTGAGTTCCAGAAGCCGTGTTGACTTCTGCGAAGCAACGGAAAGCCGCGCAGGATGCCCTCTCCATCCAGTGAGTCCACTCCTACCCACCCTCCCTCCCATGTTCCTTCACCTTGCCTCGCACTCACAACAACCAGGTACTACAACCTGGTGACCTCGATCTTCCAGAAGTCCGGACGGATGTGCGGGCACCTGTGCCGACTCTCGCCGAACGAGCCGATGGCGCAGTCGCTGGTGCGGCACGAGCACTACCTGGCGCACCGGGTGAACATCCAAGAAGGCGAGAAGATCCTGGATGTGGGGTGTGGGATCGGCAACCCGGCGCGGTCGATCGCACGGTTCACGGGGGCCAACATCACGGGGCTGAACATCAACGCGCAGCAGCTGCGGCAGGCGCGCCAGCTGACCCAGGAGGCCGGGCTGGGGTACCAGGTGAACTTTGTGGAGCAGAACTTCCTGCGCATGGACGACTTCGCGGCCGAGACCTTCGACGGGGCGTACGCGATCGAGTCGACCTGCTACGCGCCCGACCTGGTCGAGGTGTACTCGGAGATCTTCCGGGTGCTGAAGCCCGGCGCGCGCTTCGGGGTCTACGAGGCCCTGCTGACGGACAAGTACGACGAGGCGAACCCCGTCCACCGCGAGGTCAAGACCAACATCGAGCGCGGCGGCGGGCTCGCCCGCATCCACACCTCCGCCGAGGCCATCGCCGCCATGAAGGCCGTCGGCTTTGAGATCCTGGCCGTCGACGACCTCGGCGCCCGCCCGGACCAGATCCCCTGGGAGACCCAGCTGAGTGACCCGACTCTGGAGAAGCAGGGCTGGCTGTCCTTTGCGCTGTTGAGCGTCTTCTTTGCCGCCCGCGCCTCGCCGCTCGTCAATCGCGGGCTGCAGGCCGTCGTGGGCAAGTTGGAGCAGCTGACCCTGTTCCCGGCCGGGTCGCAGAAGGTCGTGGATCTGGTGGTCACTATTCTGGATGGCATGTACCGTGGCGGAGCGTTGGGCATCTTTTCACCCATGTTTTTGATCGTGGCGAGGAAGCCGGAGGCGTAGTCTAGTCGCGTTGTTGGGATGGCACGAGCTGAAGTATGGGTCTTGAATCTGGAAACAATTTTTTGGTCTAGATGAATTAATTCATGACTACTAGTAACTGAGTTGAAGTTTGCTTATGCAGAGTCTCTCTTCGCAGATATCCAATAGGTAATCATAATCCAATGAAGAAGAGCAGTACAAACAGGACAGTGGACTCGATCGTATTTTTGGGAGCGGGGGGATACATTATCGTATTCTGAAGATACGAACTAGCTGAGTTACAATCTGCGTATAGGGCAACTATTTCCTCAGTTGGTTGTTCAAGGCAGTCACAATCCCATGGATAATACTATGACAAACAGAACAGTCGGCTCAATTTGGACTTTCTTTAAGTTAATTCCGTCTATAGGACTAGGTGAGAAGGGCTGATTGTACTCCAACCACACGATCTAGTTGAAGGAAAGATTTAGATATATAGGATACAAGCCGTTATTCCCAGGAAACCCTAACTCAGTGCACAACCGCAGGGACTTTTGCAGTCTTCTCCCTCTTGACCGACAACCACTCCAGAAACACCGCTCCCAAAATCGACAGCGCGCTCCCCGCAACCGGAAGATAAAACGTCTGCGTCGTCGCCGCATTATACGCCTCCTGGAGCTGGGGCAGCACCGCCGGCGAAAAAGAGCTCGCCAGGTCCGCCGCACCGGCGGCAATCACATCCCCCGGCGCCACGTCCGGCGCATACTGCACCACGGCCGCGACGAGCCGGTTCTGGAACAGGTTCTGCGCGATTGCGATGAACAACGCGCCGCTGAGATTCTGCGCAAACATGACAATGGCCGTTGCAGTCGCTATATCGTCGGGCGGGAGCGACGCTTGCACGGCGATGAGGGGGATGTTGAAGCCGAAGCCCGCCCCGATGCCGACGAGGGCCTGGTAGCCAATCCACTCCGGGTGGCCGGAGGTCGCGGTCAGAGTGCTGCACATCCCGCAGCCGATCGAGAGGATGATCGTCCCCAGATACATCAGGGGCATGTAGTGGCCTATCATGTTGACGGCAATGCCCCCGATCAAGGTACACAGGGAGATGCCGGCAATCATCGGGATGCTCATAATGCCCGATGACATGGCGGACGCGCCCTTGACGGCTTGGAACCAGATCGGGAACTAGTATCGTGTCAGATATCGAGAATTCGGGCCCATTGTTTGGCGGGGGGGGGCACAAGACTCACGTAGTAGGCCATCACATAGTAGGAGCCGGAGAAGAAGACGGTGTAGACCGCTGTGGCCCAGACGTTTCTCATTGCAATCAGCCGCGGGGGCACCGTGGCCCGTTCCTGCTTCCACCGTTGGATTGCGGCCCAGACGGCTATGAGCACTCCGAAGAGGATAAACAGCACGATGATCCGGGCGTTCTGCCAATGGTACTTGGTGCCAGCCCACTGCAGCGGCAGGAACAGGCAGACAATGGCGGGGACGAAGATGAACAGTCCCCAGAGATCAAGGTGGCCCATCTTCTCCCTCCAAGACAGCTGCGAACGCGCCGATCGTTCCTTGTCATGATACGAAAAGAGAACCGCCAGAGCTGTAACAGCGCCACAAGGCAAGTTGATGTAGAAGCACCATCGCCAGGTCAGGTGGTTGGTGAAGGCGCCTCCAATCCTATAAAGTATTAGCAATCGATGGATCCAGAGAGGATAAAAGCTAGCTTACAGGGGTCCCGTGACACCAGCAATCCCAGCCATGCCCGTGATCAACGCGTTATAGAGGGCTCGTTTCTCCAGCGGCACCGTCTCGCTCATGATCAGGACGGCGCCGGGAAAGATGCCCCCACTGCCCAGGCCGGCGATTGCGCGTCCGATAATCAATGCGGTCGAGGTGGGTGCCACCCCACACAACAGGGACCCAAGCTCGAACAGGAACAGAGCCGCGCAAAAGGTCCATTTCAGGGGATAGAGCGTGTACAGCTTCCCGAACAGGAGGGTGACCGAGCAGATGGTGAGGAAGTAGACACTGCCATACCACCCGACATCGCTGATAGTCTTAAAGTTGAGGGAGATTTTGGGAATCGCCGTCGCGAGGATTGTGTTGTCCTGTGAATGATTTAGCTATCCTTCAGGGGATATGCTCGGAGTTTCGCATACTAAAGCAACGCAGAAAATGCCCATGCACAGGCCGGTCGTCAACCACACTATCGTCCAAATGCCCGGGGTAGCGTCCTCGGAGGTGCCATCCGTCTCTTCAGCCTTTGGGGCATCATAGGGCAACTCTTCGAATGGGGTTCCAGCGATTGGTGATTCAACGGGAGCATGTCTAGCAGCTTGCACGCTCTTTTCGACATCCGTGGCAGTCTCCATCTGGCATAAGGACCGAGTCACTGGATGGGGTACGCTGGATAGAGACACTATGCTACCAGGAATGGTACTCGTAGCAATGAGACCGGAGAGCGCGGAATCCTTGATTGTCGTGGTCGTACATTCTCTGAAGAGTACTCTAAAAATCACCACTACTCAGATTAGATATCTTGCTCCTCGTCCACATCAAGATCTACAAGGCCCTTACTCCGTCTTCACCCAAGAGACGATCACGAATTATGAATTCCGGCTGTTCTTCCACCCGGGACCCCCTCGATAGCATCCTTCCGTGGAAGGCCCCGCCGAGAATGTCTGAACACGGAGAGCGCATGATAGAGATCTTCAAATGCTGTATCCTTGCGGCTGCAAGGAAAGAAATGAGTGGACTCTGACTTTAAACAGCTGCAGGTGCCACCAGCGATCCTAACGACAGTGCTTCATGCTCGAACGGCACCCTGACCGCTGGAGCAGTGCGTTCTCCCCCTCACCTCGCCGATTGCCAGCGGCAAATATATTCTGCCAGGGCAGCAAGGGGCAGCATCTGAGACACTTCTTCACTCAAGTGAGGCATTCTTATCACCATCAATGACAGACGTCCTTCGCCGGTGTACCCCTGGCATTGTCAGGTCTAGGTTTGGCATGTGCACCGTCTCGGACTTGGCATTAGATCCTCACATCGAGTAACCCGCAAGGACAGTATGGGAGACGCAGAGATCATTGACTCCCCCTTTCACATGGGCTTCTAGAGATGAGGTCGCCAGTTGCATAGCAAGGAGCAGACTACAGCGGAACAACTAATCTCTGTACACCGCAATTGATTGCCGTCAAGGCCATTGAAGTGGCGACAACAGTAGCAGTGGTTTATAACACCACACAGCATCCTAGTTCGTTTGAGAACACCAAAGAATTATCTGAGTACCTCATCTCCACGAGATTCCACCAGGATACCTCAACGAAACACCACCCCGCCAACATGGTCTTCCGCGCAGTCTTCGCCAGCCTTGCTCTAGCCCTTGCCCTTTCGCGGGTATCCGCTGGTCCAGTTCCCGAGGCCATTCCAGCGGTAAATTTGAATGAAATCCCCACAATTGCCACAATCTAACCACTCCGCAACAGGCCGCCGTCTACTCCGACATCGAGTACCAGGGCACCACCGCCCGGATCCCCGTCTCCGACAGCTGCGTCGACCTGACGATCGTCAACAACGGAATGTAAGTTACCGACGGGTCACACCGAGTCGTGGAATTCCGTCAGTCCGACTGACCCCACCCTTTCTAGGAACGACACTGCCGGCATCGGCTCTATGGTCATCCCCAGTCCAGAGATTACCTGCAGTTTTTATGAGTGAGTCAGGCCGGCACCTTCGAGGCTTTGGACTACTCGACTAACGGGCCACAGGACATGCGACTGCTCCGGCGGCACTTTCGGACAGGAGTTCCAGTTCTCGGCGTCGACGCCTGATGTCCGCCAGCAGTATAGAGATCTCGCACAGCTGTCAATTGACAGTATCAAGTGTAAGAGTGTAAAGAATTTTAGCTAGAGTCGTGATTGGGGTGCATAGAAAGATCTGGGCGGCAGAGTGGGATCTAGGAATGTGTCGGGTTGGTTGATGAAAAAAATATATATTTGTTTGCCAGTCGGGTACAGTCTGACGGGTGAATGGCCGAACGGTTAACGCGTTCGCATGCAGTATCTTAGCCATTTCAAAGATCTTAATATACGGCTCTTAGTGGCTGAAAAACTTATAGAACGGTTTTTGAACGTGTCTAATTTATATAAGATATAAACTGTGGCTTCTATACATTTAATTTTAACAATTTAACCTGCTATATATCAAGTTTTAAATTTAATTCTTGGATTGAATATTATTATAAAACATAGGCTTTTTGGTATATGTATTATAATATCCCCGAATATTAGATATAAAACAACTCAAACTAGTATTAATATAGAAAAGGATTGAAAAATTGAAATAGATTACAATAGAAACTAAATTCTAAGAGATTGATTATTTATATAGCTAATATTTGTAGTAATAATAAAATATGTTATATATTAATCAAGTCATAATAAAAAGCAGTATAAAAGCCTTTTCATGATCACTATTTATGTACAAAAATGCCAATTATATCTGTATAGATAATTTAGAAAAGTTTAGATTAATTATATATATCCGTAGATAAACTGGATTAACATAGTATATATAATATCAGTATATTGTATATATAGCTGGATAGAAATAGTACGCCAGATTATAAGCTGCGATTACTATTATACGGATCTTGAGCCTGCTAGAAGCAAGAATGAATTCATCATCATCATCATCAGTCGGGTGTATCCTTCGGAGAAAGTGTAGATATTGAACAACACGGAAAGACTAGTTATGCCATCTGCCACATGAAAAGTGAAATGGAGACCAGGCTAGCTGTTTTGATTCGATTCTGTGTATGGGATAACAGGAATGGTACCCTGCAGTATAAGTAAGATGAGGCGTAAGGTCTACGTGTAGTGCAATGCTGTAGTGCAATGCGACTAATACTCTGAGCACACTCTCCAGCTTGCGATATAATAAGACTTAGTCGAGTTCTACCCCCAACAACATTATAGTGCAATCTCCTCCTCCCGTCGCCTCACCATAAGCTGCGCCATTGGATTTGCAATACACGAGATTCCCGCCGACAATGTCCGCGGCATCTCACTCTCCACACTCTTGATCTCATATCTCATCAGAATATGACTCAGTATCACCTTAACCGTCGCCACGGCGAAGAACCGCCCAGGGCAAGCCGCGTTGCCATGGCCAAAGCCCATGTGCTCCACACTCGTAGCAACCGCATGGGCTTTATGTTCCTGGCCTGGATTCTCCTTCATGCGCAGGAACCTGTAGGGATCGTACTTTTCGGGCTCCGGGTACAGCTCGGCCTCCCACATGTGGTGGATTGTGACCCCGACGATCTTGCCCTGGGGAATCACGGTGCCGTCTTTCAGCGTGAAGGTTTCGGTGGCGAGGCGGCGCATGAGGACTGATCTGTATTAGTTTGGTCTCGGAATTTCGCTGTGAGGAGGGAGTTGATGACATACTCGAGCTCACGGGCTGCAGACGCTGCGTTTCCTTGATGGCGCTGTCCATCCGCTTGAGACTGTGGATGGTATTTCTGGACCATCCGTGGCTCTCTACTGCGCTAATAACCTCCTGCCGCAGCTCCGCGACCAGATCCGGCCGGGAAACGATATCGAAGATCACCTTGGTCAGCAGATCCGACGCGGTGGGGATGGTGGCGAAGAAGAAGGCGATGATCGATATGACGGGATCATAGGCCTCGCCCCGGTGCGCCGAGTCTTCGATAAAATCCAGAATGTCGAGCTGCGGTTTCTCCTTGTTGCTTGCTTGCCTGGCCCGCTGCTCGCGCCGTTGGCCGATTACGGGGAGCAGCAGCTGCCTCAACTCCTGCTGGCGTCTGCGCAGATTGCGACACGAGGGCAACAGCCAGTGGACCAGAGGGATGGTCCATTCGGGCCATTTCTTCAGCACGTAGATGGCCAGCACGTCCTTGCCCGTGTAGCTGAGGATTGCGTCCAGCCACCGAGGATTCCGGCTCAACTCGTCGCCGATATAAATGCGGCCCGCTACACTGGCGATGATTCTTGCTAGTGAGGGCTGGATGTCGATGGCGTGCCACTCTGATGGTTGCGTGTGAACTATGACTGGACTTGGACTTGCTTCGACCCTTGGGGGGGGGGGGGAAGGGAAGTACCTTTTTCATCCGTCCATACTTCGCGAATACTCAGCGAAGCTTCCTCGGCTATAGGCTGCACCACGGCAGCTGATCTCAAATTGGTACATTAGACGTGATCGCTCAATCTAAATAGGGACTTACGTATAGTCCTCGTCAGCCTCGCCACGATATCGTGGGTGATCCGGCCATGTCTGCGCCCATTTGAGAACGGTTCGAATCCCGGTAGGGTTGTATACAGATCCTGTCGAGGAAACAATCAGCGCGCGACTCACACTGTCGTTCGAATCCGACTACCACGTACTTTCTCCAAGAATAATCCAGAATCCAGGCGTGTTTCGTTGCGCAGCTCGTGCGCGTAGCGCTGGCCGGAGAGGATCAACCGCTCACCAAGGTCGGTGATTATAAAGAATGCCTTAAACTATGGTCGTGGATCAGTATAGTACTGCCGGCACAGGGACGGTGTCTACGTACTTTCGCCTCCGTAAAGCGGATCAAGGAGGCACCGCCTGCTGTAAAGCGCTGCTTGGCTCTGGCATACGAGACCTCCCACCCTTTTCGCGTTTCGATGACGGGGATCTCCGTTGGGAACGACAGGTACTTCCATAGGACCAAGACGAGAGCTGCTATCGCCCACGAGGCGCTGGGGAACAGCTGATCTATGACCTCGAGTATAGCCATAGTTGACCGTTCCGCAGTCGGTGCGAAAAGATACTGGAGAGCAAGGATAGATGACGCTCCCTTAGACTCACTAATTGTATACTCAGGGGTACATTACATCAGAGCATAAAACTGGTCTCTTCGAAGATTGACAGTAATATATAATTCAGATACCCTTTAGGTGTGGTGACGTGGAGGAACGTCTACATCACCAGGCTTAAGACGGCGATCTAACCTTGTCTAGCATTGATCAAGTCCAATGAAGGCGGGGAATGCACTGTTGACAGTACACTTTTGTATTACCTTGTGCAGGCTCCGATTGGCCTGTAGATACCCAAGACAATAGACATTGTCGCAAGGCGCACGCATATCCATTCCATCTGCACTATCGTTAATGTATTGTAAGAAATGGAACGCCTGTGTGCTTGTGTTGGACTCTGGGAACGCGAGTGGCATTCTCAAAAGCTCGTTCCTCCACCTTGCTGCCGCCATACTCCCTTGTTTACAGATCTACAAGAGGCGTGTGGCAAGTCTGGTGGTTACAATACATGACATCTTTGCCGCTGCAAGTCCCATGATTCTCTTAGACGAAGACAGAAATTTCTCTGTCGTGCTCTGCGACGCAGCGAAGCTCATTTTGACACGGCATATCAAGGGGTGGACTCCGATCATCCGTAGACACAAAATTAACTTAAACGCACTTCAATATTGCGTGAGGGATTCAAAACTAGGAAGATGTACTGGGCCTTATAGAAAATACTAAGATATCAGGTAGTATACCTATCTTACTAATATTAAACGCCTTAGATCGTACATTAAGAGGAAGCCGGTTAACAACAATTAACATGGTCAACCTCCTGGCAGTGGCAAAAAGCGACAATTGTAAGTCACCAACCCGAGTGTCTGGAGACTACATTCCGTCTACTCAGAACGAAAGTCGCCCGGCAAGGGGTTCCTGCAAGGAGAGGTGGGGGCGCTTTGAGTTATCCAGACGGCAAGATGACTCTATGCACCCAATCAAGGAGGCTGGCTTCATTGAATGTCGGTGACGGCGTAAGGAACAGGTGCAATGCGAGAAACCCACAGAATTAGATTAGGGCCTGCTGGGTCTTGCAGCACGTTCGAAGGCTTGCTGGTCCAAGCTGCTTACAGGACTCCAAATTACCAATAAGTCATAACCCCGCTGTTACGCGGGATTGGGAAGAGTATATAAAATCCCACGACGATAGAGGGCTGAACATCCCTAGCTGACCTGGCTATCAACGCTCCTACCTTACACAGACCCTGACGACCTTGTATCCAACCATACCAGCCACGATGAAGCTCCCCTCCACACTTCTCCTCCCAGCTCTCGCCCTCCCCTTCTTCGCCTCCGCCAGCCCGGTCCAATCCGCAGCCCCAGTCCCATCCGCAGCCCCCGTCCAATCCAACCCCGATGCCCCCGTTATCACCAACAACCAAGACCTCACCTACGTGGCACATATCCTCCGGGATCCGCACAGCGGAATAGAAGGGGTCGTGACCGCATCGCCGGGGCCAAACAACACCGGCGTGCAGATCAAACTGCACTTCTCTGGCCTTCGAGAAACGAGCAGATACCGTAAATGCCCCAATCCAGCCCTCACCTGTTCCGTTCCACCCCTCGGCTTCCCCAACTCTGCTAACAGATAAACATAGTCTACCACATCCACTACCAACCCATGCCCGAATCCGGTGATTGCAAGGGCACGGCGGGACTTCTCAACCCTTACAACGCCCAGGAGGATCCCTGTAATGCGGCCGAGCCCCAGACCTGTGGCGTGGGTGATCTGAGCGGTAAACACGGGTTCCTCATCGCAGATGACTATGGCACTGTCGCGGCGGTGTACGAGGATAAGTATCTGTCCAACCAGCCGGATTCGGTAGCGTACTTTGGCAATCGCTCCGTGACGATCCATGCGGATGATGGGGGCAGGTATAACTGTGGGAACTTTGAGTTGCAGTGATTTTGCCGCGGGTACTGGTGGTGTGGTAGCGTAGCGGTCTCAATGATTTCTCTGTATCGCAGATGGCGGTACGCTGGCATGAGGATTACGTGCTGCGAGGTTGGGTCGTGAGGCTAGAAGACCAATAGAATGTCTCTTCCCTGTCACAGATTTGTCGGGTGCTCCCAGAGAAGAAAATATACGTACTCGGTTGCAAGTACCGGTCTCCTAGATCTGACTATCCTGACTCCTAAGCATTTTACAATGTACAAAGCTTGGCCCATTCAAGCACTATCCTCTGATCCAAGTCTCTGGTAATTACAACATCCGGCTTACAATAACTTCTGTGAACAGATCAGACCTAACATCGCGCATGTTGGGGCCCGTAGTGGTCTTCCTGTATGCAGTCCCCTTGCGGGAGGTTCCCACCACTACATCATCCCCCCTGACGTTAACTTCTAGTTTTTGTATTGGTCAATCTAGGTCTATCTAGCAGGACGCTCGGGACAGGCTTAATTTAGTAGCATGCTCCCCTGCTGCCACATCTAAATTGCCACCTTGGGCTGCAGAGACATTCTCTCTCAATTTGATGGAGCAAGGAGGTATACCAACCAATCAACGTACGCCGTCTCAATCATATGCTGTAGGACCTAGGACGCAGCTTCAGTTCGACATAGTCAGTTTTCATTCTTTCAAAGGGATCAATTTCTTTGTATAAGTTGGTTTCCAGGCGTCACTCGTCAAGTGTGGGGATAGTTGCGAGTAGTGAAGGTAGAAAAGACATGCGGACCGTAACATCTCAAGCGATCGCCTTGGCCGCGATATTGGTCACTTCAGCAGGGGCACACTCGATACCTGACTGGGGCGCCCTCACTCCCTACCACGAAGTCTCTTCTTTCGGAGCCTCTAGCGGAGTTCCTCAAGGGTGCAGACTATCCCAAGCCCACGTTCTTCACCGACACACAGAGCGCTATCCAACCTCCTACTTCTTAGAGGGTGGTCAAGCCGAGGTTCTCGCGGACAAAATCGCCACCTACCAGAGTGCACACCCTGATACCACCTTTGCGACGGGCCCACTGGCTTTCTTGAACAAGTGGCAGTACATCTTCGCCGGCGGCGGCACAAACACGCTTCTTCCGTCTGGCACGACGACAGCTCATGCTGCGGGCGCTGCCTTCTGGAGCCAGTACGGGCGGCTGCTTTACGATGTGGGCACTGAGGATCCATTCTGGAGGGATGGGTTGAATGTCTCTGCGAAGCCTGTTTTCCGGACGACTTCTGAGGAGAGGATTGTCGAGAGTGCAAAGTGGTGGTTGAGTGGGTGCCCGTCTACTTTACTCTATTCCTTCCAACGGTAGTATCATGCTAATCTAAGCATATAGATGGTTTCTTCGCGAATGCAGACGCGACGAGCGCCGAAAATCAATACAGCCTCGTTATTCTCCCCGAAGGACCAGGTCTGAACAACACGCTGGCGCCGTACGACGTTTGCGAGGGCGACATGACCGAAGGGTGTGTGATTCCTTCACCCAGTCCGACCCCCCAACAACTAACCAGTCCGCAGAGAAACATCATTAACCCACGACTTCATCCCGCGGTTCACATCCAGCGCCCTGGAACGCTTCTCCGCCTACCTCCCCGAATCCTTCAACCTGACCGCGCTAGACATCTACGCCATGATGACCCTGTGCCCCTTCGAGACCAGCGCCTTAGGCGCCCCCTCACCCTTCTGCGCCCTCTTCGCCGACCAAGAATGGAAGGACTACGACTACGCCTCGGACCTGCACTTCTACGGCGACTACGGGTTCGGCTCCCCGTCCGGCCGCGCCCAGGGGATCGGCTACGTGGTGGAACTCGCCACGCGCATCGCCGGGGAGCATCTCCACAAAGGCGACGTGGGCATCAACTACACCTACGACAACAACGAAGCCACCTTCCCCACCCAGCAGGCGGTGTACATGGACATGGCGCACGACGACACGATCATCTCGGTGCTCACGGCGCTGGGCCTGGCGCAGTTCAAGGAGGGCCCCGCCGGTCTTTCGGGCGAGGTCGACCATGCCCCCGAGCGTCGATTCCGGACCAAGGATATCACCCCGTTCGGCGCGCGTCTGGTGGCCGAGATTTGGAGTTGCAGCAGCAACAACAACAACAACACGGCGGGCTTTACGGCCCTGCAGCCGGTCCTCTACCGGAATCCCGGGGTCGAGGAGGTGGCCGGGGGCACGGACTATATCCGGTTTGTGTTGAATGGGGGTCCGGTGGCGCTGGAGGGGCTCAGTGGGTGTGAGGATGCGGTGAATGGGTTCTGTCCGTTGGAGGGGTTTCTGGGCGGCATTGCGGAGCTGAAGGAGCAGGCGCAGTATGACTATGCGTGTGGGGCGGGGTATACGGCGCAGGGGCAGGTCGCTGATGGGGTTCCGGTGTAGAGTAAGAGCTTCTCTGATTGGGATGCGAATCGAGGGTCAATCATATAGTTTCCATAGATTCTATGAAGGAAGTTGCGAAGAATTGGCATATAAGATTTCGGCCCTCTCCGCTCGGATGATAGCACCACCGCCGCAACGGAGAGATTTACATCAAGCATTTACCCAACCCTGCAAGCTATTCCTGTCACTTTGACAACCTCGGCCAATCCCTCTACATCCGCTCAAGTAAATAATAAAGACCGTCTACCGGCCACGGGCTGGCACCGCAGAAACGGCGGATCGACGAGGATGGTCATATTGTGCCGCAGGAGAGCACAGAACCTGCCACCAGATCAGCGCCTACCACACACTCGACCACGTTAAGTCAGTAATCGGGGCCACAAGCAGTACATACGTGGGATTCCGCAAACTCGGAAGACGCGAGTAGATCACCCGGTCGATGCCCTGATCCACCGTCCCGTCGTAGACCGTCCCATCCGGCAAGATGGGAAACTCAAAGGTGTCGTTCTTGCTGGCGCAGTAGCCGGTGAAGGTCAGGTTGGTCGGCGAGAGGCCCTTTCCGAATTGATGAGCGTAGCGTTCTGCCTTGAGAGTTAGGGGAAGGCCCTTCTGGAAGATCGGGGAGTGACGTTACCGGAGGGGGGCCCTGTTGGTGGGATCTGATGGGCCCCCGTGTGCGTGACGGCGTCTCGCAATACGGCTTCAATGGCCGTGTCGTTGTATATATGTGCTGGTTTGATCAGAGGTGGGCACTTGTGATGCGTTTGTCTACCGTTTGTACGTACCTGGGAATGACAAGTTGCCTTTTCCTACCGCCGGACAGATGAGTTGCGGTGGTACATCGGAGGCATTGAAGAGGCCCATTCTGTGCGTCACATTCGGTGACCAAGTGGAAGTTGGTCGGCCCCAGGAGGTCTGGAGCCATGCAAAGACCACGAGGAATGCAATTGGCAGGGTGTTCATAGTGCGCAGGTTCTAAGAGTCGAGAGAGAGAGGGTGACAAGCGGAGCCTCCCGCGTTACAAACACTGGTATCAAAGATATATATTCCCACGCCGAGCTGGTGTCAAGTGTGACTACTTTGAAGTCTGATTCATACTGGTAGTTACTAATCAGAGCTGGTGATCATAGCTATACTGCTTCGTTCTGCCGACAAGGTGAAAACCCGACATAACGAGCGATGACACTGTTACGGTACGTGTGTTCATGGGCGGGGTGCAATACGGCCCAGTAAGGGAGTTTTCTTGGTCAATACGTAAGAAAAGACTTCGAAGTGGAGACTGGAAGATGGGCAAACCCCCTTGCAGCAGTATTACATTGCCACGGGATGCCAATGTAGAAAGGGGGTAGCTTGAACAAGGATGATTACAATGTCTTTGTAACACAGTTTGCTTAAGTTAACTAGTTAATATATAGTACAAATTCTGCCACTGCTCTTACCGCCCTTTTAACCCATGATAAACAATTTTCATGGAGATGGTCCCCAGTAGAGTATCTAGAGCTTCGGAAATAGACTACTTGACTAAGTCTCTCTCCTGTTAGAACACTGGGAACTTTTACGAGCTAAGAGTGTCCATTCTGATTATGCTTTTCAATACCGAGTATTAGACAGTTTCACACCTCACAATATCCGACATGTATATATATACATCTGTTCACTGTAACTGAACGCTCTTCATTCCATACCCGGTGTTCTACTTGCTAGCAGCATAAGCTAATTTATTATACCTTCCCACTCTAAGGTAGACTCATGGTTTACACCAAGTTCTTTTTTATTCACGCCGAGCTGGGCGCCCAGTTTATACATGGAGTAGAACCGCTTTGGGAAAGCAAAGAAGGTAAACTCAAAAGCTGTAGTATATTCTGCTAGCACTGGAGAAGCACTCGTCCTACAAGGAAAGAGGGAAGGATTATTAAGCTATGCAGTGATCGCGATAGCCTTCCGTACCATCACCACCCCTTCATACTAGGTAATGAGGAATTGGATCCCTCCAAATCTTCGTCAGGCAAAACCTCGAACTCAAAGAACGTATCGGAAGTCTGCGTCTGTGCGTTCAGTCTTTTCCACGGCGTCCGCAGAGATTTCTGGCGATTGTCCTGCATCCGCTTCACCGGGCTGATTGTCTCTTCGCTTATTCTGCCAGACAAGATAACAGCGCAGGACAACACACAACAGGGCAGCAAGCGAGTAGCACGTAAGCAAGGTCGTGAACGCGGTCTGCGGCGCGAGAACCTGTTATTCATTGCGTCTATATGAGAGGGGGTTGCGTCGAACACGTACCGTATAATGCGGCGCTTCACGAGCGATGAAACACTGCGGCCCGACAAGGTTCCCTGCTGAATTGGCAATGAAGAACACAGCCAAGACGGTCGGTTTCTTGGTCGAACCTGCGATGTTGCATGCGAGGAGGGACAGCACGAGCGGCAGTGGGACTACCGACATGATCAGCCAGAACCCGGCGAGTCTGCTCAGCTTGTCCTCAGCGGGGAGCAGTTTGATCATCAAGGTGCCTGCAATGGCTAGGAGGTACCAGGCGGCCAGGCATAGGAGACGAGCATTCTTGATCTTGGATGTGACAACGGCTACGAGGACAATGGTGACGAGCTGGAAGGCGTAGGTGGGTAGGCCGATGAGTATTGTTTCGCCGGCATTATAGCCGAATCCTTCAATGATGAGGGTGGAGAACTAGATCCAGGTTAGGTTTGCTTCTTGAAATTCTGGAATGAGGGGCTTACACTTGTCGCACCACTGTTTGGGAGCGCAATGACGAACGAGAATATAAACCACCACCAGACATGGAAATCCGTTAGAGCGTCCTTCACCTGCGACCAATCCCATTTGCTGGTTTTGGTCGTGCGCTGTAGACGACTCAGACGCGAGGAAGCGAACTGGCGATCTTCTTGGTGCAGGAACCATGCGGAAGAAGGTGAGTCGGGGAGGTAGAAGAACAGCACTATCGACCACAGCAAGGTAAGAAGCCCTAGGGATATGATCTGGATCTATGTAACGAGTTAGATTGCAAAGCCTGCAGCTAGAGAGAGACTACCCACCTTCCACTTGGGAAATCCGCCCGTGTATTGAAGGGACCCGTAAGCGACAAAAGATCCTATAAGGCCTGCAAGGACATTGCCCGTGAACCAGAACGAGTGGCGAGGAATTTGCTCCTCATCGGTGTACCACATGTTCGTGACCAAGGAGAAGCCTGCAGCATTGGCGCTGCCAAAGACACCGAGTGCAGCACGGAGAATCATGAGACTCTTGAAGTCTACTGCAACAGCATGTAAGGTAAGGACAATACCCCAAAACCCCCTTTAGCTGGTTAGTTATGTTTTTAATTCATCGCTTTGGCTCGGAATGGACAGGGCTGTACATGAAGACGGCCAGGTACTTCCCCAGCGGAAAGCGAACAAAGCCCAGCGAAACGGGGTAAGACGCCACCAAGAACCCTACATCGTAGACCGCATTTGACCAGCTATATTGCTGACCTACCAAATGCTGTGTTTTGATTTAACTTCGCATCTTGTAGAGCAGGGAGCATACGTACCAGGTCTTCGTTCATCCCAAGCACCGCACTAAAGGCTAATGAGGTCTTGTCCAGCAGCTGCAAGCCGAAGCTAAAGAAGACAACCGGCATCAAACTGGAAGTCAGTACGAGTATTCGAGATTGTGCAAGGCCCTTTCCACTTACTACAGGTCAATCTTGCGGACCAGTTGCCTCTCATATTTCGTGTCCTGCACGTTGCTGCGAGCCTCCACGGGCTGCACGACAACCTGAGATGCATCATCAGGATGCTTCACCAACAGACTATGATCCATCGTTTTGCTTGATGCTTGTTGATACTCGTATGGATCAAGGTTGGAGGGAAGATTTCATCTACGTTCGATGAAGTGGCACGCAGCGGGTTAGTAGTAGCCCTGAATCTGGAATGCCATGATGAGACACGACTTTTACTCAAGGGGGAGTCAAGCTGTGTTCGGGTCTTCTAGCTCCGATAACCCTTGCTTTACCATGTCCGCAACTCCTATTCGCGGATTCGACTGATGCCAGGGCTATATACAATCAAAGCCCCCTATCTGTACCCCAGGTAAAACGTGTGTGCTACTATTAAATCGATCCAAAAGCTCCTCTCACATCGCACTTCTTACCACTCACCAACAACCCCAATAAGACGCGGGCAATGTCAGACCTGTACGAACAGCGCATGCCGCGCTGCGAAGCTGAGGCCGAAAGGTTCGTGAACCAATCGAATTTCGATCGCCGGAAATCATTAACGCGCGTCTAGACTCGACGAGCAATACTCCCTGCATGGAGCGTGCGTAGCCCAACTCTCCCCTCCCAACCGGCGTCTAACCCATCCAGCAACCTCGGCTACGACCTGCATCCCAGCGTCGAGCACCGGCTGCCCGCAGACGCACGCATCGCCGACATAGCCACCGGCACGGGCATCTTCCTGCGGCGAATCGCCCCCAGCTTCCCGGACGCGGTCCTCCACGGCTACGACATTTCCGCTGCTCTATACCCGCCCAAGTCCGCCCTCGCGCCCAACATCGACCTCCAAGTCCTCGACGCCAAGCAACCAATCCCCCTCCACCTGCAGGGGCAGTACGATGTGGTCCACGTCCGCAATATCTCCATGGGCCTGATGCCGGACGAATGGCCGGCGCTGGTGGCCAACCTGGTCACACTGCTCAAGCCCGGCGGCGTGCTGCAATGGGTGGAATGCGACGCGTTGCACGTGCAGCATCTCGGAACCAGCCAGGGCTCGACCACCGCGGCTCTGGAGACGATGTATGGAATGAATCGCGCGCTGGTCAAATCGCGGTTCGACGGGGGCTGGACCACCTTGCCGGGGATACTGGAGCGACTGAGACTAGTGGATGTCGAACATCACACTGTGGGCACGGATCGGGTGGCCTGGACGCGGTCCAAGCTGACGGCTAATAGTATGACCTTTGCTTTTCTGTCTGCGCGCGCGGGGAAGGCGGGAGATGGGTCTGCGTTGAGTGGGAAGGAGATTGATCGGTTGGAAGAGCAGGTGAGGATGGATATCGAGTCCGGGGGCTATTTGCGGTATGATATTCATTGCTTTCTGGCTGTTAAGCCGCATCATAACTAGATATGGGAAGATGTCAATGCATTGCTTGCTTTTCTGGGCGTGCTGGACTTTCCCTCCATCCCATGCCGGTAGACCGAGTGTTTTGTTTTGTCTGAATCGGCAGTTTGCGGTTGCAGTCAGCAGGTCGACTGGCGGTAGAGCTTTCCTACAGCGGCTCTCGAATCTGTAATAATGCAAGTCTTACCCGGAGGCAATCAGCAGGCAAGGGCAAGGTTCGGTTGTTCAAATCGCCCGTTTAGGACACAAGGCGTTAATTAGCAAAGATACAATACCATACGAGTTACTGCAAGGGGACTGGATATCAACAAACCCGTTGTCAAAAGACGGGCCCTGTAATTACACAAGCAAGGACATAAGGCTTGTTGAGTTGAGTATGCTGTTCTGTATGCTGCTCTGTACGGTCAATTGAGACTTCCCTCAGCATCGTGCGTAAGGGTTGATCGTGCAATACTCACCTTTCGGCTGGTATAACTATGGCTCTGGACAAAGCTGCTGGATTGTTCACAGTGTAATTTACAAGACATCGTATCCAATCGCGCCATGCCCTATCTTCCTCGGTTCTGGCAGGCACTGCTTGTCCTGTTACTTACTCGCATAGCATGTTGCTCCACGCCCGTGTCGGGTGTTTCCACAAAGACAGTCTTCTTCAACGTCTCGTTAACATGGGAGGAAAGGGAGGTCGCTGGTATCAGTCGCAAGCTCATCCTTACAAACGGTCAATTTCCGGCTCCGACATTGTCTCTCAAACAGGGCGATGACGTTGAGTTTCTGGTAAACAATGATCTGCCATTCAACACGACTATCCATTTTCATGGTACCGACATTCCCTGAATAATCTTTGGAGCTCTCATGCTAAAGGCAAGAATAGGCATCGAACAACTGGGTACTCCATGGTCAGACGGCGTTCCGGGCCTCTCACAAACAACCATCAAACCCGGGAATCACTTCCTATACAAGTGGAAAGCCACGCAATATGGCAGCTACGTCTATCACGCCCATACCCGGGGTCAAGTGGAGGATGGCCTCTACGGGGCCATCTACATTGCGCCGGACGAGTCGGTCTCGAAACCGTTCCACATGATCACGACGGATCCAGTTGCTGTGCAAAAAATGGTCGACGCCGAGAAAGAGACGAAGCCACTTATCCTTTCGGATTGGCGCCACCTGAGCTCTGCTGATATTTGGAAAACCGAAGTAGCCTCTGGAATAGAGGCCTTTTGCGCCAATGCGCTTCTGATCAATGGCAAGGGATCTGTCACTTGTCTTTCTGAAGAAACGATTCGGGAGAATATGACGCCTCAGCAGACGGGTGCGTTGGGGGGGACATACAAGTTCACTGACATGGGGTGAGTACGTCTCTTTCTCGGTGCTGACGGCATGAAACTGACTCCTATGGCTTTGTGAATAGCTGCATGCCCCCGATAGACAACATCCTGGGTGCGTATCCATTCAACAAGACGGCTGTCCCGAGCGGCTTCAACCGCGGCTGCGTCCCCACGGAAGGAGAAACCGAAATTCTCGAAGTGGATGGCAGCAGATCCTACGCGAGCTATGATCTGATAAACGTGGCCGGTCTCACCAACGTCATGTTCAGTGCAGATGAGCATCCGGTCTGGGTCTACGCAGCCGACGGCCGATATATCGAACCGCAGCTGGTTGACGCGATCACAATCCCCATCGGAGCACGCTATTCGGTCTTGATCGTGTTGGACAAACCGGCCAGGGACTACACCGTTCGCATCGTGAACAACGGTATCAACCAGATCATCAACGGGACAGCTTTGCTCCGATACAAGACCCCGTTCCCAGAGAATCACACACCATACCAATCGCAGCCCGCCGTCGACCTCGCAGGCCGAAACCTTTCCATCTCCACGAGATACTTCGACGAAAACACCGTCACCCCGTACCCAGCACAACACCCAGCTAGCCAAGTCAGCGCGACCTATCATCTCAAAGTGGCCCATACCGACGCCGCCTACGGCTGGTACATGGGCAACGGCAGCTTCCTGCAGGCATACGAGAACTTCACGCCTCTGCTCCTCGACTCGGCCGCCCTCCCAGCGAACGCCACCATCTCCACGCAGAACGGCACCTGGGTCGACATCATCATCTCGGTGCTCAACATCGCCCAGCCCGCGCACCCCATTCACAAACACTCGAACAAGTTCTTCGTGATCGGCCAAGGTCTCGGGGCGTTCAACTACTCCTCCGTCGCCGAAGCAATGCAGCATATTCCACAGAACTTCAACCTCGACACCCCACAGATCCGGGATACATTCGCGACGCCATCCTCGTCGCTGGGCGGAAGTTGGTTGGCTTTGCGATACCAAGTGGTCAATCCGGGAGCATGGCTGTTGCATTGCCATGCGCAGGAACATCAGACTGGCGGTATGGCGTTGGCGATCTTGGATGGGGTGGATGCTTGGCCGGTGGTACCGGCGGAATATAGAAATCAATACTGAGTATCTAGACAGGTTTTGAAATACATGACCACAGCATGATACTCAGCCTCGTGGTTAAGCTTTCCTTCACACTATTCCAAAGCATTTCAATAGATCGTAGAGGAGGTCGTGATCCGTGCGTTGTTCATTCTATTACAGCGGGCAGATACACATGTTTCCGCCAAGGAGGGCTAGCGAAGCTCAATGAAGTTGAACAGAGTGAAGCTACACTAAGGAAAGTAGACCTCAACAGGCGGATGCATTCGGCATATGCTGTCAAAGACTGCGAGCAAAAGCCAGTACCAAGATATGCTGAAAGCTGTGGCGATGGTGATACCATTGCCCTACTCCTTGCCTATACTAGAACCACCAGCATACGGAATAGCAGGACGCGAACACAAGGGACAGGTCCCAAGCATGTGATATCACCTCAACCCCAAGCAAGGACGCACTGCAGCTGGTATGCAGCCTGCCCCACTGCGCGATCACCCCAGTGGCCGTTATCTCCTTCAGTATACCCCCCCTGAGCCCCTCGTATGCTCAACCATCCCGCTCGTTGAAGGGCATAAGCAATTTGATAGCATTTCCTATCCAGCGAGTACTACAGATTAGCATCACCACCGCGAGAGATGGACTGGATACAGTTCGAGGGAGGGCATACCACCCCCGCTGCTGTACTGAGATCTCTACTCTCATTGATTCTCATCTATGCATTCACACTTGTCGTCAGCCGACTATTCTTCCATCCGCTTCGCAAAGTTCCAGGCCCCAGACTAGGCGCTCTGAGCAAGTGGTACGGCTTCTACCACAATGTCATCCGCGACGGCCAGTACAGTTTATCATTTGCATCACTGCACAAGAAATACAGTAGGCTACCGACTGTTCCCACAATTCATGTGCAGCTAAGCTCAGTGTCACAACAGACTCCCCCGTCATCCGCATCGGCCCCAATGCCGTCCACGTCCAAGACCCAGCATTCTACCAGGAGTGAGCACCCAACGCAGCCAAAAAGATATTATGGGGACTAAAGCGTGGCCAGGATGTTCTCCATGACCACCAAATACTACAAAGAACCGGACTTCTACAAAGCCCTCGGCGCCGAAGGCGCCATGGCTTCAATCCTCGACCCAAAACAACACCGGATGTACCGAAACCATTTGCGTCCGCTCTTCGCCAGCCGCGCCGTGGACAGCGTGATTCCGCAGTTGAAGGTCGAGCTGGAGAAAGCGACGCGCATTCTCAAAATGCACCATGCAGAGGATCGGCCGTTGAATATCCAGTCGATGTATCGGGCCTTTACGGTACACCTCCGCGAGGATTGACCATCTAATGTGTTGGGGTGCTAACCATGGCACAGTCGGATATGGTCTGTGAGCTGCTCTTCGGCGAAACGCCCAACTTCATCGGCGACGGGGATGGATTCCATCCGTTCGTGGAGGCGCTGGACAAATTCACCGCGTTTTCGTGGCTCGGTAGGCGATACCTCTCGAGGGCGGGAAGCTATCACTGACCTGGATTGCAGTGGTATATTTCCCTTGGGTCAAAGCAATCCCATACGTCCTTCCCTTTGGCCTGGGCGACAAGCTTGCCCCGGAATTCAACGACTTCAAACGCGTACGCATCCTACCCCATCCACATGCTCCCACATTCTAACCAGCCCCAGCAATGCAAAGTCTGGGAAGCGGAAGCCCAGGCCAAGCGCCAGGCGGGTCTACAGTCCGAGCGTAAAAACCTATTCGACTACTACGCGGAGCTCCTGGCAGGTCCCGAGACCGCCGTCAGCGCCGTGGCCCAGCCCGCCGAGGACGCGTTCAATTTCCTGACGGCGGGAACGGAGTCGACGGCGTATACTCTGTCCTGCACACTATTCCATATCCTCAATAACCCGGAGGTCTTCAAGACTCTGCGCAAGGAACTGCACGAGGCGGAGGAGTTCATACGATATGACTTCGATGCGAAACGTATTCAGGCGTTGCCGTACTTGGTATTACCCCCTCAACTGCCGCATTTCGTGCTACTTGCGCTCCCCTCTGACTGAAAACTGCCGATAGGGAGCTATTATCAAAGAGACTATGCGAATTTCGACGGCGGTGCCGGGCAATCTGCCGCGGATGGTGCCGCCGGGGGGCGTTACTGTGGGCTCAGTCTTTTTGCCTGGAGGGGTGAGTATCAACCCTAAGACGGGACTCGAGTGTGGTACAGACAACTGACGGTGGGTGCAGACTGTCGTCTCCTCCAGCCACCTCTCCATCATCCACAACGAGACCATCTTCCCCTCGCCGCACAAATTCGTCCCGGAGCGCTGGCTCGGCGACAATGGCAAAGATCTCGAGAAATGGCATGTTGGGTTTAGCCGGGGTCCGCGGCGGTGCATTGCGGCCAGGTGAGGCCCACCTCAACCCTAACTCTTTCGGCACCGGTGACTGACCCTATCGCAGCCTTGCGTATCTCGAGCTATTTTGTGTCACCGCGTATGTGTTCTCGCGGTATGAGATGACCTTGTTCGAGACGACCGACAGCAGCATGCAGTGGGTGGACCGGATCAGTGCAAGGAATAAAGAGGATGTGCAGGTTAGGATTGTGGCCGATCGGTGGGCGACGTTGTGCAAGGAGGAATAGAGAAGGTTGTCGATTGGAAACGTGAGGGGTGATTGTGGTTCGGTGCTTAAAAATGAGACTTTCACCTGTTGACTGTTTGTGCCTACCGTTCTTGGTGCAGCGCATTGGAATTTTCCCTGCGTCGTGGCGAGTACTGTACCCTTTCTCATAGTCTGTGCCCATCCCTTGCGTTTGTGTACTGGCTAGATGTTGCGGTGTAAACAACGGAATGTCGATCTGCCGCCTGTCCCTTCGTCGTCCAGAAGGGGGTGATACCCTGCCTCCAGCCGTATCTGCCCTGTCATCGAGACTAGGTATACAGGTATACAGTCCACTTGGGCCAACCTGAACCTCCCAACGACTCCCATCCATGAAACCAAAGCCCCAAAGATGGACCAACTGGGCAATTTACCCATGCTCCCCAGCGACGAGACTACCGCTCGACTACTGACAGCCTTTGCGGCGGGGATAGCAGCGCATGTCACCATCTTCCGCCTGGGCGAGTGGGACGTCGCCGCCGCCAAAATCCCCGCCAGCCTCTTCCTCGTCCAGTTCGGCCTATTTATCTACTACCTCTTCTTCGCCGGACCCCCCACGGCGCCCGGGACAGCTCTCTGGCTCGTGGGGCAAGTCACTGCTGCCCTGATCGCGGGAACCAGCACCAGCATCCTTGTCTACCGCGCCTTGTTCCACCGCCTGAATAGCTTCCCCGGCCCGTTTCCTGCCCGCCTGTCGATATGGTACGTGACGAGCCTCTACGCCCGCAACCCGGACGCCTTCAACACCATCCGCGGCCTGCACCAGCGGTACGGCGACTTTGTGCGCACCGGGCCGACCGAGCTCTCGGTAAACCACCCGGATGCGTTGCACGCGGTGCACTCCGGGCGGAGCGAGTGTACGAAGGGCCCGTGGTATAGCATGCTGCATCCGTTCATCTCGCTATTTGCCATCCGGGACAAGGCGGAGCATAGTCGACGACGCAAGCCGTGGGAGCTGGCGTTCCGGCCGAATGGTGTGTCTCCCTATGATTGCTGCGGGGTGTGATATGCTTTGCTAACGATGACAGCGGTCCTGGAGTACCTACCTGCGCTGGAGAAGGGAACGAACGAGCTGGTGCAGCAGGTCGAGAAGAACCAAGGCAAGCCAATGGACATGACCTACTGGATCAACCTGTTCACCTTTGACGTATGGCTCTCCTCGTCCATAACATTGCCGGAATTTTCAAACTAATGGAGCAGTTGACCGGCCGCATCGCCTTCAGCCAAGAGTACGAGTGCGTGAAGTACAACAAGAAACACCCGATCATGGAGATCAACGACTCGTCGAACCTGGTGACCGGGGTCGTCAGCCAAGTCGTGTGGCTGATCTCGTTCATCAAGGCGACGCCGGGCCTGAACGCCAACATGAAAGCCTTGATCGGGTTCTCCGAGGAGCAAGTGCAGAACCGCCAGAAGATGCAGACGCACGGGCGGCGCGACGTGTTCTCGTGGCTGTGGGAGGACTTCCAAGAACAGGGGATTGAGACGCCGCAGTCGCGGCTGGATTTGGTGGCTGATGCCTCGCTGGTGATTTTTGCCGGAAGGTTCGTCCCCCCGGCCCCTCAACAGCATGACCCCCTTCCCCATCATTATCACTAACTATGGCCCTGTCGTATCCACAGTGGCACCGTCGCCGTAACGATCATCGGCTGCCTGTACTTCCTGACCACCTCCTCGCCCACCTATCTCCAGCAGATCCGCGAGGAACTCGCCGCCCTGCCCGAGCTCAACTCGCACACCCTGACCAAAGCGACCACCCTCAACGCCGTGATCAACGAGACCCTGCGTCTGCACTACCCGGCCCTCTCGGGCTTCCAGCGCCAGACCCCGCCGGAGGGGATCACCATCGGCGGCCGCTACATCCCCGGCCACACCAACATCAAGATCCCCTTCTATACGCTCTTCCGCGACGAGCGCAACTTCGCGCACCCCGAGAAGTTCATCCCGGAGCGCTGGACCACCAAGAAGGAGCTGGTGCGCAACCCCGAGGCGTTCGCGCCGTTCCTGCTGGGTCCGTATAATTGTCTCGGCAAGAGCCTGGCGCTGATGCAGGTGCGCCATGTCCTGGTGGAGTTGATCAGGCGGTATGAGATTGAGCTGGCGCCGGGGGCGGATCCGGACGCGTATTGGAGGGACAGGACCGATGGGTTTGTTATGGGGCTGGCGCCGTTGGAGTTGGTGTTTAAGGAGAGGGAGGCGCCGGCTCTGTAGATTGAATGGGGGGCTGAGGACGTTGCGGTGCGTATTGTCGCGTACGGTGTGCAAGGTCGGGTAAAATTGGAGGTGTTTTGTATGGTCTTGCAGTGCGGGTGAAATATTATGCTGCCTTAACCTCTACATTATGTTTGGTGCTAGTGAATGATACAATTTGATTCCTTACCATTCTCTCATGATGCCCTTGAACAGTGGTGTAACCACACCCTTTGCTGTTTACAAGAACCATCTAACCGCCTGAGTCGCTTCAGGTTTGTCTCAGACAGAGTTGCTGAATCTGAGCCACAAATATAGGACAGATCCTGCGCACCCTGGCTGAAGTAGAGCGTAAGAGGGGGAGACCGGAGGTTGTGTCGAAGGGTATCGGAGAGAGGGCGGGCAGCAGGCTGTCTCTGCCGTTTTGCAGTATAAGCGTATGGATCAGTCGTCGTGTGCCATTGGTGTCTCTCGTCAACACGGTTCGATTGACTTTTGACGAATTGCCCAGACCTCCCCAGCCATTCAGCCGCAGGACATCAGACTAGAGTATTCTCGTAGGCTATCTTGTCAAAAGCAGTCCTATACTGCCGAACGTCTACTGTTATACGGTTCGCAATGTTTAGAGGACATCGATAGTAATTGATATGGCAGAGCTCTGACCACAGATCATAGCTTTATGGAGAGCATCATTAACAGGGGGATACTGTTTCACTTTGCTAAAGAATAATTAGCCAACCTACTCAGAGACAACATCACTTCTAGGGACTGCTTATCAACCATGCTGTCGCCAGTAGTAGCTCTCGTTCAGCACAGTATATTATTCTTTCGGGGTCGAGTGAAGTGGTTTCGTATATTCTAGAAGTGTTCATTAGATAAGTACAAGCAGGGATTGGAAATTATTCCAAATCACGAGTGGTAGACTTTAAAAACAGGACGGGAGTGTGCTATTTGTTCATTATCTGCTTGATTGCTATATGAATACAAACCTAACAATAGCGATACACATTGGGCCTTACACCTACACACAGTCTCACAGATCAGCTCTACCGGGCTAACGAGGGGGGTATTGAGCTTTCGACCAGTCCAGCAGTGGCAGGGTCACTACCCCACCTCATTACAAACCCCAAAGAGAACAAACATACATTCGAAATGATCCAAATATAGTATTCTGTAGGTTTGCACGGACAGATTCATTCACCCGCAATATAGATTCAAGGCTTCGCCACCAAATTGTTGATCAAAACCTCTCGACAAACTGCACTGATTATATTTGGGGTAGAATAAGTTTACCGAGGAATGAAGGTAAGAAAAGTGGGCCTCTTCAAAATCTACAATATATTTTGTAAAAGGGAAGTCGGTCAGGAGTGGCCTTGGCATAGATTTATGAAGTACTCTTTCGTTGGATCGCAGATTGAAAGGTACCTAGTTTATCTATTCAGAACACCTACAGATTAGAGTCTTTAAAGAAGCTTAGCTCTCGAGAATGCAAACCAACAATTCAATTTGATCTAAGTTAAAGTTAGAAACTGCCAGGGCGTTAGAAACATCTCGGAATAGTTTTATACCGAAGATGCACGGTCATAGCTAGCTACTCAAGACGCGGGCTGCCGCGGTTAAATAGAGTCAATCAATCAATGAATTAGTCGTGAACTGCACTGAAGTCGAAAGAAGAACGCCTAGACACACTCGACTCGCCACGTTATCCTCTCCCTTTCCCAGTGACCAGACTTATCCCTCTCCCCCTCGTCCATGCAGTTGCACAATCTTAGCGAAAGATGCAAGCCGACTCAAGAAGAAACTCCCACACAAACCGCGTACCCAACCTCCAGGGCCTCGCAGTCCGACCCGATTGCCGGATTCCATTCATACAGCTGCGCAAAGGTAATGCCGTACTCGCTCTCGATGGCCGCGCATGAGTCCCCGCTCACGACCGTATAATATTCGTCGCAGTTCGCGGCGATCCCCGTCTGCGTGGGCCCGACACTCGTTGCGGTTGCCGTCGTCGTTGGCCCCTTGACGCAGTATGCGTATCCGAGCCAGAGGTTCGTACAGGTGGGGCCAACTGAATGCGTTTTTTCTCTTGCGTCAGTCTTCCTGCATTTGAATCCCCTCATCGGGCATGGTATAGACGGGGGGGGAGGAGGGATACGAACTGCTGGGATTCCATGCGTAGAGCTGGGCGAGGGTGACGCCGAATTCGGCCTCCATGGTCGAACAGTCATCGCCTGACTCGATGGTGAAGAACTCCTGACACCCGGCTACCACCCCGGTTTGGGTCGGGGCTGCTGGGGTGGCTGTGGTGGTAGAGGGAATCGCAGTAGTAGTGGTAGCCGAGGGGGTCCCAGAGTCATCCACTCCAACGCAGACGGAGCGGCGGTCGTTACCGGTGATATTTGCGTACAGCGCCGCGTCGCAGTCGCCGGCAAGCCAGGGGTTCCATGTGGTCAGTTTGGATGCCGTTATGCTAAAGTCGGACTCGATATCGTCGCATTGGTAGTCTGGGATTGGGATTAGTTTAGGCCGGGCGGCTTGCAGAAAGTTTTCTCCTCCTTCATGTTCTCTGTTGTTCTCTGACACGTACCGCCGGCCATGTATCCAAGGATCTCCGTGAAGCAGTTGCAGTTCGACACTGTGGTCGCCTCAGTGGCGTTGACTGGTAAACAAAATGAATCGCTGTCAACGCCACCGGTTACTAATATGTGAAAGGGTCAGAAACAGGCGAGGCCGAAATCATGGGCAGATGAGAATCGTGAACAATAGGAAGAGATTGACCACTCACGATAGGTATCGTTTAGCAGCGCGCAATAGCTGTACCCAGGTTGCAGGGCGCATGTGGTCACATTGGTGTCTAGACTGGGATTCCACGCGAGTAAATCATCAGTGGTCACACCGTATGCGAAAGCAATATATCTGCATGAATTCAGGTTATATGTGGTGTCATCATAGTTCCTGTATGATGCGCAGCCTGAGACGGTACCCGGTGCAGTGGGGAGATAGGTGGGCGTGTAGATAAAGCCCGGGTCGCTGGTGGTTGTGGGGATCGAAGTGTCAACTGCGGGAAAGCTGGCTGTGGCCACCGTGATCCAGGGGGTAGTTATCGGGTAGCCCGAGTAAGTGCTGATGTCGCCGACAGCAGCGATGCAGTATGCCTCGCCGAGCTCGAGGTTGGTGCAGTTAGCGTCGATCTCCGGATTGAGGAAGTAGAAGTCCGTTAGGGAGACCGAGTTGGCCACCGATACCAGGCTGCAGGTATCGCCTTCCACTACCTAAGGGGTCATATCATACTCTCAGCAAGATGTCTCCGTGTTGGTAATGGGAAATGCAACTCACGGTGTACCACTTGCCGCAGTTGGTGCTTGATCCATTGAGAGCGTTCGTTGGGGCTGGCGCTGCAGTGGTGAAGGTGGTCGGGTTTGCGGCCGTGGAGTTACCGGACCCATCCATGGTGTGATTCAGATAGCCTCCGGGTGGTCTATGGCTTGTATCAGCACAATTACCCTTCCTGGGCAGGGCGGAGGGAGGAGGAAATGGTTAAATACCCAATGCAGACAACGTAGTCAATGTAATTCACGGCATTTTGACAAAGAGAATTGAAGTTGGGGTTCCATGACAGAAACTGTGGGACAGTGACATTGACCAGTCCACTCACAACACTGTTACACGAGTCGTGCATCTGCCAGACGTAGGTTTCACACTGCGGTGGGACACATAGCGTTGAGTTGACCGCCGTGGTGGCCCAGGTCTGGCAGTAAAGATCCAGGTTGTTAGTGTATAGGAGACTGTAAGTAGACACGTTCAGAGCTAGTGCCGCTGAGTTGCAGTCATCGTCTTCTTGAACCGTGTAAAACCCGCTACAATTTGGTACCGTGGTCGCTGTGGCAGTTGTCGAGGCTGTGGGTGCTGTCGCATTGATTGCGTACTGCGTCGGGGTGGCGTAGGTGTAGCCTGTGGCATTACAGCTGGAGGTCAGCGACGCATAGTTGCTGGCCAGCGAGTCATCGTAGCCAAAGGGACTGGCCAATTCCAAAGCCAGACCACCTAGCCAGCAGTCAGAGCACTTTTGGTCAGCGCTGAGGCTTTGATTCGACCACGATGCGATTAGAGGATCGCAGTGTTTGCCCGTGCTATTGTCCGTTCTGCAGGACATCTCGTATGTAAAAAGATAGTTATCCACGATGAAGGTGGCTGGATAAGCCACAGTCTCCACCACAATCACATCAGTGCTGAGGGTACACGCGGCTGCGATGGTGGTTCGAGCAGCTTCCAGAGATGTATAGCAGCTGTCGACACAGACTTCGTCGACCTGATCTGCTGACATGACGCCATTGCTAGCACGATCATTAGTGACGTGCTGATCAGGACTGTACTAGACATATCGTGGTATGGGACCTTACTTTTTAGAGATAATTCCAAGATAGGGCGAGCAAGTAACATTGGTGGCGAGAGCGTCCTGACACTGTGTACTCAGCCCGGTGTAGTTGGTGAACATAGTAGTACCCGTGAACTGCTGTGCCCATGACAGTGACAGAAAGGCTGCCAGGACCGTAATCAAGACCATCGGCAATGCTGCCATTGCAATTTGCTTGGTCCGGAAGCCCGTCCCAAGGAAGGAAACCGAGACAGAGAGAGGTTTTATTGCCTGTGCAAGATGGACCAGATACTTAGCAATAATACTAACTAGCTAGCCAGCCGGTCACGAAAAAGAGATTGCATGGGACCAGGCCAAGAAATTAGGTTTTGTTCGATAACAACAGAACAACGGCACCATCGCCCCGATGTAACCCGCAGGGATTAGGGCTGACAGCGGTAAAGAGTACCTAACTTATTACATTATATGAGTACTGTACTTACTCAGGGCACTCCTGGTCTAAGCAAACCCTGAAGTAGTGGTCCCATATTCACCCATTGTTGAGACAAACAGGTCTGGTGCGTAGACTGGTCCTTTTAGGTGAAACTTACCATACTAGTAGACCGGCTACTGCGCGAATTTCGGAGCAACCCCAATTTGTACAAGCAAATGTAACCTCATTTCCACCATTCTGAGGCCAGTGGGCCTGGTGTAGCGACTGGCCGATGCATATTGAACTCATCCATGATGTGTCATGCGGATGACAAAATCTGAACGACAAAGCGAATCAATAGCACTAGCAGTGTTTACTAGTAGTACTAGGAGAGGGGGGACGTGAAGTTAAGAAGTAGCCCCTTGGTCCTCGATTCTGCTCTACTATAATTCTTTTCACTGGTGGTTCCGCGTTGCCTTTCTACAGGGACGGTGCCTGCATCATGGCTTTGGTAGAGGCCTTGACTGGAAGGCCATCAAGAAGGCTCTTCAGACTGGCTGTTACAGCATTCCTGCTCATCTGCGCCTTCGCCCCAGTCACCACTGCCTCCTCACATGGGCACGTTCTACATGATAGGCATATTAGACAGCATGCGAAGCATGCCAACACTTCATCAGTGGAACTCAGCCACCACTCTCTGGGTCGCCGAGATAGCTACTCATGCAACGCTGAGAGTCCATGCAGCGATGAAGCGTGCTGTGGCGCCAGCGGCTACTGTGGTTATAGCCCGACTTACTGCGCTACTGGCTGTTTGTCGAATTGTGATGCAACAGCCCAGTGTGGCAAATATGCTGCTAGCCCTGGCCAAGAATGTCCTCTCAATGTCTGCTGCAATGAATATGGATTTGTGAGTATTACCCTCCTTTGTGCCCAGCTTTATCTCCTTCGACAAGTCTGATCAAACTCAGTGCGGCACCACAAAAGACTTTTGCGGGAGTAAGTACCGTTATGTAACTACCTAACGCTTCTCCTGGGGACTACTAACCTGATCTAGCTGGATGTCAGAGCAACTGTGTCTTAAACCCGGAGCCTCCAGCCGGCGCTGCATCCGTGGGTATTTTGAACAACAAAGTCATTGGATATTATGAATCATGGATGTCCCGGAAGAGCTGTCACAAAGTGACTCCCACCGACCTGCCATTGGATGCACTGACGCAGTGAGTATTCTCGAGTATTAAAGTCCCCAACACTGACGAATTCTAAAGTATAAACTTCGCGTTTGCATTCATTGATCCAGACTCGTACCAAATCGTGACAATGGACAGTGACACACCCTCCAGCCTGTTCCAGGACACTACGAATGTAAAGTCAATCAAGTCCGACATTGAGGTCTTCGTGAGCGTCGGTGGCTGGACCTTCTCCGACAACAACACCGCCACGCAGCCCGTCTACGGCGAGATCGCGGCGGATGCGGCAAAGAGACGGACATTCGCAGACAACGTCGTGCACTTTCTGAAGCAGTACGGCTTCGACGGACTGGATATCGACTGGGAATACCCGGGTGCCGGCGACCGAGGGGGGCAGCCCTGAGGACACGGAAAACTATGTGCTCCTTCTTAAGACCCTGCGCGAGACCTTCGATGCCAGCGGAAGTAAGTTTGGCCTGACTTTCACGGCCCCTTCATCCTATTGGTATTTGCGCTGGTTTGATCTGCCGAATATGATTAAGTATGCGGACTGGATCAATCTCATGACTTACGATCTACACGGCGTGTGGGACTCAACAGATCCTATTGGAAGTATTGTCCAAGCTCATACTAACTTGACGGAGATTAAGCTCGCAGCTGATCTCTTCTGGCGTGTAAACATTCCGCCAGAGAAGCTTGTGATGGGCTTTGGCTTCTATGGACGCTCATTCACCCTAGCTGACAAGTCCTGCACAACGCCCGGCTGTCCGTTCAAGGGCGCTTCGAGCCCCGAACCTTGCTCGGACACAGGTGGTATTCTGGCTTATTATGAAATTATGGACGTTCTGAACGGCGCCAGCACATCGTCAAAATGGTCGACCATCACACCCGTCCATGACAAGACAGATGCGGTTGACTATTTCACGTTCGACAGCGATCAGTGGGTAGCCTACGACGATGCGACTACCTACGCACAGAAGGTCGCCTGGGCTAATGAGGTCGGAATTGGCGGTGCCATGATCTGGGCTTCTGATTTGGGTGAGTAAAAGAATCCATCTGCATATTCGACTACTTCAGTGCCGGGGGTTCTAACATGAAGGGCGGTAGATGATGATAAATACACAGCTCACGCTGGTCTTACGAATAAAATCATTATGACCAATCCTACCCTGCAAAGTGTTGATAAGGCTTTGTCCAAGCCGCAGTCGGTCATTCAGGACTTAGCCAGTTTCAACGGACAGAACTGTTTCAAATATGAGGGAAAGTGCGTGAACCTCAACGACAACGATGCCATGACCGATGCTTGTGGCAGTGGATACACCGTGGGGGGCTGGGACGACGCTGGATGCGGCAAGAAGAGCTGTGTACGCTTCCCCTCCCCTCCCCTATGTTTTGTTGCGTGGCATTGATCTGACTCGGTGTCACCAGCACTGCGGAAAACCAATCTGCTGTCCAGCGAGCAGCGCACCCAAGAGCTGCATGTGGCGTGGTGATAACACCGGGGATGCGGGCGTAAGCTCGGATTGCAATGCGCAGTGTCAGGCGGGAGAGATCAACATCGCCGGCATCCGATCTTCTTGGGGTGGTGGATTCGTGAACGACGGCAATACGGATAAGTGTGGTCGAGGATACAAAGTATTCTGCTGTCCTGATCCGGAGTATAGTGAGGTTATTGACGGATGTGCTTATGCCGATTGGTATGTCAATGCTTTTCCCAACCCGAATAGATGGAGTGAACATTGACTTTGATCATTAGTGGCAAGGATTGTCCTAGCGGCAGTACAGAGATGTTCGTCAAGAAGGACACTTGCTGGTCCAAGGGCCAGAAGTACTGCTGTTCGACCCCTGCTGATTTGAGCGACTGCCACTGGGTGGGTAGGAGCTCAGGCAATGACTGTGCGAACGCCAATTGCGCCTCCACCGAGCTAGCTATCGATCGGGCCCAATATGGCGATTCCAGCTCGGGCTGTGACTGGAGCAGAAAGAAGGTTGCCTGTTGTACCGTGAAGAAAGCAGCTCGCGAACCGGCGAAGTGTGGTGCGGATTTGTGCTCGCTCTTCCCCGGCTGGTGTCCGGACGACGGCAGCGATGAAAGCTCGGTTTCCTACCGGAAACGAAGCGAGCTCCAATTGTTCGACAAGCGCGGGCAGAAACAGAAATATATAGCCGAAGTCGGAAAAATCTCCGTTGAGGTACTTGCTGCGGTCTATCCAAGTATCGGAGAGCTCTTCCAAGTTGCCAATTCCGGCCAGGTTCTTCGCTACGCCTTTTGGCTCAGTAAGAACTACTGCACGAGTAACGCCATGACAGTGAAATCTCTGCCGGCTGGTATTGTTCCCGCCGCTCTCTTGAAAGGCTTGAATTCGGAGCATGTAATTGATGTTCGTGTCTTGCTCCTCCTCCTCCTCCTCCTTCTTCTCCTCCTTCACGACTCCCTTTTGTGTTCACATCTATCAGCTTATGTCTCTGTATGACTACTGCTGACTAAGGCATAGAGACAAATTATCGTGTATTTCATTGAATCTGCAATCAGCGGTTATCTCCAGTCTGGAAAGCCCGCCGGTCTATTACCAGTGTCGGAGACCTTCTGGCTAACCATGTGGCACGCTGCCAATTCGGCTCTTGGGGCAATGCCTCCCGTTGGGGGCGCAAACGGAGCCTCGCCCAATACTCCTAACAATCGAATCATGGAGGCCTTCGGATCAACTAGATTCCCTGCTCCCTACTGGCCACCGCTGTTGGGATTAACGCTGCTAAGGGAAAGCTCATGGGCTTCAACCGTCCTGTCTCTATCAAAAGAATCGAAACCTTGGCCAACTTGGCGGTACAGGCTGATAGTGAAGATGCATTTAACAACTTACGCAGTCAACAACTTACTCACAACCATTCGAAACGTGAGTTTTATCGTTTTTTTTTTCTTTTTTTTTTCTCGGCTCCACTCGGCTCACAACCTCACTAGACCTTCGGGGTTTTCGAGTACTATACTTCCGTGATACTCGGGTCGTTGGCCAATGGAACAACGTGCTTCAGCAAGTCGGCCTGCAATGGGCACACATCGAAGCAGCGACCGGCGTGAGTGATCTGCAGAATTGCTGGTGGGTCTGGGCACCAGATTTCTTCCAGTACGTTGAGGACTACTCACAGGGCTGGGCTACGGACGCAATCCGGGTAGCAGCCGGTGCTTACACCGCGGCTCGCACGTCAGGGCGCACTCTCAAGACGAACGACATGGTAGTTCAGGCTTTGAGCGAGCTCCAGAGCAAAGTTCAGCTGATGAAAATGCCTACCATAAAGGCCTCTAAGACGACGATCACGGACTGAGCCTCTACATACTGTGTCGTAGCAGTGGGGACCACAACAATGTATTATCTGAAGGCATATCACAGATTAAAACTACTGGATAGAATTGCGTCTAATATGCAATAAACTCCAACATACCAGTCACTTTCGGTGCAGTATAAGTCAAATCACTATACTTTCATACGACTAATAAGATTTAAGATTCTATGATAATTCACCGACCTCTCAGCAAAGTGCCTAGGTATCACGTGACAGGTTATGCACAGTACCAGAGTAAGGTATAAATAAGTATGTACTCCAGTCATCCCTCGCGCCTGCCTCGGGAGGTTCCCTCCTGTTTTCCTGTCACTGTCGCCAGTCTCCCCCACCCCCTCCGCTACACATTCTGATGCGAGACTGTTAGCATGACACTTTTTACAATAGGTGCCAGAACTCTTCTTGAAAGGCAGCTATACCAATTGCCAACCGCCACGTACAAGACCTTGTCCAACCCCTCTCGATTATCCTCACTGCGGTTCGTTGGGAATATTCACCGCCCATCGTGGGAAAACTCCACGTCACAACTACAACTTTATATGAGAAACAGAACCTGCCAAGTTGGAAATAGGTTGCTATCGTCATCATCATCCCTTGCCATGGTCGGTCTCCCAGACTCTAGACGCACTCCATGGGTCGATTTCAATTCGAACCCCGCCGATATGATCGAGAAGCATATGCTCAATCGGGGCTGCAGGACCTGGGGCTTAGTCATCTACCGATGCACTTATAAGAGCGACGCCGATTGGGAGGAATTCATGTCTCGTCTTCTCTATCAAGTGCGGAGTCCATTGGAGGAATACTACGATGGCCTGGATATGCTGGATTCCTTCAGACCGACTGTGGTGGACGATGGGACGCGGTTTGACGGGGCAACGCCAGACATCATACGGGATCATTTCACGGAGTGGGCATCCACTGCGTGTGGGGCTGAGCAAGGGATTTCACCTACCGATCCCGGGTATGCTCGTATAGCACGGTACCGGTACTGTATCATGGTGGATGAGGAGGCCCTGCGCTCTGTTCTGGCTATTCCACGAGAGGATCTGGATGGCGATAACAGGACCGGCTTTGTGATTCTCGTGCATGGCAGGCACCTCGAGGAGCGAGCTAGCATAAAGGAGTCTGATGAGAAGATCGAAGATGATGACTGTGAGCCACTGTATGGCTGCACGTGGGAAGATGTCGGCTGGATGAAGGTGTACTACGACCAGGCTCAGCTCTATCCTTCCGCTTATATGAACGAGAGCTGGCAGTGGTCTATGGAGTATAGACGGCCTCCCGAGATCGGTCTCTACCACTGATCTTCCCTTCACTTATATCTTAAACCTGTTGTCAATGTATCGTTCTCTATGATTCTGTCCCGTCATAATAATTGGAAGTTAACCGCATGGAATCGAACACAGTGTGTTGCCAGAATGTCCCCGTCTACAGCATTTGAGCCGCTACAAAGGCTTTTCATCTCGATTACCTGAAAGTACCGCGAAGCCGAAAAAAATATGATAAATACAAAAATATCGAGTGATACAGGTACTCTTTCAGCCGCGATTGATAAGACATCATGTACTGATAATAGTCCGCAGACATAAGAGGAAGCACGTCAGTAAAGAAAGACCACATTTACTATGTTGAGTTGTAAGAGTATGTCACATATCATACACAGGGGTTGATGCTAAGTCTGAAAAAAGCATGTAGGCTTGGTGTACCGTGCTCTTCACATGAGTAGATACATGTATTGTACAGTAGATGTATAGGATACTTGCTTAGAGAGTTCGTTACAAACCAAGTAAAAAACATAAGACAAAGTAGCTCGGGATTACAGTAAGTACTGTATGCCGCGAGGCCAACTGAAGACTGGAAAAAGTGCATATCCGAGGCTTACAATCACTAGCTTAGGCCTTTTTGTTCAAGTTAGGGGATACAGTGAGTTTATTGTCTACTCCATAAACTGCGGTTGGATACTGGGTAGTCCTCAAAAACTTTCAAATCCTCGGCGTTCTTGATCCTGAAAATCCTGACTGTGTACTCTTAATTAGTACCCGGTGCCCAGAGACATCGTTTTTCGCCACTTCTCAGCTACGTAGTACTTACGAAGAATAAGAAGAGCCAATGATAGGGGATTTCACATCCAATCCCGTACCGGGTTTTCCACACGGGCTTTCACCATTTGGGACTGATCTTGATTCCGGGAATTGATCCACCACGTACTTACTACTTTGCGCGAAGAGAGGCGGTGGAGGGATTTGGTGCTAGTTCCGATATCCACAGTGCATCCCTCTCTACGGAGCAGAAATATAGTAGAAGCCATGGATAGTTGAAATTAAATGTTGAAAGGTTAATCGGGGCTTCTATATTCCTGTTTGATTGCCTAGTTGCCAGCAGAAAAATGCTTCTAGCAGAATCTTAGAGTGATAAGTTGTAAGAAACCTGTTTCAAAGTGAATTCTTGCTGTTTTGATATTTTATCTTACATAGCTTATATTTAAGTTTTCAATTGAAGCTCTCGCATTATCCCAAGCCTTGGTACATTTTACAAGTTTACAGTAAAGATCGTTTACAGAGTTTGGCTGCTAGCTTCCTTTCCTCGTAAGGCGCACCGTAGGGCGTGAACAGGCCGGGCTTTGCCTGGCATTTCCTAAAAGAGCTCTGTGTACATACTCGTCGTCGAAGCCCGAGTTTCATCATTAACCTTTCCCGAAAGAAAATCCCCAAAGCTTTGAAATCACACTTGTTTTGGTAATATCATGTAATTCACACAGGCGGTATATATAGTGCCCAAATCCTACACCCAGACGGCCCCGTAACCCACTATTCATCAAGCAAGCCACAGTAACAAACAGTCACCCACAGCATGTCCCCGTAAGAAACCCCCCCTTCCTTTTGCCCCGCCACTGCGTCCATATACTCCCCGGAATCCAACACTGACACTGACACAATCACAATGCTTCCCCAGCGCATCCAAAAGGTACCGCGCCCTCACGCAAACCAAAGGCAAAATCTCCCCGGAGACAGCCAGCGATCTCTTCGACCAACTCCCGCCCATCAAACCCTCGCAGCTCCTCGGCAGCTGGAGCGGAGGGTTCCTCAACACCGGCCACCCCACGGGGCCCAAGATGGAGGAAATCCAGTGGGTGGGCAAGGAGTTTTATTCGGTGGATGACGTCGACCCCGTGATTGTCTCCCGGGACGGCCAGCGAGCCAGCTGGGGGCAATGGGGGCGTGCAACTGTATGTTTCCGATTCCCCTTGGATTCGAATCAGATCGGCCCATGCTGATACTCGAGTCTTGATGCTTAACTAGTTGCGAGAGATGGTGTATCGCGGGGTTCTGTCGACGGTGATGATCTACGACAACCGCCCCGTGTTTGATCACTTCCGGTATGTGGATGACAATATGGTGGCCGGGATTATGGAGGGGAAGGCGGTTGAGGGGGGTGATTTCCATTTCTATCTGCGGCGGTAGGATCGGGGTGTGTGTGTCTTTTGAAAATTGGATTAGAGAAGCAAAAATGAGCTAGCTTGTCATTTTCAGCGAGAGGAGCCCTGATCAGTGGCATGCTGGAATCGGGAGAATGCAGCAGAGGAGTAAAGGTGCAGACACGTAGTGAGAAATCACAAACCAAGCCCTATCTGGGGTCTTGTAGCGGTATGGCAATCAATCAAGATTTTTGGTGAGGGAAAACAAAAAGAAGAAGCAGAAGAAAAAGGAAAAAAAGTTCGGAGAAATAAGGACAAAAGAGAAAAGAAAGGAGAAGGGAAACTGATTCGTTCAAGCCCGAGTATATGACAGGAATTGCGCCTGCAGGTCAAACCCCCGAGTGAAAGTTACAGACTACGTGCTCAATAGTCAGGATCAAACATGGATTCAAACCAAAATCACAACCTCTATAGTCTATCACGGTCTGTAATACACACACTCCAAGCATTATGAGCCCATGCACTACCTACATACCAGCTTAATCGAATATGGACGCCTTCATCGAGTTAGGCTGGATGTACTCCGACGCATTGCGGAAGCTGGTGAACCCCCAGCGGATCTGCGCGGCCATGGCGATCTCCACGTCCAAGTCCTTGGCAAAGTGCCACGCCAGCCCGGTGTCGCGCTGGAACGCTCGTCCGACCAGGATAACGTCCAAATTATCCTCGTTCAGGATCCTCTCGGCCAGAACCCCGTTGTTGATCATCCCGACCGCCGCGACGAGCAGCCGATCGCCAACCGCCTTCTTAACCGCCGCAGCGAAGGGGACCTGGAAGCCGGGGCCCCCCTTGATCTTCTGGGAGCTCGAGATGCCCCCGCTGCTGATGTCGATCAGATTCACGGCGCCTTGCGCTGCCAGCGCCTCCGCAAAGCGGACGGTATCGTCCCCCTTCCACCCGGCCTCGCTCTCATCCCAATCGGTCGCCGACACCCGCAGGAAGACCGGGACATCAGCACCCACCGTCTCGCGCGTGAGCTGCGCGATCTCCAGCGGCAGCCGGATGCGATTCTCCCAGCTGCCACCATAGCGATCGGTGCGCTGGTTCGAGGCGGGGCTGAGGAAGCTCGAGAGCAGGTAGCCGTGAGCGGCGTGGATCTCGATGAAGTCGGCGCCGGCGGCCAGGGCGCGCCGGGTGGCCGCCACCCAGGCCTTCTTCAGCGCCTCGATCTCGGCCAAAGTCATCGCCTGGGGCACGATCCCGTCAGCCGAGAAGGGGATCGCGCTGGGGGCCTTGACGTTGTCCGTCCAGCCGCCGACGGCGTTGGTGGCCACCCCGCCGCCCAGCCAGGGCGGCAGCGTGGAGGCCTTGCGGCCGGCGTGCGCCAGCTGGATGCCGATCTTCTGGCCCTGGCTGTGCGCGAACTCGATCACCTGCCGGATCGGCTCGATCTGCGAGTCCTTCCACAGCCCGACGCACTGGGGCGTGATCCGACCCTCCGGAACCACCCCCGTGGCCTCGATGATCATCATCCCCGGGCCGCGCTGCGCGATCCCCCCGTAGTGCGTCGTGTGCCACGGGGTCATGTGGCCGTCGTCGGCGCTGTATTGGCACATGGGTGCCAGCTGCGGGGGGGTTAGCTTGTTATCCGTATGAGATGTTTAGAGATCTGCGACCGAGGGAAGATACTCACTCCTAGTCGGTTCTGGAAGGTTTGAGCGCGGATGGTCAGGGGCCGGAAGAGTTTCGGGATGGGCTTCCCGCTGCTTTGAGGGTTGCGCGCCGTGCCCGCGGGGGGAGTCTGCGCCGGCGTGTAAAAGGAGACGCCCGGGGCAGGCTGGACGGGAACATCGGGCCAGTTCGTCATTGTGTCGATGTTGTCGTTGATGTTGATGGTAGATTGCTTGTAATGGGTAATTGAATGCGAATCTAATGCGTCATCTGGCCGGGGTGTAGGATCCAACTTTTATAGTCCTCCCGGGAGGGCTATCGAGCAGTATAGCCATGCTCGAACGTTCGGCCCAGCATTGTCTTTCAAAATGATTTCTAAGCTGCGAGGCGTGGAAAATGATTTCCTGGCTCAACCCTATTTTCGGCGGCCTTAGTAATGCTCACAGTTTAGGGGTTGCGCGGTTCTAAGGTGGGAAAGCTCTGATTCGGGGGAGAGGGGTATGGGCATAGGGCGTGAAGGGCGCAGCAAACCCCGGGATCCACAAGTCCAGCATAGTAACTACTGTACATCATCAAGTGTTCTTGGCGCTGACATGAGCATGTTCCATGGCTTGGAGGTGTCTGTAGGCAATTGACTTTTCTCTGCTCCGAATGCCCCGAACCCATCAAGTGTCACTCTAATCCCGACGCATGTGGCGGATGGCGTGGGCTCATCCCGCCAACGGTGATATCCCTCCCTGCGGGGAAGCCAACCCTGAACCTTGTGGGCGATGAGAGCCTTCCTACGTCATACTACCAGACCCTTCACAATTACCCGTATTTAGACCACTAGCAACCATAGTAGCACAAAAAAATCCTCTCCCATTACAATTTATCACAACTATTCACCTGAGATCTTGCAGAATTAGATGAAATTCCCCCGTCTAAAAATGCCCTCAGCAATCGTCACCGGAGCCACCGGTATGCACCCCGTGTCTCCGCCCGGCCACCTAACCCTAACTAACCATCAACCCCAGGAATCACCGGCAGCGCCATCGTGCACCATCTGTGCAAAGATGACCAATACGACAAGATCTACTCCCTCTCGCGCAGCAACCCGGGGTATGCGAGCCGGAAAGTACACCACGCGACGCTGGACCTGCAGAGCTCGGCCGAGGACATGGCCAAGGACCTGCAGGGGGTGTGCGCCGAGTACGTCTTCTTCTGCGCCTACCTGGCGCGCGACGACCCCATGGAGCTCATGCACGTCAACGCGACCATGCTGCGCAATTTCCTCCGGGCGCTCGAGCTCACCGGCGCGATCACCCACCTGAAGCGCTTCATCCTGACCTGCGGCTTCAAGCACTACGGCGTGCACCTGGGCCACTGCAAGCAGCCGCTGCAGGAGGATGACCCGCTGCTTGAGAGCAGCAGTGGCACCTCCTGGCCCCCAATCTTCTACTACGAACAGGAGCGCATCCTCACCGAGGCGGCCGCCCAGGGCGGCTGGGAGTGGGTGGTGACCCTCCCGGAGGACGTGCTAGGGTACGCGCGGGGCAACTTCATGAACGAGGCGACCGCGCTGGGGCTGTACTGCGCCGTCAGCAAGGTGCTCCCGGGCTCCCTGCTGCCCTACCCGGGCTGCCGGGCGAACTACTTCGCCTTCAACACCTGGACCTCGGCGAACCTGCACGCCAAGTTCTGTCTGTGGGCGGCGACGGCCCCGGACGCGGGCAACAACATCTTCAACGTGATGAACGGCGACACCGAGAGCTTCCAGAACCTCTGGCCGCGGCTGGCCCGGCGCTTCGGCTGCACGCTCCCCAACCCCATGTTCCTCGGCGGTGGCGGGCCCGATTCCGCGGGGTTCGGGGACTATGAGGCGACGACAGTGCGGATGGAGAATCTGCACCCGCTGACGGAGCATGAGCAGGCGATCGGGGTCCGGGCGGAGGGTCCGCCCACCTTGTTCCTGCAGGTCGATCCGGAGAAGTGGGCGCGACGGGAGGATGTCAATGCGGCGTGGGGTAGGCTGCGGGATACGTATGGCCTCGACCAGAAGGCGTGGGAGAAGGCGACCTGGGACTTTTTGACGTTCGTGCTGGGAAGGGATTGGAGTTGTGTGGGGAAGGGATTGGAGTTGTGTGGGGACGATGAGCAAGGCGCGGAAGCTGGGGTGGACGGGCTATGCGGACACCTGGGAGGAACTGGAGGAGACGCTAGAGGTGCTGGAGAAGGAAGGCGTGCTGCCTCCGGTGGATAGGTTGAAGAAGGATTTCTAGGCACATTTTAACACGGTCGGGTACAGTGCGAATGAGTACATATTAGCTTTTCAGTCTATGTGATTTTCCAGGTTGTAGCAGGGCCCGCTACGCGTCCTTGGCTATGTCAAGGCTTTTGGATTCTGATGTATCAAGAGAGACAACTCCGCGATGCTGGTCGACTGATGAAAGAGTATGGAGCTCGTGGCACGGGTCTTCAAGACGTACTGTGTATACAGTGAAGCTTTAGCATTCAGTCAATACGAGATTAGGTGGTCTTCTCAGCTGCTGCTACAGCCTTCAGCCCCGAACAAGCGGCGCGTCTCCACAATCAGATCCTCGAGTCGCAGGGGAGTATATATAAATGGCCATCGATGAATTCTATGATTCGGCTTAGGATGATGATACGAATTCCCCAGCAATCGCAGAGGCTTGCGAAGGAGTTTTCGATGGTAGCTGTGTCCGTTGCGGAGGCCAATGCGATGCGCGCCCTAATTGATCCTGCGGCGCCGTCAGAATTTTTCACCATTGAAACGGAATCACAAGCAGGCCAACAAAGCCTGGACAGACTTTCAGTTCTTTGCATTGCGTGCTCGGTTCCTCTTTGATCGGAACAGTCTGCATGAAAGGATAGTACTAACATACAGCAACCCTGTTCCCTAAACCCAACCTACATAGTCGACCTGAACCATCCACATCCCCATCCCTATCAAATAAAAAACATGTTCTCAATGTTGGCTACGTGCTGGAAAAAAAGCAGAATATCTATACTGTTGTCCCCAGACCTCATTCCCAGTCCAAGCAGAAGACGTCCCGGGGGAGAACCCCCGGACCCCCCTTTCTTTCAGCTCCCCAGCGACACACAATCCTAAGTCCTAGAATACCCACGTTCCGGGGGTTCTCCCCCGGGACGGCAGCCCGCCCCTGTCCAAAACCGCGCGCATCAGCCCCTCATTCACCCCCACATCAACGCCCACCTCCCTCCCCCGCCGCACCCAATACCCATTAATGAACCTTACCTCTGTCTCGCGCCCGGCCCGCAAGTCCACCACCATCGAGCACGTCGTCTCCCGCGTGCGCTCCAGCACCGTGTTAACTGTGTCCTCCAGCCGGTCGAGCGCGAAACGCGCCGTCACGCCCTCGACGCCCCGCAGCTCGGGGAGTCGCGGCACGATGGCGGAGACCTCGGCCAGCACGGCGCGGCGCAGGGCTGGCTGGGTGAAGAGGAATTTGTTGGGGGCGTTGTGCAGCGCGCAGACGGGGTTGCAGAAGGCGTTGACAGCGAGTTTTTCGAGTTGGAGTTGCAGGATTTCCGCGTAGGTGGTGTAGGTTCTTGCTGTGAGGAGGGGGGAGTGGGGCAGAGACTGGAGGAGGTAGTTTTCTTCGTTTTGAGGGTCTGTCGAGGGTTGGGTGGGCTGGGCGAGTTGGCGAGGCACTTTCCCCAGTGAGATGGCGGAGGCGCCGGTGTGCGTGACTTCGAATGGAGCGTTCAATGTGACGCCGTGGGAGATCACGCCTACGATGTAGTTTGGTCGGGTGCCGGGGTCTGGGAACAGGTGCTCGTTCACCTCGTCGATCGTGCCGCAGCCGTTCTGGAGGAAGAGGATCGTCGAGGATGGGGTCAGACGCGGCTGTAACGGGCGGAGGGCGGCGACGGTCTGTGTGGCTTTCACGGTCACGATCAGGTGGTCTATCGGTTTGGTTGCTGGTTCGTTCGAGGGGGGTGGCGGGTGCCAGGTGCGAGTGTGGTTGTAGATCTCGAGGTCGTAGCCGCGGTGGTGGGTGGTCTGGCCGGTGACGGTGTGCAGGGTGGTTTGGCTGCTGTTGCGCAGGTATTCGTCGTATAAACTCTCGCGGTGCAGGAGGAGGGTCACTGCTGGTGGCGTCGGGGCAATCTCGTTCAGCCCGTGGGCTGTGAAGGTGCCGATGCTCCCGAGGCCGAGGACATGGACTCGTGGCTGTCGGGGTGGGGGGAGTTTCGAGGGCATGGTTGCGGATTGCGAGTAGCTCCGACCCATAGGTCTGCAGGTTGGAACCAGATGTCGAGGGAGTACTCGTAACATGATGTGAGTTGGCGTCGTCGACTGCACTGCGTTATCTATCGGAGAGTTACGGTGCTTATGTCTGTTCAGTCACGCCCTACGCCCTACGCCCTACGCCTTGTCAGGGCCTTTTTTCATGCGCCCTATGTCAAAGCCACGCCCTTAAGAAGCCCATGAGATCCGGTCATATTTCTAGAGCGTGAAGATTAGAAATGCTAGAATGTTCAAGAAGGACCAATTCTCCTATCAATCACTCCGCCCTGAATCCGACCCCATGAGTCAATCAGTAACGGACCCCTTTAACGCAACACAACAGCTGTACAGTACACAAACATGCCTAATAGATACGACTTGCTTCTATCCCCAGATGTCCCCCTCCCCCTCCCCCTCCCCCTCCCCTTCCCCATTCTTCTCACAATGCAACCCCCGAAACGCCGCCAACCACTCGGGATTATCCGCCACCGTCTGATTCCACGTGTCCTCCGAATCGTACAGCACGCGCCGGGACTCCTGCTGAAACATCTCATCCGTGGGCACGACCCCCTTCCGCATCTGCTCGCGGGCAAACCGGCTCAGATGCAGGGTGAGCACCTGGGTGAACGAGCTCAGCTGATCCGGCGCGACCCCGGGGGCCATCGCCTGCAGCGGCGGGGCGACGCTCGGCACGGCGGGGGCGACGATCTCGCGCGCCGCCTGCTGGTCAGCCTCGCTCCACTGCGCCCGGGACGAGATCTGCGCGAAGTGGTCTTGGACGTCGCAGTTGGTCGCGGAGAACGGGATGACGCTGAGCGACTCGGACCCCAGCAGGTACGGCGGCAGGGCGTTGGCGACCAGCGCCGCGAAGTCCGCGGGGAACTCGTGCTCGCCGCGCCAGTCGGCCATGGTCTGGCCCGACCGGAAATGCTCCGCCAGGTGCTCGACGCGCTCCTCCCAGCTGCGTAACCGGGCGTCGCAGAACCCGCAGCGTGAGGTGATGGCTGACTGCCCGATCTTCCAGCTCTCGAGGCCCGGGGGCCCACCTTCCTTGGTGGGGAGGATGTGGTGGACGAGGCGCAGGTGCTGCGTCAGGTGGTCCTTGCGGCGGAAGGAGCGACGCATGCCGGGTTCGGTTTCGCAGGCGGTGGCATCGTGGTCGTTCAGATGGGCGATGTCCGGGTCGGGGGCCCCGCAGAAGGCGCATAGGGTGGTTTCTGGGGCGGTGGAGGAGAGGATGGTCGTGCCGAACGGGGCGCAGTACCACGCTTCCAGGGTGACATGCAAGGATTTCTCGTGGCGCGCCCAGTCGTACTTGCTCTTGAAGCGGTCGCAACAGAAGGTGCAGCAGTAGCGGCGCAGCGCGTGGGTAGAGCTGGTGGTTTTGGCGGTGGTTTGTCTTTTACGAGATGGGGCTTTGCCCTTGCGAACCCGGCTGCCCTGGCCTTGGACTGCCAGCAGATCCTGTGCGGATGAGGTCGAGCGGCCGGATTGTTGGGAGTCTCGCGACGAGGCGCTGGATTCGCCGCTGGTGGTCGATGCGGCTCGTCTATACTGACGAAATGCATGGCTACTGTCTCCCGATGCGCTCTGATTGATGCTGTCTGGTTGACTGGGGGCCGTCTTCAGCGCATCGAGGATATCTGGAATCAGGGCTGGCTCCTCTTCCGGCGGAGAGTTCCGCCACCTTTCCATCGGGTTCAAATCGCCGCTGGCATTGGGGATTACAATGGGGCCTGCTTGTGCTCCTAACTGCCGGGTAAGGTAGCGGCTTCGACGTCGAGGGAGCTGTCGACCATGGCTTGTGGTAGAGGGATCGGTGATGGGATGTGTTGCTCTGGCTGAGCGCAGACGGTCAGCTGAGGACGCGCTTAGCCCGTCCTGCTGATGGGAGTTCGGGGCGACATTGGCCATTTGGGAGGGACCTGATAGTAAATGTATACCTGATCGCCCACTTGGCGACACATCATTGTGCGAGCAGTGGAGGTCCAGCTCTGCTACAATGGCAGGAGGCAGCTCGGAGGAAGGGCTCAACAGCTGGGGTAAGATCCAGTCATATGTTCCGGAGCTCGAATGGGCGACACTGAGCAGAGCTGGATCGATCACGTTAGAGTCATCTTGTGCGGTGTTGACTAGAACTCCATCAGCACGATTATCCCTCGACGTTGCGCTATGGTACATACGCAGCTGAGCAGCCTGGTGATTCATAGCGGGGCAATTTTCCAACGTAGGGTTGCTGAGACCGAGACTGTCCGGCGTACAGTCCTCACGGAAGTAGGGTTGTCCAGTACTTGTCAACAACTGCACAGGTGCCTGCCTGGAGTTCCTTCTTTGGTTCTCGACTCACCTTCGACGTGGTTGCAGGAATAGGTTTTCTCTGGATGTACCAGCAGGAGAGGTTGACAAATCAAAAGCATGTCGAAACGGTCTTGCCTGGGGTGGCGCTCTCCTGCCCACAGATTACATAATTCCCGCCTCAGGCAGCCAACTTGGCTATGTTAAACCCGTCTAGTAGATGACCAAGATAGCACACTGTGTGTATATGTGTGTGTGGAACGGGCAATTCATTGTCAATCATACCACGGATACAGACATCAAAGGTGATGTTTATCTATATGTGAATGATACAAGAATCGAATTCTAAATTTCTTCATAGTGGCCTTGGCAAGGCAGCAGTATAAATCTTCACCCAGAAGCCAAGAGCCGAGAGGCAAGAAAACCCAAATCGATGACCGCAACAAAAGGTTTACCCGTGGCCTTGGCATAAAATGGGCAAGGCAGCATCTATGACATTACTGGTGCCCATCGGGGGCACAGGAAAGAGTGTCTGACAAGGTGCCTGCACTGAAGTGACAGGATATGATGTAGGTATCAGTATTTTTTAGGCTATGTTGCATTAATTCAACTATCCGTACATCAACCCAAGCATGTTAGCTCAGGGGAAGAGCGCCGGGCTCATAACCCGGAGGACCCTGGATCGAAACCAGGACATGCTAATGTCTTTTTTCTCCAATCCACTTTTTTTCATCGCTTTCTTTCATTCAACCCTTTCATCCACAATCTGTAACGTAGTCTAGAACTCAAGATTAATAGTCTCAAATTGTGCGGTGGAATTGTGTGGTGGACGACTCTTACAGACCCCTTCATCTGCTATTCTATTTCCTAGCATCATATTGAGGCTTGAAAAGTCGAATAATGTGTTTATCGATGCGCATACGGGCAGCGCGCGAGGCAGGCCCTGCCTCCATATATTATTATTACTTTATATATATATTTACATATGAAGACTCAATATAAAATATATCTTATTTCTAGAAAATCAACACCTCGCCAAACAGTTGGACATCAGATGTTATATAATACCTACCGCTACAGCAGCCTATACCTATTATTATGGCAGCCTGTTCCTGGGTCGATATAGATTTATCGGACTTTTAATCCGGATGCTTATATGATTCTGTTATTTTTTTATATAATAAATTATTCTAGGATTTTTTAGAAAAGAAGATTTCTTAAAAATTAGTTTTAAAATTAATAAAAAACTATTTTTAATTATCTTATTTATTTTATCTAACCAGCGTGTCTACTGTATTAAATAATTTTTAATAATTTCTAATTCTTTTTTTTAGTTATTTAAAAAAAAGTAATATAATATTAAATAAATTCTTACTAAAATTATTTTAAGATATTTTATTTATTTTTAAATTATACTATCTAACCTAGGTAGATATTTAAGAAGTATAAACTATTATTTATTAATTAAAATAATTAAATAATTAAAAAAATAGATTTAAATATTATAAATAGAATATAAAAATATTAAATTTCTAATAGAATTATATTAATATTATACTAATTTAACTTTATTTTTTAAATAAAAAAAATTAAATTTAAGAAAATCTTTATTTTCTTTCTTTAGTTTAGTTTATGATAGAAAATAGAATAAATTTATAATTTATAATATATTTTTAAAAAAGCTTCTTAGAAGTATTATATAAAAAACTAAAAAATTCTAATTATAATTAATTATTTAGATTTTATTTATTAACAGAAATAGTACTGACATATTAATAAAACATTTCTAGAAAACTACTAAAATACTAAAAAACTATAAGATTGTTTTATTTAATAAACTTTTTATTTTATTTAAAATATAGTTATTTTATAATTTAATATTATAAAATAGTTTAAACAAGCCTACCAGCAAAATAATTAAAATTTTAAAAAGTTTTATTTTTATTTAAATATTTTAGAATATTATTTTAAATCTAAATAAAATAATAAATATACTTTAATCTTTTTTGTAAAACTGGTACTAAAACTTAGTTAATATATTTATAAATATATATTAAAACTATCAGACTTCTAAAAGAAAATAGTATCTATTACTACTTATTATTAGAATATATTAAATCAAAAAAAATAAGATTTAAAAAATAAGAAAACTATTTAAATAAAAGTTTTAAAAAATCTAGATTTTTATAATTATTTAATTAAACTTTTTTTATTAAAATCCTGGCGAAATAAAAAAAATTAAAAAAAACTTTTTATTATTATAAATATAACAGTAAATATTACTTAGCTAATAGATATTTTTATAAAAATAAGAATAGGATTAAATTAAAACTAATAAAAAAAATAATAATTAAAAAATTTTTATATTTTTAATAAACTGGCTTAAAATAAAAACTATTATTTATTTTAATATCTTTATTTATTTTAATAATATATTCGAAATTTATATAAACTTAGATTTATATATTAAAATTAATTTTATTAGTTATTAGTTTATTTAATAATTTTATTTAGATATAGTTTATTTTATAGCTTTATTAATTACTATAATTAATATCTTACTATAGATACTAATAGTATATAAAAGATTTTTATTATTATTATTAATTTAAGAAAAATATATAATTATTAATTATAATTTAAAGATTTCTAAAAGTTTTATTTTATTTTTAATAATT